TGGCGCTGGAAAGTCCTGCCTAGTCTGGGAGGATGGGCATTGCGCAGACGGCGCATGCGCCAGTCTGGGTGGCTGAGCTGGAGGCGGTGAAAGAAGGGGCATAGTTGGGGGTGATTGCGGGGGAGTTTCGCGCCAGGAAAGAGGGCGTGTGTTCGGCTGGGAAGGCTTTCGCTACTTAGGACAGGTTAGAGCTCGTATGGCTGCTGGATGTCAGGCGCGCTTTGACAAGAACGCTATTGTTCCCCCCCCCCCCCCTTCATATGCCCTGCACGCTCGGCTTTTGCGCCTCACGTGAATCGCGCCTCCCTTCCCTCCCCAGGCGCTCAGACTTGCAGCCCCGTCCTGCCGTAAACATCTCTCGGGGCCCAGGCCTACGGAATTCACTGGGACTTGCTCCCCAGTCCGTCTTCCCAGGGCGGGCGCCCTGGTGATACGGGTTTTGTCCTGCTTCTCCGGTGACTCCGCGTAAGCTTCTTTGGGTGGCGGCGGCGGCGAAGGAGGGACTGCTTGGCTCCTGGGGGTGCGTCCAGAGGGAGGGCGCCTGCTGTTACTCATCAAAAGGCATTGTGCAGCTATTGCTTAAGTGACTCTTTGGGTGGTAAAGGCGGAAGCAGCAGTGGGAAAATTGCAAGAGGGTTACGAATGGAGAATGATGCCGTCTGAATGCTTTCCCATCCAGATCCTGCCATAACATTCCGAGAATGCGATTGCACAATGGAGATCTCGTCTAGAAATGCCCCGACTAATGCATCGCGTATATCGATAGTACTATTAACAATTATATCCTCATAACCTGGATTTGGGCGTACACCTTATTTTTTTTCCTTGCCTTTTATCCCCTCCCCCGCTGCACAAAGCTTTCCTTCTCTGCGTTAAGATGAAGAGCAAAAACTCGAATAAACGGACGTGCGAGGGTCGGTTTGAAGCAGGGTTTGCATGAAAAATGTGTCTATGGGGTTTCTCTCCGGTCGTGGTGCAATGACCTTGGAGTAATAGTCGCTCACTGGGAGCCTTGATACAATGCTGAACTTGGTTCCTGGTTTCCAGTGATTTCGAAAGAGAGCTCGGTCAATGAGCTGAGTAAGAAGCTACTGATTAAATGACCCTGCACACCAAGCTAAACTTGGGGCTACCTCCGCTTATATATCTCTGTGATGAGGAGACTGACCCCTTCAAGGTAAACTTATCTCCAATCCAAACACACTTTTTTTGTGGAACACACAGTGCATTGCTACTCCTGGTGGCAATTGAGAAAGTCTTACTCTGCAGAAAGGGCGGCCACAGAATCATAGCTGCTTGTCAGTCTGCCCATGAGGACCCCTAGCCTTATACATATTATAGTCCAGCATCTTCTCAATCCAGCTTGAGAGCAGGCCTTGGTTCTTGCAGTACCTTTTTCAAGCTTGCATTTTCAGGTTGCAGCTGAAAGCCTGAGTCACTGTCTCTTCTGCTAGTGCTTGGCTTTGCAATAAACTTTGTCCTAACCACAGCTTGCTGCAGTGGGGGAGGGGAGATTTTGATCCTATGCAGAATTGGTTGTCCTAATAGGGAAATTAATGGGCGTAAGCCCATTTAACTGCATAGTTATATTTCTCTCCCCAGTCTGATCCAAGGATTGTCCCCCTCAACATCTCAGATGAATTAAAAATCAGTTTACAATACTGTTACTGGGTGTTGTATCTAAATGAAAATATGGAGAGCCATCTGAGAGGGAAAGTTTAACCTCATGGTCCTTCCAAGTTTGCTTTTCTGTGAAACTTAGGCTTGTAAATTGAAAGATAAACATGGAACTGTGGAAGTGGAAGGTAGCTCAGTTTGACAATGGTGGAACAAAGGGGCACGTGTCCACTGAGGCAGCACTGATCCCCTTGCTGGTGTTTGCCCTGGGATGGAAGTGCCCAGTGGACATTGCTTAGTCGGCCCTTCCACTTCTGCAGTGATAAGGAAAGTGAGTCACAAAGCACAAGGTTGCAGCATCAAGCCTGTTCCATTGCTGTCATCTACTTCTTGACATAGGCCTCTCTCAGTACCTGCTTTTTCCCTCTTCAGATTTCCCAGAATAAAAATGGTACTGCAGCCTTCCCTAACGTCGTACAAGTTCTAGTTGTAATTTACATGATCAGAATTTATTCCTAAATTTATACTTTGCTTTTCCTCGAAGTCCAAGGCAGTATACATGACCCTTCACTCCATTTTCTCCTTCCAACAACCCTATGAAGTAGGTTAGAAGGAGCCTCTGACAAGTTCCAAATCACAGTCATCTTTGTGGCTGGGTGAGGACTAGAACTCGTGTCTCCTGATTTCCAGTCCAGGAGATCACACGGACTCTGCACTGGAATCCTGATAGTAGTGATAGTCCAAAACATCGGGAGAGTACCATACTGCCATTCTGTAAAGCAGTGTTAGCCTGCAATCCTACTGTGAAGAATATTAGCCTTCATCTCAGAGGCTTACAGTGGTCCTATGCATAACAGGAAACCCAGCAGAGGTGTTAGTTGCCTCGCTGTTCTCTAGCCCTGCACATTTCGCTTGATAGGTTCTTTTGCCTGTCTACCTGGGATGTTTTGGGGAGAGAGAGGAGCAGACTGGAGTGGCTTCAGGATATTTTGATCTCCTGGTCTCCTCACTGTCCTTTTCCTCCCTTCTCTTCCCTCCTCCATCCTTCAGGTTGCTTTTCCAACCATGGAGGGCAGCCAAGGTAATTCTTCCTCAGATGACTGTCATGGGGGCAGGGGGAATGTTGGAGCTCCAATTCTCAGGTCCAGGGTAAGAGTCCTGTCTCCTATCTTGGATATGGGAATCCAGAAAAGTGTTATAGTTGCTTAGATGTCTTGACTCCATTTGGTTGCTTCCTTAGCCTGTGTAAACTATGGAAAACCTGCTGTAATTGACCATTCTGTAACAACATGCACAGTTTCCATCTTTTGAAGCATTTCAATTGTTTTACATTGATCTGAAGTCTTAAAGTGAAACTCTGCTGGATAACCCATTTGAGTGCATTTACTGCTCGATCACATGTACTGTTTGCATGGAAATGAATTTCAGGAAAGCCAATGGAATTATAAACCCAAGTTGGGCTGGACTGCTACTATTAAAAACATAGTGGAAGGTTAATAGAATTCACTGGAATTTAGTTCCATGCAGATATGAAAAAATTGGAAGCTTATGTGCATGGACCTTGCTTCCAGATATAGGGATCCAGCTATGGCTCTTACAAGAACCCCAAGGTAACATCAAACAGTGGATTTCATACAGAGAGCTTATTTTGAAATCTTAACATGTGAACTTTGGAAACAAACTTAACACAGAAACCATAATGTCAATTCGGTTTTGTTTTGTTTTTGTAAAGGGGAGAGAATCTACATGGATGCCATGAAGCGTTCAGGAACATTGATAAATGAGAGGGATGGACACCAAAATGTTGCCTGCATAATTCTCCCCTTCGGGGTACCAGCCAGCCACGTTCTTTTCCAGGATACTCCATTTCTGATCCCTCCTAACCCTCTCTTCTGCATTCTTTGTTCACTGAGCATGCTCAGCTTACCCACCCCCCTTCCTCTCAGGATTTTTTTCTAGGTACTTCTGCGAACCTTGGGAGGGCTCCCCCGGGGCTATGAAATATCTGCCATCTCATTCCACCTGCAGAAGCTCTGCCAATCTTACCTGTAAGCCACGTGAAGGTAGAGCAAGGCTTATTTTAATGCTTTATTGTGTGAGGCCTCTCAAAACAGCAGCTCCTTCCCTGGCTTAACATTCACCGTGCATGCTGGAGGATGTAATGCGCTTACTCTCAGCACTGCCTTCTGGTAGGCTGAGATTCTGTAGGCCCATCCCCCACCCCTCGCCTTTCCCTCAAAAAAGGGAAGAGGAAAAAAAACGCCAAGCCACCACAGCCCTGTTCCTGTCCTGTCAGGCCCACAATGCAACAGTTCAGCCTCACTCCTCCGCTGCCAGGATGTAGAGAACAGGAAGCTGGCACGGCGGCTCCCTTGGTCTGTGGCAAGTGGGCAAGGGAGTCATCTGGTGGCAGAAATGCTGCAGTGCACTGGGGCCGACCAATCGCTTTCAAAGTCGTTCCTGAAAGTGCCCTGGGGCGGCATCTGGCCACGTGAGCAGAAAAGCTCCTTCCCCGAGTCCGTGTAGCACTTCCATTTGTGCTCGCAGCCCCGCTCCGCTGTACCCGACACGGTCCTAGGAACATCATGGGAAACTGCCTGTTCCGTCATCCTGTTAGTTCACCCCAGCCTTCCCTAACCTGGCACCCTTGACTACAATTGTCAGCCCCAGACTGCACAGTCATGCAAGGTCAGAGCTGTAGCATAACACATCTGGAGGGTGCCCGTTGGAGAAGGCCGCTCTGCTGCAGTTAGTAGCAGCCTTTCCAGCTCTCCAGCAGAGGACTTTCACCAAATCCCCTTCTGAAAGCTGCAGCTGCCAGGGATCAAACCTGGGACCTCCTCCACACAAAGCACATGCTGCACCACCGCAGCTGTGGGTCGCTCTCCCTCCATGCAGTACAGTGGCTCCACCTCTCCACACACACAGCTCCCAATGCTTTCTAAGCACAAAATGGGTCCCAGAGCATGCGACGAGAGCACATGGTGCAACCTGAGAGTAACCAGATCCGTGTCTGCTCTGTGCCTGGAAGGGGGACCACATGGGCACCTCACATAATCTCTCCGGACTTCCATAATCAAAAGAACAATCCATCCTGCACATTAGTAGTTAAGTGTCCTGGTTATCGTTCTTGTTGTGACCAAGCTTTATGCCTTGTGGCCTGGTTTCCCTCATGGCAGATCCTCTTATAAAGCCCCACTCTTAAAACCATTTCCTTTGAAATCCTTCTGATTTCAGAAAAACATCTGCACATATTTATGTGTCTAGGGCTGCCACCTAAGTATCCTGATCTCATGTCTATTGTGTTGTTTAGCTGCCATGTCCTGTCAACTCTAATGTTGTTTGTTTAATGTTTCTAGTCCTCCTGGTGATAGAACAGGTACTACTGGAAGTTTGCATACATTTTAATTATTGTTTATACAACACTATCAATGTACATGGACCTTTTGTGGAGTTTGACAAGAAAAAAGTACAGGTTGCTAGCCCTGACCCCATGCTGCAATCGAAATTTTGACAGTGTGAGAGAATCAATGGACATGAAGTAAAGATAAAACCAGAGAGGAAGAATAGGAGAGGCAAGGATAATGCAGAATGTGGGCAGCTGTGGCTAAACATAAAGGCTTCTTTGCTGCATTGTGGGTAAGAACTAAAGCAGGGGTGAAGAACTTGGTTCAGTCCTTCCCAGAGTAGGTTTGGGGAGGGGCATATTCTACCAGTGGCCAAAATTCCACCATTTTGTAGCTTAAAGCTCTTACTGCTTGTAACTAAGTTTTGGGAGAAGCATTTAACCTTGTAAAGTGGTGTGGGGGTCTGCACAAAAGCCAGGAAATCGGCAATCAATCAGTCGCTGGGAAGGAGGCAGGGAAGGGGGCATGCCCAGCTGAGGAGCCACAGAGGCTTCAGATGGGCCTCAGGCACCCAACTCTTGGGCACTGACAAGAAGCCAGGCAAAACTTGAGAAAAAGAAGGTAGTTCAAATGTAAGCCAACGTATAACCAGGCCACAACCTGCAGGGTCACCCACCTGATCTATAACTTAGTGGCAACCACAGGTACTATGAGGTCATAGGGAGACTTGTAGGATCTCCACAAGTGAGAGCACTGAGCCAAATCTACTCTTCAGTTGCCAATCTGGCAGTCAGAAGCAGGGAAGGAATGGTCATGACTTCGACAATACCAACACTGTTTTATAGCACATAGGTGTTAAAAGCCAGTGGACTCACACCCCATCAAAATAAAGAGATAGGGAAGGGAGGAAGTGGCAAGCTAAACTACTCTTGTTGAGTGGGAAAAGACTGCATAGCAGTAGCCAGAGAGGGAGTGGGGAGGGGTAGTTGTTAGCAATGGATTACGGTTACAATCCTACTGACACTTATATAGGAACCCCATGTAACTAAATGGAATCTAATTCCAGGTATGCAGGCACAGGATCCGACTGCACAGTGATTGATCTTGAGTGATCAATGGATGCTGTAGCACTGTTGGAGTGGCAAACCCAAAAGCTGCTAAAGCTTGGCTGAACATTACTGCTCTTTTCCTTCAGCCACTGGCCCTTTTCTTGCCATCCTCTGCCTGCCAGCCTGCTTTTATAGATTGTAATGCTTGGTGAAAAGCAGCAGTCTTCTCCAACCTGGGCCCTCCAAAGAGGCCAGGCTATAGCACCCTTCACCAGCAGCCAGCATGTACTGGCTGGCAGCGATGTGTTCTAGTCTAGCACCTCTGGAGAGCCCCAGGTTGGGGAAGCCTGCTTATAAAGCAGAGATGAAAACAGCCTGCTCTGTGACTGTTCCAGCCACATGGTTCATGCCCTCTAAATATCCAAAAGCAATTTGTTTGCTTTCCTGCTACATAAAACTTTGCAAATTGTATACCCACCAGCAGGACCCTGCATCACGAGTCACTTCAAACCATCAGGGGGTTTATGACTTTGCTGTAAACATCATGTTGCCTTTTATTCCAAGCAGCTCTTAACCTAGTTGCGGGGGGGGGGGGGGTTGTCTTCCACAGCCATCCACAAGATGGGCCTCTGCCAGTAATTTGTGTCACTGCTTGGTGAAATACTTGACCTAAAGAGCAGGGTTACAGGGACAAGCTAACAAACACTTTTATTGCATGACCTACTCAGAAAGAAGCCCTGGAGGCACTCTTTCTGACCTGTTAAACAGGGTCAGGATCTTGGGCCAAGTCAGAGTACTGTGCCCTGTTCTGAAGGAGACTGATGTCAGCAGAGAACTGCTCTGGGATATTGTGCGGCTTCAGATTTGCTGTAGGTGGCCTTTGCTGGAAAAAAAAATCTGATCTAAAAGGCACACACCACGTTTACCAATGCAGCATAATCGCAGTCCCAGAGCAATATGGGCACAGGTTGGCTCTGCGTGCTTTGGATTACAACTCTTTTGAATCCCAAACAGCATGATTAATGTTTAGGGATGATGGGAATTGTAGTCTAAAACATCTGGAAGGCACCGAGTTCACATCTATGCATTTGAGGCTATACCACCCATTTCAGATTGCAAATGAAAGAAAACCTACTCAATTAGAGGAATCATAACATATTTTCGACAGCACATTTGCAGGAAGACTTTGCATAGTTTTCAGCATGCACTGAAAACTGCACCAACAGGAACACACAGTTTTATCACAAAACAGACAGGGCATGTGCCATGAGTGTTATCTAGAGCTGCCTGTGTCTTTAATAATTGCATACAACACAAAGTTAAAGCAAAAGCCTTTTCTCCTCACCATATCTGCATGCTGGAGGGAAAAATGCAATTACTGAATTTCTGGCAGTTGTTAGAAGGTGCAGGAGCCCTGCCAGAAATAAAAGCAGGTAATTTTTGGTCAAGCCACCTGATTTGCTCATTTCCACTTACAAAGATGAAGCTTATGCAAGCTGGTCAAAGTGTGAGTCTTCAGCCATTGGGTTAGTGACCCACTCACGTTCTAAGCCTTGGTCAGCCTATCCATTTAAAAAAGCTAAGATGAACCACACTATTCTATGCTTCCTTGCTCATCTAGACTTGCCCCAGCTTTGGCCCATCAGAAGGAATCTAAAATGGCTACCAGTAGGTACCTTTGCAACAACCACCAACAAGGAAGAGAGAAGAGGGCAGTGAGAAGGAATATGGTTGATGGCCAACTGTTTTGACACAAAACCAGAAAAGCAAGTGAGCCTGATTACCATCTAGCCTCTGCCACAGACCTGCTATACGACCCTGGGCCTCTCAGCCCAAATGCATTATTGAGGAGACAATACACTAGCCTACTTCAGGGACGGGGAGCTTTGGCCAGGCAAATGTTTCTGGACTACAACTTCTATCATTCCTGACCACCTGCGACACCACTAGAGCTAAGAGGAGCTGAAGTGCAGCAATATCTGCAGGGCAGGGCAAGAGGTTTCCCACTCTTGTTCTGGGACAGGAACATTAAGATGGTTGGACATTTCTCCAATTTCCTCAAAACTGCACCATTACATCACAGGAAAGATGACATTCCATCTCATCATATATATTGTGTGTGTGTGTGTGTGTGTGTGTGTGTGTGTGTGTGTGTGTGTGTGTGAGACGCATGCATGCACATGTATGTGTGTGGTTGAAGGAATGGCCATGAATGTGTTTTGGCTAGTACCAGTGAAGCAATGATCATCAGCAAACTCCCCCAGAGCTTTCCTTCTTGTGGCTTTACTTCAGAGGCGTTGCTTCATTTATTGAAGTGGTTGCTATACTCAGCCAAATGTTCCCACTTCCCCCTCTGTTGCTGGAAGGTCTGCCTCCCACCACACAATCTCCACTTAAAGCCCATTCTTGGTTGGAGCCGGCACAGCTATTCTCTAGTTTGCCATGGGCTGGAGACAGGACAACACAAAGCCAGTGCGACCTGAAAAATCCAGCTCCTTTAAAGCCATTTGGACTGTGTAACTAAAAGGATGTGTAAGAAGGGAAATAATCCAGCAGTAGAGGCAGGGAAAGATAGGAGGGGTAGAACTGGGACTAAACAGGGAATGTACAGCTTCCTAAAGCAGAAAGGATGGTCCTGAACGAGAACAAGATGCCTTCAGAAGCTGCAGCTTCCCTTCCTTTCCTTTAAAAGAAAGGAGGATAATTTGGGAGTGTGCTGTAGGTACAAGATATCCTGCTGCTGGGAAGGGTTGCACCTAATAAGCTCCACCCATGGTAGGATTCCTTCCATGGCTTCTCCATGGTGCAAAAAAGAAACCCAGGCAATACCTGCCAGGAATTTCTCCTAGTTTGTACACGGTACAGAAAATACAGACCCATCTTCTTACAAAGCCCAGCTGGGACTCCCCTGGCAATCCAACTGCAACAGATCTGTACAGCCTCCGCTTCATAAAAAGGAGCACTCCTCTTTTAAAGGAGAGCTGCCCCCATGCTTTTCCATGCTGCTCAGGTGGGCCTTGTGTTGCTCGCTCTTCCCCCTGCTCCAAGAAGGGCACACACGACCGAGCCAAGCTGTGAAGGACTTCTCAGTTCAGCAGTTTGAGCTGGCCTGTCACCTGGTTCACCATCTCTTCTTCCCCCATGATGGCAAGGACCGTGTGGGACCCAGCTGGAATCTGAAACAGGAAGGACAGGACACCGTTGGACAAGCACACCAGTAGGTGAAAGTCGGGTGATGGTCCCACTACGGCTTCACACTCCTTGCTCTAGCTCAGCATGGTGGATCTGCAGAGGTATAGCCTTCCACCACCTGGTAGCCTTCTGCTGCTTGGAACTACAACTTCCAGCACTCTTGATCATCAGTAATGCTGGCTGGGGCTGATAGGAGTCAAATTCCACAGATTCTGAGCAGGCCAGGGCTGGGGCCAGCCGCTCAGCACATGGTACTGCCTTTGAGCTCACCGTAGTGGCCAGATTACTACTGTCCTGAGCTGCCAGTCTGCACTAGGGTGGGGGTGCATCCGACCAGACCGACGGAGTTCCCCAAACGGGTGACCCCTTTCCCCCCACCTCCAGTGCTTTGGAGCCTGCCCACTTTCATGAAGAATTCCATCCCACCCCCTTCTAAAAGGCTGAAATGCCTCTGCTCATTTATTGGCAATAAGAGTTTAACCTAAAACATGCCAGTATTTTGGATACATTGGCTCAGACCCCTTGACCTTTGCCTTGGCCCATCACTGCACCATGTCTTCTCTGAAAGGAGATTCAGCCCTGTGGCTCAAAGGGACTCCCCACCCTGCTCAACAGTGCACAGGAGTCTGTGAAACACTTTTCTCCGGTTCTTGCTGAAATATCCTTTCAAAAATGAGAGTTACTTTTTAACATTCCAGTTATGGGAATGTGTAATACAGCCAGGGGATAGAATACTGAAATAAATAATTCTCAGCATCACTGCTTTAAACGTTTGCCTTCAAAAGACATGATCAATATCAACAGCCTTTCAAGCTGAATTTAAAAATCAAACTGAAATTATTTTTTTTTTTAAACTGGGTATGAGCTTAGAAGGCTTGGCTCAACTGTAAACATCCTTCGTTTGTAGCTTGACCCTCGGGGCCCAGGAGGCACAAGGCTGGAAATGCATAACGAAAGCCACATTCTGCAACCAGCTCTCAGAAGGCAGAACGCTTTCAAAAGCTAAAAGCGGAACAGCACGCGTGCGGCTTTGTTCCGTGCTTCAGACCAATAGCTGAAGAAGCCTGATATCCTCCAGATGTGTTAGATGATCTGCAACTCCCAGTTTGGATTGATTGACTGATTGAATTTGTTGTCACATTTCTGGAAAAAAGGCATTCGAGGTGGTTTGGAAAACCAGTTAAAGATGTTTTAAACATGACCTTAAGGGAGCAATCCTAAGGCACCTAGATATTGTCTGAGGAGCCTGAGCGTGGTGGCTGGATTCCCAGCACACGGCCTTTTGGGCAGGAGGAAGTGCTGCTGCCCCTCCCCTGCCGTCATGCAGTCCACACAGAAAAAATCATGCTGGTTGCTCTTTGAGGAAAAGTGACCTCAGTGGGTGGTTTGGGAGGCAGGAGGGGGAGGGATTAGAATGGCAAGGAGGCAAAGCCACTCTGGCCTCCCCTCACATCACTTAGACTGCAGAAAACAGCTGTGGAAATAATGCAGAGCAGGAAGGCAAAGAGAGCATCCGCTCATCTCTATAGGATGGCATTCTACATTGATGAGATAACATCTGGACTACAACAAGGAAGCATAAAAAATTAGGAAAATTACTATTAAAAACAGCGCCTTAATCCACCTGACTCACTTAAAGGCTAAAGGCCTCCTTAAATAAAGCAGTCACTGCTTACTGGGAAAAGTACAAGGAGGACAATGCGCCACAGCCTCCTACAGCCAGGCTGTGGCCACCAAAAGAGCTACCATCACATATTCCTTTCTAGGCTAGGCTGATCCTGCCGGCTGGGGATACTGGAAGTTGCAGTCCAGCTCATCTGATGGGCAGGAGTTTGGGGGAAGCCTGAGCTATAGCCTACTAGGATCCTTTGCTTCTAGTATTCACAGTTCCTACAGACAGAGGTCTTTAAAAAGCACTACACACAGAGAGAGAACAAGCGAGAGAGAGAGACTGCACACAAGCGAGCTGCATACTTGTAACATCAGGCCCAGAACAGCACTTTAAGTCTCAAATGGCAAAACTTCTACATTCAGTACTAGTCTTCAGCCGTTGTATAGCTAGCGCCCTGATCTCTTAGTCCCCCCACAATACAGGTGACCCCAAGAAAGCAAACAGAATATCCCAAGTTTTGCAACTAGAAGCAGACGTATCTGCGAACGAACATGCTTCATTTGCCTAATTCATGCCACTGGAAAATTCACCAACACCACCCCTTCTCTGTGCCGCGCGTGCCTCCCAGGCGTTCCCAGAGACTGTAAAAACCAGGCATGTTGCCTCGGTACAAGACGGCCCACCTGGGGAAGCAGAACCTTTCAGAACATCCTGCTAATTACCTGGGTCCTCCCTGCATCTTGCACTAAGTATGTTGGCAGTTCCAGGCTCAGCGCCAAGGCGTGCAGCTCCAGCAACTGGTCAGTGTTGGGTCCCTGAAGTACGACTTTCTTGGCCCTGAGAAAGGCAAGACAAACTTGAATGTGAGAGCAGCCCCTGCCCAAACACAGCCACTGACCTGCGGCCAAGATTCTGACTGAAGCAAAGGATGGAGACTGTAAGGCACGAGGTGGGAGGGCCTGCATGTTCAGCAAAAGGAGGCTCAGCTTCTATGCCAGGTGACAGAGGCACAGCAACAGAGGTTACACCCTGAATCGGGCTGCTCCAAGTGGAAGAGCGCCTTCCATTCACACATACAACTGAGATCCAAGAGAGGATCCTGCCAGTGGAAAGCAATGGAGGCCAATTTCACCCATTCTCACTACCGTTCCAGAAGGATCTCCAGCCTTTGGGAGCAAATTTTTGGATGGGGAGGACATGGGGGAGATCGGTGGAAGCCACCTCCCCCTTCTTCTGCTGGCAGGAACATCCCATCAGAACTCCAGACAGGATACTCCCATTAGCCAGAGCCAAGTCAGAATCCCAGCCGTAGAACTGAAAATTACTTGGCTATGCTTCTGTAGAAGAAGGCTGGGCACCTAGCAGGCTGGGTGCTTGCAGAAGCTCTCTCAGCCCAAGGAGGCCTGAATTCCATTTTGGAGAAGTTCAGGGGTCACATTTCAGTGGTGGGTGGAACAGTTGGAGGCAAAACGGACTGGCCAGCAATACCACGAATGCCAACGCATGTTAGTTTTAGGCTCTTGTCACCAGTAACTAAGCCTCAGGAAAAATATTTCAGTCTTTTGGAATGGAAGGCAAATCACACAAAAGTGAGGAAACAGCCACTGGCTTGCAGGGAGGAGACCCAGTGACTGCCTGGGCACCCCCAACGGCTGGATTTGGCCTAAGGTTCTTCACATCTCAGAGCTGGTGCTTAAATCCCTTAAACTCCTTTCAGAAGAGGAGTGGCACTCAAAGCTGAAGCGAACACCTGGGGATCCAGGCCTATGCAAACCTGGCGCCAGGCAACAGCCTGTGCAACCGTTCCCACCCCACGACCATCACATACACGTCACAAACATGACTGGTTACATGCAGGCGCTGCTCTCTGGCATCAGGTTCAGCAGGCTGATGGTGTAGTGCAGGCAACCTCACGGGAAGTGCTGTTAACTTGGGTCAGAACTCCAGAGCCACTTTGCCGTGTGAGCCGATGCTCCCAGGAGCTAGGCAAGGGGCCTGCAAAGTAAGTCATGCCCACTCCTTGCCATTCCAAGCAAGTTTTGCTGGGAACGGAGGGCAACTGCACGCTGGTGTAACTGAAGCCTTCCTATAGTTGCACAGTGGTCTTTAAAGGTTATAACTAATATTGTTTACTGTATTTCCATTTTGTCTTTTTTCCCCTTCAAGGAACTTAAGGCGGCTTAATTAGTCCCCCTCTGCTTAATTTTATCCTAACAAAAACCCTGCAAGGTAGGGCAGACTGAGAGTCCATGTCTGGCCCAATATCAACCTGTGAGCCTCACAATCAACCTGGATCTCCCAGGTTCTGGTCCACAATTCTATAAGGAACCCTGACTCTCAAGAAGAGTAGACCTACTGAAATGAATGGGACTCCAATGTTAGTCTAACTTAAAGAGTGTGTTCTCTGGTTTATTGCTGCAGTCATGATACGATGCTGTGAGGGAGGTTTTCTATTTTATTTCAAGCATTCACATACTGCTTCAAACCTAACCTACACAGCTGAACAATAAAAAGAAAGGATCAAGATACAAAATACAGAGTTCAAATATTTAAACTCAAATGACACCAATAAACTCTGGGTGGTCAATCAGGGAAGTCTTCTTTGAATAAAATTTTCTTCAGTAAGAGGTAAAGTTGCACCCCAAAGTGAACTCTTCCAACCAAACCACCTTTCAAATCCACCCCGCCCAGAACTCTGGGCGAAGTTTCAGGAGGCTGGTGTCCACCTCTGGCCTAATCCTTACCCTTGTTCATCCCACTGATTAACGATGTCCCTGTGAGCAGGTCTCTCCTGCATCAGCTGGTACAGGCCAATTGCTGCATGCCCCACCTGGGCAGCAACCTGCAACGAGAAACACAGCAAATCAAGAAAATCGGCTCCCCTACGTGGCTTTTGCCAAATAATCAATATTGCTACTCAATTGCAATTCCTAGGTGCATCAAAAGAGGTGAAAACAAACCAAGTGGCCCTGATTATTAAGACTCTCTTGCTTGCTTTCACTTCTCTTCAGCTTTGGATCAGCACCTGAAGCCACCTTAGAAGGGCTGCCACCAACGGAAAACAGAGGCAACGACACCTGAGGGGTTTTACCTTTCCAGCTCCCATGGAGAGTTCCATGTTCACCACAAAGACCATCTTATAGTAACCACTGCCTTGTATATCTTCCTCCTCCTAGAAAGAAAGTTTGACAGTAAGTCCCTTCTATTGTAGCATAGCAGCTGTATGAAATGGTGTAGCAGTTGGAGTGGATTAGGGCCAGGGAGACCCTTATTCAAATCCCGACTCATCTAGGAAGCTCAGGGGCTGAGCTTGGGCCAGTCTCCAGCTTTCAGTTTAACTTATCTCACAAGGTTGTTGTGAGGGATGGAGGATGGACCATGTATACTGCCTAGAAGTCACTGGAGGAAAGGCAGGAAGTAAGTGCAGCAAATAATTTAAAAAATCTTCCTTGCTATACCCAGGCAGATTTAAGATAGTGAAGTGCAAGGGTTAGTGAAATATATTTATATAAAAATGTGGTTTATTCACACATGAACACACATAATCCTTCTATTTTTGTAAGTCATTTTAAGATGGCTTACAAAAAGACAGAAGCATATTTAACATAAATAACAATTTATTGGAACAAGTAGTCAAGGCTGACTTGCTTGATGGTCTGTTCCACTTAGAAACCTAGGAAGTTGCCTTGTATTTAATTTCTATATCGCCCAAGGGTAGAAGTTCCCTGGTTAGTGAACAGCTGTTAACACATAAAATACAATATAGACTAAAACAGCAACAAAACATCATGAAATTACATGCAGACATTTAGAACCACAGTTTAACAACTAAACAATTAAAACCAGTCCATACAACTAGGCCTGTTTAAAAACAGCTGGGAACCCACCCCACCCCCACCACGTGCCATTTGGTGCCGCTGAGTGCCTTGGCAAAGAGAGCAGTCTTAACCTGGCACCCAAAATAGAGTAGAGTTGGTGCCTGCTGATTCCATCATTTGGGGGCTACCACAGGGAAGGCCCTCCTCCTTGTTGCCACCAGCTGATCCTTCCTTGGACGTGTCACCTGGAGGGCAGCCTCAGAGGCTGAGTGTTCTGTCTGATTATATCAAGTCAGACCATTCGTCCACTTCCTATGCAGTCCTCCTCACCTGCTGCTTTCTGAGATCGTTGCAAGTCAGCAAGACCAAGACATTAGTAGGTCTCATGCTGGGCTGGCAGCAGCTCTCCAGGGTATCTGACAGAAATTCTTTCCAGCCAGAGATTGAACCTGGAATTTTCTGCTTGCGAAGCATGCATTCTCTCTCTGAGCTATGGCCCCGCACCACCTCAAGCAAGGCAGAGCTCTGGTGTCTGAGCCATGTCCCCCACAGACCTGCAAGCATTAAGTGCCACTTCTCCATGGAAAGAAATGTGCAGGACCCTCCAAGGTCAATCTCACAAACTCCACTGGTTCCATCAGCAAGGCAGGTATGCGCAATTTCAGGGCCGCTAACCTCAACATGCACAATTTATATGAAAGAGGCCTCAAGCAGAGAGAGTCGTCCAAGTGCACACACAGTGGACCTGCAGCAATTTCCTCTTCCACCCTGCAAGAATGCTGCTCCCAAAGAGCTGCACGTAACATGCGATTATTCTGATCTTGCACATCAGGCCTCACTAGAGTGAGACAAGGATCTCCTCCCACTGAGGAGGCAATTCTTCAGGAGTTTTAATCAATGCAAGGTTTTGGGGGTGTGAGAAAACACCTCTTGGTAGCCTGATTTGCATTGCTTTCTTAATTAGGGCACACACAAGCTTCATCCTTCCTCCATGTCTGAAGGAAAAAACTGGAGCAACAGTTGGCATCACTCGTGCCCTCCTGACTTGGACATGTTGGCTGGGAAGGATGAGAGCTGCAGTCCAGTCTACAGGCTGGGAAAGGTTTCTTGACAGAAACGCATACAGCCACCCTTCATAATTCAGGCTAAACCTATGTGTGCATGACAATACCTTCCAGTACTGTTAAACCTAAAATGTGTACATTATTACCCTTCTGAAGTGGGCCCAACTTTGAAGTCTTAAAGATGAGGATAGGAGTGAAAATGTACATTCCACACCCTTTGTTACCAATATCCAATACATTTTAACATGCCTGCCATTAATTTTCATGAACAGACAGCAAAGACAAATAACAAAAGCAAGCAATTTTCTCCTTCATTCCCAACTGAAGTTAAACTTAGCCTTGCCCTACTGCACTTGTTCACATTCTTTCTGCCCCTCTTTCTGTTATCCTCTGCCACTGTTCATATTACTGAGAAAGCAAAACTATTGAAGGACAGGGAACTATCTTTTCAGCTTAGCAAACACTGTAAAACAAGAGGCAAAACCAGTAGCGTGGCATCAGTAACAATGTTTGTGCATCCCTCCCTCCCTCTCACACACACACACACACACACACACACCCATTAGATCAGGTGCATAATTGCCCAGGGAGGTTTTTTTGGTCTGCGTCAGCCTTCCCCAGCTTGACACCTCATATCAGTTTGCAGTCCAACACATGGAAGTGTGTCCGCAATGCATACCGTGCATGTCCAGTTACTAATTACTCTTCGGGCACAATCTTATGCATGTTTAGACAGGAAGAAGAGAACCAGAACTCCCAGCATACCCCAACCCTGGCTGGGAACATGCTGGGAATTATAAGGCTTTCTTTCTGCCTAGACATGCATACTCTTGCAGCTTTAGGCTTTCTGGTTATCTATAACATTTAGTATAAACCAGTGAAGCTGTTTACTAAACTGTTAGATGCCAAGGTTGTGAATCCTGCAATATGTACATACTGTGTGTTTAAATAGGTTGGAGTAGGTCAGCCTTTCCCGGTGTGATGCCTGTCAACATTCTGCAGTAGTGTACCTGATCTGGAGGGGAGAAAATTGGGAGTGGCAGAATGGAGAATCCCAGTGAAGCTGTAGCTGCATGATCTATGCAATTGTATTACATTCTACATTTTGGGTATTTCAGGTGTAGCCATTCACAGGCCTTTCAAAAGACCAGACGCAGGCCACATAAGCATGCCCCTAAGGAGGCGATGGGAGCCAGTTTCTAATAATAGGTTAGAGCTGCTTGAACTCAGGATCATCTCAGGAAGTCACACCTTCCAACACAGGCGCACTGCTGTATGCTGAGGGGAAAGAACTCTTTGCGTACTCAAAACACCTTCCAAAGGGTTTGCAAAACTGGCATTCAAAGCCGTAGCTGGCAAGAAGGTTTTGTAGCATAAGGAGACGCAGAAACGAGGAAAAAAGCAGAAGGGTTAGGCCACAAATCGAGTCCCGGCAGGATCAGAAGGGAACCGAGCGCAGGAATCCCGGAAAGTACCTGCGAATCGAGGCCGCTACTGAAGTACAGCTGCGCCGCCGCCTCCGCAGATCGACCCCCAGTGAGCGCCAGAGCCTGTGGGGGGAAAGGGGGCAAAAGACGGCCGTCAGCGGAACAGGCCCCCAGGCAGCCACCGACCCACCCGCCTGCCCACCCCCGCGGCCCCGCGCGCACAGGCGACCCACCCGCCGCGCCGCAGCCTCCGGGATCCCCAGCTCCAGCAGCGGCGCAACGAGGGACTCGTCCACGCCCGAGTCCGAATCGAGAGGCTGCGACTCCATTCTTTCCAGCTGCCGGCGCTCTGCCCTCCGATTGGCTTCGCCGGTCGCCTCCCCACCAATCAGGACTTACCCGCCCCCTCTGTCGTAACCCGGTGGACCAATCACCCAGCCCGCGTAGCGAGAGTGTCAGCGGGCGTCTGCGCCCGCCGAGAGTGAGCTTCGGCTTCGGAGCGCGTGAATTCTACGTCCGCCTCCTCAAGTTCACGAACGCGGCGCTGCGGCGTCAGTGGACGGTTCCCTCCGCCGCGCGCGAACGTGCTCCAGTCTCGGCAATCGCGCTGGAGCCCCGCTCTGCCGTGTGTGGCGCCGATGGGAAGGTCTGGCGCTGGAGGCTTAAAGCTGGTGTGGCTTAAATTGGCTGCATTGCGAGTGTGGAAAGCTTAAATGAGCTAGAATTAAATGGCACTCCTTCTGCCTTCAGACATCTACTAGAAGTACACAGACACTGAAGGCACAATTCAGTGCATGTTTAACAGGAAAAAGGCTTGCCACACTTAGCATTCCCCAGCCAGCTAGGCGTAGACTTGCTTCCTTAGACACGCAATGGGATAGATCTGAATTATGCTAGATCACTTATGCTGGCGGAAATGGACTTCCTTTTCGTACAGCAGCTGTATAATCTTAAAGCTGGAAGGGGGCATTTAAGCCAACAAATCCAAGCCAGTTTGCAGGACAGTAATTCAATCTAAAGCATCCCTGGCAACCACCAGTCTTTACAGTACCTCCAGCAAATTGCAGACCCCCCAGGCAATCGGTTGCAGTGTCTTGTCTGCTAAGAACCTTTGGAAGTTTTTTCTGTTGCTCATCCAAAATCTGCCTTCCCATAACTTCGCTGTCCTACAGGTGTGGATGATGGGAAACAGGTTACAGCCCTCTTCTGTGTGACACTTTAGGTTCTTGAAAAGTGGGGTCATATTTTCCTTCACTCTGTTTTTCTCTCCTCAAGGCAAAACCGAATTCATCTTACAAGATGGGGAATACTTGGCTCAACAATTCTGCAAGTGGGAAGGATCTTGGAAATATTGTAGATCACAAGATGAATTTGAGTCAACACTGTGTTGTGGCTGCAAAAAGGTCAAATGCAATTTTAGGCTGCATTAATAAAAGTATCACTTCCAAATCCCGTGAAGTGCTAGTTCCCCTTTACTCAGTACTTGATTAGGCCTCAGTCTGGAGGCCTCAGTCTGTGTCCAGTTCTGGGCATCACAGATTAAAAAAGATGCAGACAAGCTGAAAAGGGTTCAGAGGAGAGCAACAAGGGTGACCCGAGGACTAGAAACAAAGCCCTGTGAGGAGAGATTAAAAGAACTGGGCATGTTTAGCCCAGAGAAGAGAAGACTGGGGAGAAATATGATCACACTTCACAAGTGCTTGAAAGACTGTCATAAAGAGGAAGGCCAGGATCTCTTCTCGAACATCCCAGAGTCCAGGACATGCAATAATGGGCTCAAGTGTCAGATTGCTGACAGAAAATCACGATAAATTTTCTGACTTTTAGAGCAGTAGGACAATGGAACCAATTACCTAGGGAGGTTGTGGGCTCTCCTACTTTGGAGGCATCAAAAGGCAACTGGAGTCACCTGAGAGGTATAGTTTAACTCCCGCACTAAGCAGGAGGTTGGCCTTCATATCCTGATCCCTTCCTAGTCTACTATTCTATGATTCTATACCCACTCATTCCATCTTTCCTTATTTCTAGTTGCCCTTATCATTCTTCTTGCCCTTCTCTAAACTCATTCCAGTTCTCCTGAATCCTTTTTAAAGTGTACAGGAAACAGGATACAGTATTTGAAATTAGTTCTAAATCATAGTAGAACCATGATTTTGAAACTGTATTTCTCCTGATGCAACCTAAAATTGGATTTGCTTCTTTTTTTTCAGCCTCATCACACTGCTGAATCTTACTCAGCTTGTGATCAATTCCAATTCCAAGATTCTTTTTACATGTACTACTGCCAAACCAGGTATCCCCCATCTTTTACCTGTGCATTTTATTTATTTTCCCTAAATGAAAAACGTCTAAATTTGTATTTAGAATCGTAGAGTTGGAAGGGGCCAAAAGGGCCATTGGGTCAAACCTCCTGCTCAGTGCAGGACTTCATTCTGTTCTTTTTGGCCTGGTCTAATGTAATCAAAATAATTTCAATCTATCAAGATAATTCTGAATTTCTTTGACTGACCATTCTTCCCAATTCTGTGTCATCTGCAGTTCTGATCATTATTTGTTTGTAAAAAGAAAAGGGGTAGAAGAAGCTTACAGGCCTAGGAAGCCACAGAAGAGAGCCATTCACAGAGCGACTGTGCATTCTAGCCACAGAGAGTAGTCAGAAACAGCAAATTGTCACCACCACTGCTAACATCTGTGTGGGCCAAAACACAGTAATAAACCTAATGTTAAAGGAACAGCTTGGTTGCTTGCAAGCCACCCCCTCACTGCACCCTTTCTTAAATCCTCAAATACTTCCCAATTTTGCAGTGGTGCACTTTTTTAACCTAGTGCACCACTGTCTAAAAATAAATTCCAGGTAGGTACCTATTAATGTAGATACTGAAAGATGGTGCATTTTCCCCTGCTGTTGATCAAGATCTGTTTGCCCCAACTTCCCCTCTTTTCCCAAATATATCTAGTTCTAAATCCAGGGCTGATTTTGGCCCCCAAGCTGCCTCTTCAGGAAAGCTGTCAGCCTTTTAGAAAAATCACCAACTGCATGGTATTATCTGGTTAGCAGTTTATTGAGTGTTAAGAAAGAAAGAAAACACAGTGCTCTTTTTTGGTTCCATTTCAGCTGCCCCTGCAGGTGTGGGAAAGTGGTTTTGTGATTGTCACATGGGCCAGCCAATCAACCTGCACACTCACCTGAAAGCAGAAAGAACTGGTTGCTCCTGAGCTCAGTTTCCTGAGAAGAATCTTGAATGCCTGGCCAAAAAGGGAGCTGAGTGCAGAACCTTAGAAATATGCACATCTGTACTCAGCCTCACAATAATAAGCCACAATGGACCAATGGTTTGGGCCAATATAAGCTTCCTCTTTAGGCCAGCCCTTACCAACCAGGGGTCTTCCAGATCTGGGAGGTCCCAGGTGAAGAAGACGGCCTTAAGAGTCCACAGGTAGTTCAAGCATAGTACTTGCCTAGGATAAGAACCAGGACTTAAGAGGGCTCAGCCCTAGAACCTGGTTTTAGCACATGGCCAAGTTCTCATGCAGGGTACCTTTACCTCAGCACTAAATAACTAAAAACAACACATGTATCTGGAAGGTGCTTGTTGCCTGTACATCATGTGTGCACATGTTTCCCTTGTCCCTTGATTGGTATTCTTTGTGGTTGCTTTCTCTCTTTCTTTTAAAAAGGATAATCAAGTTACATGTGTGTCCCTACAGCATTCTTCCCCAACCTGATGCCTTCCAGATCCTTTAAACTTTAACTCCCATCAGCCCTGGTCAGCATGGCCAGTGCATTGCTGAAAGTCACAGTTCAAAACATCTGAAGGGCATTAGACTGGGGAAGTTTGCCCTACTGATATCAACAAAATAACTTTCCCAAGGAAATTACAGGTGAGACACTGGATCTTAAGACATATAGGTTGTAAAAGAAGCCAAGTGCTCTATACAGGTAGAAAGAAATCAAAGTGTCTGCTGGAGTAGGTTTCTTGATTAATTGATAGATAGATAGATGAATATGGTCAGAAAAATATACCCCCAAAAATAAAGTGGGGGAAGCTTTGAAGTAGTATGGGAAAACAAATGACAAATGCAACATTTATCCCAACAAAATTGGGAACATCACGGTAAGGTCAAAACCCTTTTCATGAGATACTTTCACATTAAGTAAGCTGGAACTGGAGTGTTGCTCAGATCAGGGCAGCTGATGAGGTGTTCAAGACAGCCAACATTTCTGGTAAAAACCATGAAAAAATGAGCAGATGCAGAAATACACTGAGAAGGACTGTGGGGAGGACAGACCTAACATTTCTGCAATAGTAGGGTCCCTCTGGAAGTATGATCCACTGTGTTGCACACAAATATATTTTTCCCCTTGAGAGCTGAGCATGGACAAAATGGCTCTACATATTTGAAGCAGAAGCTGCTGTGCTAATTGAGTGAAACCTGCTTCCCCCACAACCAATGATGTCACTAGGACACATTTCTCAACCCCCAGAGCCATTCTGCCTTTTAAAACAACTGGCAACCAATGAATTCATAAATACCAGAATGTTCCCGAAACACGTCATCGTTTTTAATTGCCTGGAAGGGAGGACATAGGAGGGGCAGGACTGATAGCAGAGGCAACTTTGGATGTTCTAGTATGCACATTTGTCATTTCAGTTGTGAATCCAGAAGGAAGCCAACCTGTCTTTACTTTGTGTCATATTAGTGGAAAGAAATCTCACAGACCTGGGATGGAGAGGCTGCAGGAAGAGCCAATATTATAGCACCTCTTTGGATCATGTGACCAGCTGTCCCACAGGTGGCTGTAGCCCCACCCTTCACAGACCAAAGGCCAAACTAGCCCTGAGGTCAGTTACCTGAATGCACTTAGCTAGGCATGTAATGGGTCATAAAGAACAGCTGGGGAAGCTCAGCTGTCAAGAGCAGGGAAGGAAGGGGGCATGTAACCCTCTCCCTGCCACTGCCTCCAGATGCTTATGCAATTCCCATAATTTTTGCTCACTGCCCATCCTGGTTTGGGCTGATGGGAGTGTAGTCAGACACATCTGGAGGCTGCAGGTTGACTTTCCCTACTTAAGACTATGGGGGTGGGAAGAGAAATCAAACCCCCCTTTCTTCATGGACCTGGAGCTGCTCCAGCTTCCCCATGGCTGCAATATATATTTAAGAAACAAACAACATGTACATGTTAACCAAATTCATGCAAGAAACCTTACAGCTAGTTTGGCCCTAAGGCATTTCTTTGATGAGCACGGCCTGCTTCTGGTCCCCAGCTGGGACTGGCACACAGCAAGAGTGTCAGAATTCCTAGGGACTGAGCCAGGGATGCTGAAGGCATTGCTCAGCTGCTGCCCTTCTTTCTGGAGCATACTCCAACATTGGCAGGAGAAAACTGGCAAATGGGGCGGCCTGAGGCTTTGGCCAGCTGTATTTATCCGTGAGGACATGATAGAGGTCATAGGAGGAGATCCAGGACATCCGCAGAAGAGCACCTGCCAAACGAGCAGAAGAGAACAGCTGCACCGAGATCTGGAGACATCATGCATTCCTCCCAATTACAAGGTTTCACATATTTGTGCTTCCACAATTGCATCAGGCAAGTGCAAACTCTAATCTGGCCTTCAGTGTGGTGCCCAGAGCAACTTGCTCCATTTGCAAATGGCAGGGGTTGTGGGGAGAGGATAGACGGAGGGCCTACCACCCCTACATCCTCACCTTTCCTGGTAAAGAATTGTGATGCCTGCTTCCAGTACAAAGCAATTTTGGGTGGGATTCTGCCCAGGAGTTCGATGATCCGTGCCACATGATCTGAAATGGGTGGAAAGCAAGTTTAGGGGTTTAAATTGCAGGTTTCTCCTGTAAAATGGACTCACGGAAGTCAATGCCTGTGCCAGCCTTACCATCATCTCTGGAAAAATACCGTCCAGCCTGGGGTTCAAAGAGCCGCTCTCCAATGGCCAGTTCAAAAGCCTAAGACACAGAAGAGCCTCGCGTCAGTCAACCATGGTCCAGTGCAGACAGTGCGTTCAGCACAGTGCAGGCTGAAATGTGCGCAATGCACCTGAAATGCAACTTCTGACATGAGCTTGCAATCCTGCTTGCAGGTGGCCGCCTGCTGTGAGATCTGTGCTCTAATGGGATCAGGCAAATCCAAGCATATGATTTCCTTAGAATCTGGAAATCCAAAGTATGGGGCCCTCGAGCTTCTGCAAGGCATTTTATTTTATTTTATTTTATTTTATTTTATTTTATTTTATTTTATTTTATTGAAGGTCTTAAAACTAGCCGTCTCTGACTGCATGGCTGAGACTTGTACTGGCTAGTGCTGTTTAAGCCTTTTTATGGGTAAAGATCTTAAAACCTGTGAATTAGGTCAATTGCATGGAAAGGGGCCCTCCAGCTCATGAAGGTTCCCCTCCCAGCCTCCTTAAGCCCCACCTGTTGTAAGCCACACTTCTCCCCCCAAGCAATTGCAGTTTTACAGTGTATCTCCACTAGTAATCTTTTATTGTCAAATTCAGGACTCTGAGCATTCACATAGTGAATGTTGAACCCTTTCTGCCATTCATTATCCAGAACTCTTTTTATGAACTCTTCTGCATCGTAACCCCTGGGGAGGGGTGCTGGGACAGCAGGCATGCCTTTGCTCTTTCCGTGGTGCCCTTAGTTGGACCGCTCTCCCATCATGATGTCTAGCAACTGGGTCTACCTCTTCAGGAGGCAGGAGTTCCCCATCTCCCCCTTTGACCTGCAACACCTCCCTGTGCCCGTGGCTGAGCGGACTGGCCCCTTTGTCTGCCGTTGGGTTAACTTCCTCCCCAGCTAATTGCTGCGGAGTCTCAGAACCTTGACTTGCAACTGGAGTTTGCACTGTTTCAAAAACAATCTCATCTTTGGACTCTGATCTGTCAGACCTGCCCAAGCCAGTAGCCTCCCGGGCATGCGCCTGACACCTGGCAGGATGCGAGCGCACGATTCCTGGGGGAGCCCCGCTGCTGCCTCTGATCGCAGAGGGGAGGGAACCACCGGGGTGCCTTCTGGGGACCCCGCCAGTGCTGGGAGGCATGGCTGCTCAGAACGTCATGCCTCTCCCAGCGGGGAGGGTGACAGAGCGCTGCAATGGAGGGCCCAAGGAGACCGCGCAGCCCATGGAGGATCCCCTGGCTGCCATTCCGGCCCTCATCTGAAACTGGTCACCTGCCCCTTGTCTGCATCCGTGTGCACTTCTCTGAGGCTTCCAGAGGCATGCCCGATCCCCTGGATGATCTAAGGAGCCTTCCTTTTGCAGTAAGGAAGACAACAAGCTTTCAGTTCAAGAGCCTCTTTCCACAGTAGTTATAAGCACTACATTATGAGCAGCGATCCAGAGCATAAGCAAGTTCTGCTATCAGTGAGAGACGGGGGTTTTCCAGGCTGGGGACTCCTGGCAGTATCAATGGAGATACATCGTGGACTTCTTTTGCCTCTCCTCCCTTCTCTCTCTCTCTCATGCTCTCTCTCTCTCTACACATGCACATACAAAGAAAAAATATGGAAGAAGCAGTGAAAAAAAACATGGGAGGGTTTTGAGTGGAAGAGGAGAATGTCTGGACTCCACCTAAATTTCTGTGAATGAGGCAAGACGATAGGACCATAAAAGCTGCATCTGGAAGCGCCTTTTGTGTGTGAAAGTGAGAGCTCGTGCTAAATGGGAGCACAAGAAATGGGACAGAACTGCAGGAAGATTTAGGACCGGGTCATGAGTTGAAAGATTAGCTCCACAGCCAGGGATAGCTCAGTTATTCCTTCCAAGGGCATGTCTAAACTATACATCTTTAGAGAGCTTTAGTTTTTTTTTAACTTGCTCATCTGTCATAAAGCTAAGCTACAAACATGTGGCTTACGACTTTCAGGTTTCTTTATTTGTTAACAGTACTTCTATGCTGCTTCCAACTTGGAGGCTTATGAGAATCCAAGGGAAGGTATGAGGTGGAGCAGCACTGCTCTCCACACCCCACACTTCCTCTTGACCGCGGTTTTGGTCATCGGTATTTCTAGTGGGAAGGAGACCCGGGCATTGATTGGAATTGGCACAGCTTCACCGCCCCTCCCGCTCCCCACCCTTTCTTCCTCCGAAGCCCGGCTGCTCTCCCAGGTGTGGGGGCCGCTGGCATGGTTGTTTCCGTGCCAGGTGCAAAGGGGCTGAGTGGGGACTCACCCTTTGGGGGCCCATGTCCAAAATCACAGGTTCTTGGAGACAGCACCCCAGAGAAACTGTCAGGATCGCACCTTAAATGTTTTGCTTTTAGCATCCATGGTCATGCGGTCAGAAAGGATAGAAATATGAAAAAATAGGCCGGACTTTCCTTATCTGCTTTAAGATGAATAAGTAACCAGAACAAAAGAGGGGGGACAACAAGATCAAAGCAGGTGCGGTGCCTGAGTTTCTTGGCAGTTATGGACGCCCAGGGTCAAAGCTCTGTCAAGCGGCTCGGGAAGCTAAGGAAGCACAATCAGTTGACAGGCAATCAATTCCTATCTCTCGCAGGCAGCCCTGATATCTCAGGTTGTGATGGTAAACAGATGGTTGAGATTCCAAAGGCAAGTGTCATCATTACATTTACACTGCAGTTGCTGATGGACCGTGTTCCTACCAGGCACGCTGCACTCCAGATGTCTGCTGGGGTGCTGTAATCTAATCCCAGAAGGACCTCTAGAGCTCTGTAGGGCTGAGTCTGGATCTTTTTGGAGAAAGGCTTGTACTGCAAGAGACAACAGTAACAACGGGTAAACTGAGGGTGGAGCCTCGCATGCATCTTTAGGGTGACCAAAGTATGGTATGGATTTGGGCCAAGGGGAAAAATGAGCTTGGCTACAAGATATTCATGCAAGGATTTTCTCTATGAGGAAAACTGCTCTCATTGGGAGTCTATCATCTAACTTCTATCATTCCTATGCTGCCCGGGAGTAATGGAAGCTGAGAGTCCGAAGTCATTTGGAGGGCTAAAGGTTTAGGCTTTCTGAGTGCCGAAGAAAGGTAAGCAAGGATGGAGTCCTAAACACATTTACCAGGAAGAAAGTGCCATTGAACCCAGTAGGACTTACTTCTGAGTAAGCATGTCTGACTGCACGGCGAGCAGGCCCATGATAAAGGCTTATAAAATTAAGCAAAGTATAGACAAAGTAGATATACAGAAATACTAGAATTCAACCAGTTTAGGTAAGATTAAAAAGAGGATCAGACAGATTCATGGAGGGTAAGCTTGTAGTTATGATGGCTCCATTTCACCTCCAAAGTTGCAGGCAGCCGCTGGAAAACATGAGTGGAAAGCTGTGACCGTACTCTTATCCTGCCTGTGGCTTCCCAAAGGCCACTGTGGGGCACAGCATGCATGAATATTTGACCAAACAGATATTGGAACAAAGCCAATCAGACCGCTGTGGCAACTTGTAGCCCTCCCAAAGTTTTGGTATCATCAACCCCATCATTTTTTAGGGCAGATGGAAGTTGTAAAGGGCCACAAGTTGCCAGTCCCTGCAATAGGGATGTTGTTCTTATTTTCTGCCTGTCCTCCTAGTAGCAAGCTCTGCTTCTTTCCCAGCACAATAGACCAGATGCAGACCTATACCAAGAAGTGGGCCTCTTGCACATGTTCTGTGCTATACATCAGAATGCCGTTCTTTCTTGTTTCAGTATGGTGCCCTCTTGCCAGGACAGCTGGCTGCCTGCTCACGTCAACAGAGGAGGCAGGAGCAGGAGGAGGGAATCAGGTACACTGGTCATAAGAGAGCCTCTGGCCATGGGGCGGCATACAAATGCGATCAATAACTAATAATAAATAAGAGCCAGTGGTTGGCAATATACTCACAGTCCAGCATGCGCTTCCCAGGTCTGCAATTTTCACTCCCATTTTCATTAGGTTGCAACAATCCAAAAGAGTAGCAATGTCATCCTCTGGAAGGGACAAAGATGTGGAAATAAGCTCTAGAATTTACCCTCACACCAATCCTGAAACAACTGGAAGGATATGATGTCCCATCCTGAGGAAAACCAGTTCAAAATCAGTGTAGAGTTGTCATTGTCAGATGTATATTTGAGAGAACTCTGTTAGAAGTTCTGTGCTGGTCAAGTGAGTGCATCAGATTTGCCCTGCGGGCTTTTAATGCCCCGTTTGGTGTGCCCCAGTTTCAAGGGACAGAGGAGGCAGCCTAGTATAAAAAGGGAAAGCAGGTTTATTAAGAAGAATACATTGCTGGAAAAGCCTGGCACTGGATTCTGTGTAGAAAGCGTGCCTAGCAGGAGCGCATGGCAGGAGCAGAGTCATGCCTGCTCACGTAAAGAACAGGAGGTCAGGGTGGCCACAGAATGCAGAGCTCTGTGTGATGGAAAGCAGAGGTCCAAGAGTAAGGAAAGGCAGCATCTCTGCCTGCTCTGCTGTGTCCCTCGGGCTCCCCGTGGTCATTCGGGAGAGATCGGTGCCAAGTGAGGATGCCAGGTCCAGTTTCCAACAGCAGCCTGATGTCGCCTACTGTAGGTGTGATCTCTCGACAGCAAAAACTTATGTCTTGTAGGATATGAATTTAGCAATTAAGGAGTGGCATTCGAATCCTGGAGAAAGATTATTTTCTATCACCTATAGATAGGGCTTTACATTAGACAGTTTTGTGCCCTCCATCCATTAAGTAATGTTACCCAGTTTGGCTTCTAATGACTTTTCTCCTAATTTTCTTTTATCTAGTCTGTCACCTAGCATAAGCTTTAGCTTTGATAATAGAAAAATTGTCTCTTCTATCCTCTATCCCACAAGGAACATGTAAGGTTTATTTTTGTGTAACCATAAAAATAACAGCTAAAATACATGACTAAAATAAAAATTAAGTCAACATTCCAGCAAGTACAATTATTCATTTAAAATATGCAGTTTATCATCACTACCAATTTTCTTCCTTATAAGTGACCTTCTAAAAGCAAAATAGGCCACCTTTTCCAAACTACAAGGGAAATTATCCCCCAAGAAGAAATTAATCAATTGAATGAAAGATCTAGATCTGTATTTTATTTATTTATTTAGGGTATTTCTAGGCTGTCCATCACTTTCGTCTCAGGACAGCTTACAATAAAATCTAAAAATACAGAGTACATATCCCAAACAATAATAAATTAAATATCCCATGACTGAAGTATAAAATTAATTATTAAAATAAGTTAGACAGATAAAATAATTATAATCATAATTAAGATCTATTAACATTAAAATATTGGTTAAATAAAAAGGTCTTGACCTGGTGCCAAAAAGCATATAATGACAGTGCCAGGCAGATCTCTCTAGGGAGCACATTCCATAGCCAGGGTGCCACTGCAGAGAAGGCCCTCCTCCGAGTATTCTGTCTCCTGATTCCCGGAGGAGGCCTCCGGTACAGATCTTAGAGCAGGGGTCTCAAACTCGCGGCCCGCGGGCCAATTGCTGGGACGGGCAGGGCACAGGGGAGGGGCCCTGCGGCCTTCAAAGCGCCGGCGGCACCCGGGCCGGCCTCCGGGAGCCACGCGGGATGACGCGGGATGAGCGGCCCACCACCACCGCGTGGTGGAATACTTGATGCGGCCCAGCCTCACCCAGACTCTACTTCCAGCGGCCCCCAGGTAAGTTGAGTTTGAGACCCCTGTCTTAGAGGGTGGGAGGGCATATAGGGAAAAAGACGTTCCTTTAGGTATCCTGGTCCCAAGCCGTTTAGGGCTTTATAGGTCATAACCAGCACTTTAAATTGGGCGCAGACTTCAATGGGAAGCCAGTGGAGCTGATAGAAGACTGGAGTTATGTGAGAATAACGACCGGTCCCTGACAGCATCCTTGCAGCTCTATTTGCACCATCTGAAGTATCCAGACCGTCTTCAAGGGCAGCCCCACATAGAGCGCATTACAATAGTCCAAGCAGGAGGTAACCAGTGCATGTGTCACAGTTGCTAGGCAGTTCTCATCCAGGTGAGGACGCAGCTGATGGATCAGCCAAAGCTGAAGGAAAGTGCTCCTCACCACCACCGTCACCTGGGCTTCCAGGGACAGTTCTTGGTCAAGGAGCATTCCTAAGCTGAGAATCCTGTCCTTTAGAGGGAGAGCAACCCTGTCCAGGGCAGGGCCAAAGCCACTTACCTGGGAACCTGAGCCACCCACCAATCTGCAAAAAAAGGCTGTTTTTAAGCATGATAGGTTTTAATTAGTGAGGCAGATTTTCAAGTACATCAGACCCACAAGGGTACACCCTTTCTTCATATGGGATCCAAGGGCAATGATAAGGAAGATGTGTTTCATTTAAGGCTAAAAAAAGATCCAGGTAAAGGGGGGGGGTCAGTTTTTAAAAACTGCATTAGTTATTTGCTTTCCCAGGTGCAACAAGAAACCTGTTCCAGTGCCCAGCATTCCCCAGCCAACTTTTGTAAGACTTTTTTCATGTTTAAACATGCATCAGATTATATCCTAAGTCTGCTTTTGCTTCCCAACAGTCCATCCTAAATTATGTCTAAATGCAGACTGCGTGGCTTCTATTGCAAGCCGGGCTTTGTCTCTCCTCATCTCTCCACAATACTTAATATCTAGCATGACTAAAGGCACATTCCCGCTCTCCTGGTTGGCCTGGGAACCTGCTGGCAGCGACCCGGAGGGCACTTCCAAGCACTGTGTCTCTTGCCAGAAGCTTCCCAGGCCAACCAGGAGAGCAGGAATGTTTTGGAAGCGACTGGAGGAGTTGAAGAAGGGGAGGATGGAGAGCGGTTGCTTTGCCCCGTCCCTGACCTCATGCCAAGGCGTTAGGAGAGATGATCTCCTCAGTTAGAGGGAAGCTGGGTCTTCACTTGCAGGAGCTACCCTGAGCCCACAGAGTTACTAAAAGGGGAGGGTTGGGGAGAAGTCTCTAGATTTGGTCTGACTATCATTCTTGATATGCACAGAGGCCTCTCCCACCTTACTAGAGTGTGTTTAGAGTTACTTTGTCTTGCAGCTGTGAAGTACCAATCAAGAACTGCTTTGCAAAGAGATGGGCAGGTGTTTTGGAGCCTAAGGGAAAGAAGGGGAGGGCTGCATTTATGATGGTCAGGGAAACCTGTGGTCCTCCCAATGCTGTTGCATTCCAGTTCCCATCAGCCCAGCCAACATAGCCAGTGCTCAGGGATGATGGAAGATAGAGTTCAACAGCCATGACCAAAGAGACCAGAGACCAAACATGCTTCAGGGAATGTGGGTAAACTCGATCTTACTTCAAGCAAACAAAATCTCAGCAGCCTTTTCTCCTTACCTGGCCTCTTTGACTTGACTCCCACGCTGCTTTCCAAGGAAACTGTACTGTGCAGAAGGCTCTGCAGACTCTTTTCTGTGACATAAAGCAGGATGTTCTCTGGTTTGATGTCAGCATGGATGATGCGACATTCCTTGTGCAGGAAATGCAAGCCCTGCAGCACCTACATGAACCAGAGCGCAGAAGAGGGTGGGAGGAGGAGTATCGGCCCTGGCAATTGGCAGCCCGTGTGACGGCCTCCCACGATGAGGAGCCACGCTATTGCCTTCCTCAGTGCCTTACACTGGGGAACAGGCCCTCCAGGTCTAGGTTTGAGGTGGCCACCCGTAGCCGCGGCCTAGCCCAGAGGCCCTCTGCTCAGCTGCACTGGTGAGCGAGTCAGCCCAGGCAGCACCTTCGCTAGGGGGATGCTGCTGGCCGGCCTGGGCAGTCAGACAGAGAGTGAGGGGGCACAGGCTGCCCGCTTCCACAGCACACCAACCTAGTCTTCCAAGTGAGAAAGCTTTGCTCTCACAAAGGAAATGCACTTTTATTTATACCCATAAATATCCGCCCTTTGTACTGGGAGAAAATCATTCTGCACATGCTCAGAAACAGATCCCAGAATTTTTTAAAACAAAAGCCCAATCATTTCTCTCCAGATTAATAGCCCTTCAAGCCCAGCTACTCTTTCCTTGTCTGCTGGGGCCTCTTGCACTCCCTTGTAAGCACCTTTCAGGATAGCTCACACGCTTTGCACATGGTGATGCAGAGGAGAATGGGGACAGAATTTAAACAGCCTCTTCTCTAAGTCTCCAAGGTCTGGTGCAAAGAAGAACTTGCACCTATTCGTGGGGAAATACAGGAGGGCTTAGCCTCACCAAATGCGTATGAATTTCAGCAAAGCTAACCCCTAGGGGCTCACCAAGATGCCATGTTACATAGCACCACCATTCCCTCAAAAACAACCTAGACCAGCTGCCTGTACTTAGCAGCAAATAAGCCAGGATCCAGATCTGGGAAGGCTGGGGTGGGTTTGCCCAGCAGGCCCTCCCACTGCCCCTCCGGCCTGCACAGCAAACCCCCAAAGCTACTCACCTCCTCCTTGCCCACAGGTTGGCCCAGTGGCAGCAATTGGCGGTGCTCCAGGAGCCAAGAAGGGGTGTGAGGCTGGGAGGCAAGTGCTGGCGGGCCCTGGGTGCAGGCTAGGCCAGGCCAGACGTGGCAAGGCATCGGCGCCAGAGGGTGCTGCCAGGGCGCGTGGCTCCCCCTCAGATGCACCAGGCGCCAGGTGCTGGTCGGGCCTGATGGGAGCCTGGCTCTGCTCCTCCGGAACACTTGTACTCACCTCCTGTGTGGCTTTCTTCACAAAGGGCAGCGGGAGGCCCTGGAGCCCTTGGCTGCTCAGCAGGGACTGCAGCGAAGGCCCCAGCAGCTCAAACACTAAGCACACATGTGGGACTGAGTCAGGGAGCTGCTAACGGAGAGATTTCCCGGCCTTTTTGCTCTGGTGGCGGCGGCAGCGGGTCCTCATGCTCTCACGCTGACAGTGTGCAGGAGAGAGGGCCTCATACCGAGTGCACAGAAGAAGCCGAGGCCTTGATCCAAGACCCAGTCGGGTACTCTGCCCCAGAGCCAGATGCACGCAGGACCTCCGTCTGCGCGTGGGTTCCCTGCTCATCTAGCCAGCAGATGGCGGCTATCCGTAAAGTCAAGTCAGGCCACGGTCAGCGAGGTGGCCCCCTTCTGCAGGGCCCTCGGATGTGGCACCAGAGGGACGTTGCAGGCACGCCCCGGAGCACTACGGCCCCTGCCATCTCTTTGCCGCCAGCGGCTACCACAGTGCCCCTGGCTGATCCTGCACCTCATGTCCCCATCTTCAGCTTGGCTCCCCCTTCAGCTCAGCCTCCCCAACCAGCCCCTCCAGTGCTTTGGAACCTGAGCTTCAGTCAACCTAAAGCAGCACGGTCAGTGTGCTCCCCAAAACCTCGGGAGGACATAAGGCCGGGGAAGGCTGCCTTCACTATTCCCACAGCAGGTGCGCGATCTACTGGCCCAGGGTCTCACATTTTCCATGACTGGGTAACAAACCATGGCGAATGCCCCAGTTCACAACCCACCAAATGATGGTCTCTCTTCATGACTTCTTAGCACAGCTGGGTTCAGACAACACAATAACCCTTGTTTCAATTGCAACCAGAATCCAACCTTTGAGTGTCACTTATGTTGTCTGAACTCAGTCGATGGGCACTGGCAGTCTTGTCTTAACACAATGCCGTATCCAGTTCTTGTGTCCTGGTGGCCTAAATCAAAGGATATGGAAACCATTCTCTCCAATCATTTTGAAATCATCCAGGAATCGGATGACGTGATCACTAGCACAGTCTTTCCTCCTTTTGCTGTTCACCTACAAGAAGAAAAAGAAGAACTTTGGACAGATTCTTTAATGAGGCTTTGGGGGGAGGAAATCCAGTTTGAAGTTAAGGGAGATGGCCAACAATGTCTTAATCGGTGCCCTCTTGCAGGATGGCGGTGGGGGGGCAGCCTTCCTCCTGCCATGACTGCGTTCCCTTGTGGGGTTCCACTGTCAGTTGTGGGGCAGAGCCAAGCATGGATGGGTCCCCCGTTTCTCCTTCTGCCACCCCATTTCTCTCTCTCTCCTTCTCCCTTTCTTCCACTGGGCTGCCCAGGGTTGCTTTTGCAAGAGGCTGAACCAGGTTTGCAATGGGGTTAAGCCTCATGCGGTCCTTGGGCCACATGTTGATCACCCACGTAGAGGCTCCGGTGGTCGGAAGAGGGGTGAGTTCAAAGTTACATACGCAGCGAAGGAGCTTGACTTCATCCAGGGCTGCCTCTGCAAAATCCTCCCCTCCCTTGGGCACCTTCACCGCTACACACCTCTTCTTCCTGAAAGAAGAATCCTTTCATGCATCGATGCCAGGAGCAGATCAGAGCCTCTCTGGGCTCTGAGCAGTTTCGCACCGAACATGAGCTGCCTCGAGGGCGGGCGCTGGCTCTTCCCACCAAGCCATGGAACCCAGTGGGCGGCCTTGGGCCAGACTTTCTGTGTAAACCCCTCACACAAGGTTGTCGTGAGGATAAAAGGGGATGAGGACCTCAATGTCTGCTGCCCTGAGGTCCTTCCAGGAAGGTCAGGCCACAGTAGGTGCACATGCACATGTCTCGAGAAACTTGCCCCAAGTTGTACTTCCAGCTGAAGGGGATTCCATAGCAGGCATCTCCAGAAATCGCCAGTGCCAAGCCCTTGTGGAGAGTTCTCTGGCAGAAGAGACGTCCCACAGGGGCCGGGCTCCAGGTTTTGTTTCAAAGATTGCCCAGGCAGCACCCTCGGATGACCCCTCCCCAGAAACGGCTTTGGTGGTGGGCATCCCACCAAGCCAGGCCGGAGACAGAAGAAGATGCCAGCCGTCTCTGGCAGAAGGCACAGCTCAAAACACAATGCCAGCCCCGATCTCTTCTTCACAGTGGTTTCTTACCCATGCAGGACAGTCCTGAAGAAACCACTCCAGGTTATCTGCTCTCCTGCTTGCACCTCTGCCGGGTAGCCTGACTCTTGCCTTCAGCTCCCATCATCCCTGATTCTGATGCTGTGCTAACAGTGCTAATGGCTTGCCAATGGCTGTCTGACAAGCATGCATTGCAGCCCCTCAAAGGCCCGGACTGCGCGAGTGCCACAGCCTCCCTCTGAAGGTCTCAGACAAGAATAAGAGTCCATCCACTACTGTCATAGCAAGAAAAGGGTCTACCTTATAATGAGCTGGTTCACTGGTCCATCTGACCCAGCATTGCCCATTCAATGCCTGAATTATCAGGGCATGACAACTCAGCTGTTACCCACAATGGGTTGTTGTGGCCAGTGAACCCAGGCTGATTTCTCCAAAGTGGTTTGTTCGTAAGGAACAAGCTACCCCAACAACCCATGGGTTGTTGTACGTATCTATGATGGGTTGTCATCTTGTCTGGTCCTTTGGATGACATGCTAGGGAGCGAGGAGGAGGGGGCCAGCAACCCATCATAAGCCTGATCCTCTTTTGGGCAACAACCAACATGAACATGGCCAGAGGCTGCCAGTGGCTCTTCAAGGTCTTACCCATGAATCTTTCCCAAGCCCCACCAGAATTGGGAGGGTTCACACCTGGGAGTTTCTGCAAGCCAGGCATGCAGAAAGCATCTCTGCCACTGAGCTACCCCTCTCCAGAGTAACAGGCACAGGATCCGCTTACTCACTCCACGTCTTGGCAAAGCCAGACTGTTGAAAAATAGCCACACCCCAGATTCTGCACCACATGGTATCTCCCGTTGAATGTCTCTCCTTTCCTCACTGGATAGTACCCTTCTGCTGAAAGGAAGAGGGATAAGCATCGATAGACATTAATAAAAGTCAGTGAGGTTATGGGGTTCTGCAAGTGTTCCAAAGAGTATAAGCATCTCAAGGTTAAAGAAAACTTCTGGTGCCATAGGAGCAAAATAATAACTGGGGAAATAATTTTTAAAAATAACAAGAGGCGCAATCATTATGTCACCGGTAATAGCTGCAGAGAAGCCTGCAGTTCTGTTGACAGCTACATAGTATGTCATCTGCCCTGTTAAACAGTCCTTATCTCACTCTTGGTACATTGCTGTGGCTGTCTTCTCCCTCAGCTGTGAGTAGGCTAGGATTTATGGAAAAACAAAGGAGCAGCCCTGAAAATGATAGGAAGTGGCCATAGATGGCCAGCAGCCCAGATCACGCACCATAGAAAATGCTTGCACTGGAAATTGCTTTTATGGAAGTCATTTGCTTTTAATCAATATTTCAAGAGGGATGTGGGGGTGGAGGAAATGTCTGACTGACTCCCTCCCCCTCCCCCTCTATATATGCTTTAAACAAAAAAAAGCACAAGTTTGTTAAGGGGAACAGCTGGCATTCTAAAATTGCAAGCCGTTGATGCTGCTGCTTGGAGAGTTTGCTGCTGTGCATTTCGGAGCAGAACTTGACACCTCCAACCAATGCTTACCATGCCAACAATGCTTGTTCGGCGCTTACTAAAACAAACAAGCAAGCAACCAAGTGGAAGACCACGCGGCATTCCACTTGTCCCAGCTTCTTTTGTTCCACTCGCCAAGCTGGCTAGCGGCTAGAAGTCCCTACATTTCCTGCGTCAGCTCCAACGGGTCAGTGTCCTCAGCCTGACCCACCTCACAGCTGGTTCTGAGGAGAGGAAAAGGGTGGGTGGATGTGTTGGGGGCCGTACGCTCCTTGGAGCAGTAATCGATGACACAAAGGAATCTACAAGGTGGTCTGAACCAGGCTTGCCACCCGCCTACGACTCACCTGCGCAAGATGCTGCGGGGGCCCCCTCTTGCCACTCGCCCTCGTCCATGGCAGGAACGCAGCTCTCTGCAGGCAGCCAGGCCCTCGGGACTGTTTCATTTAGGGAGACGTTCACATCTGTGGCAGAAACATCTTATTCTGAATGGCTGTATGGTAGCCGCATACACATTAAGGGGAAAGGGGCAAATCTACATAACTCTTGCATGGGTTAGCATATGGATACACGCATATTTAGAAAGAATGCCTGTTGGATGTAAATGGAAAGACGCTTGGCCATCTTGGGGAAGACTGTGGCCAGCTACTCAGGCTGTTGTCCAGATGCCCACTGCTGTCCTGCCCTCTTGAACCAGGTGTGGACCAGGCATCCTTTCAGAGTGAGGACTGTCCTCTGTAAAAGCCACACGACCATCCTAACCAGTTGTCAGCCAGCTGGAGGGATCGGAGTGCACCCATGCCTGAAAAGGCATTTCTGCCAGGTGCCAGTTCTCTGACTGCCAAGGTCATTCCGTGGCTTTACATGCACGGGGAGTGCGTGTGTGTCTCTACCTGAACCAGGGGACTCCCATGCAGTGCCTGCAGGGACCTCGACACCTTAAGGGACCGCCAACAGCACCTCCTTAGCACGCTGCTTTTTTTCTTCAATAAACATGTGGAAAATATTAGGGTAGTCTTCCTTCTCTCCCTTTCCAGCCTCTAGCATTGCTGTTTCTCTTTCCTCTCCTCTTTATTTCTCCCTCCCTTGCGGTTTCTCCCCGTTCCCAGCCTCTTGCCTCACTGCTTCCCCCTCCCCACCTCTGTAGCTCACCCTTGACTAGCAGCCCGTGCGTCTCTAGCCACTGTATCCATCAGAGCCATTTTGGGGCTTCTCGGGTTCCCAAATGTGCCAGAGAGGTTAAAGGGGATTCAGCCCATTCCAGCCCAGCTTCAGGGCTTGTTTTGGCACTGCCATGGCTTTGGCCACCCTTACTGATGTCTCGTACTGGGGGAGGAACAGCAGGGGTGTGGCCTGTTCATTTGCCTTGGTCTCTCTGGGCCATGGTCTTTCTGGAGTGTCTCTGCAGAGGGGGAGCCAGAGAATCACTGTACACGATCACTGTGATCCCACGCCTACCTCTGGAAGTGATCTTGGGCACTTCTGTTCAGCCCCTGGGAGGTTGTGCTGCGAGTCCTGCAGAATTCCTTCTTGGCCCCATGTTGGAGTTGCTATCATTACACTGCTATCCTTTCCTTTTCTCTCTTGCAAGTAATTCGAGGTGGCCTGCATGGACCACTGCCTCCTATTTATTTATTAAAAGCTTTCCCAACCTGTCCACCACTAGCGTCTTGGGACGCCTTACAATAAAAAAACAAAGGGAATAAAACAAAACACCACAGCATCCAACAATTTAAGATGATAAAACCCCAGTTAAAATCAATTAAACATTAAAATGATGGGAAAATAAAAAGATTTTCGCCTTATGTCGAAAAGAATATGATGTCTGTGCCAGGCAAACCTCTCTGGGGAGCATATTGTGGGAGCCAAGGTTCCATTTGGATGCCAGGAAGCACTTCCTGACAGTCAGGACCTCGAGGGTGTGGAATGGGCTTCCACGAGAGGTCGTTGAGGCCCCATCAGTGAGGGTGTTCAAGGATAGGCTGGACGTGCACATGGTGGGCATGTCGTGAGCGGAGCCGGCTGGTGCCAGAGGTCAGACTAGATGGCCCAGGAGGCCCCTTCTGGCTCGCTCTGTTTCTATGTTTCTATGTAGATGAGACGCCACCATAGAGAAGACTCTCCTCCGGGTAGTCACCCTCCTAATCTCCTTCAAGGAGGGCTCCCGGAGCAGGACCTCCCCCTCAGATGTCAAGGGTTGGGAGGGCACATAGGGAAGAAGGCACTCCGTCAGGTGTCCTGGACTCAATCCGTTTAGGGCTTGTAGGTCATCATCAGCACCTTAAATTGGGCCCAGACTTCAACTGGCAACCAGTGTAACCGACAGAGGTCTGGTGTTATATATGAGTACCTGCCAGTCCCCATTAACATCCTGGCAGCTCTGTTCTGATCCAATTGAAATATCCAGACCATCTTAGGGTAGCCCCACATAGAGCATATTACAACAGGCTGAGAGTCAGCCACTGGCCTTAGTCACCCAATGAACTTCAAGGCCACTTGAGGACTAGAATCTTAATCTCCTGAGTTTTGGGCAGCACTCTAACCACTATACTGCACTGGCTCCATGGTTACAGCAACTGTTAGGAGCAGACAGTGGGGAATGAGGCAAGGGGCGTTCAGTAGCTCTGTGCCTCCTTTGCACTAGAGCCAGTTGAAGTGGAGCAGAAGTTCCCTCCCTGCTTGGAGGAAGTCATGGGATGGATGAGGGCCAGTTCGGTGAAGCTGCATCCTGACAAAACACAAGTACTGTGTGGTTCGTGGCTTGGGGAATTCGGGCAGTAGCTTGTGCTGAAGGGGCTGCCCTCGTGCTGGGACAGGCACGCAGTCTGGGACACGCCTTGATTCTCCCTTGTCCATGGAGGCCCCAACACAGACCGTCAGCCGGTTTGTCAGATACCACCGACCCTGGATTCGTGCCATGGTGACCTCCTGGTGAGATGATTGTAACGTGCTGTGCATGGAGCTGCTCTTGAAGACAGCCCAGAGGCCGCAGCTGGTGCAAAATGTAGCTGCACAGGTGTTGGCTGGTTCATATTACATGACCTTTAAAATATTGCAGTGTTGCCTCTTTGTCACCAAGCTCAATTCAAAGTATTGGTTTAGAGGTATCAAACCCTAAATGACTTAAGGTTTGGCTACCCATAAGGGTGCCTTGCCCCATGTTACTATTATTATTCTTGTCATTTCTGTACCACTCAATAGTTGAAACTCTTTGGAAGGTTTACAACAATCTATTTCATCCAGGCCATTATTTGGGATCCACGCTTTCTGCTTATATCATTACCTAAGTCTGAACTTCTAGGACTTGGAATAGGGTCTTCTTGGTGACAGCATCCCACCCATAGAATGCTGGCCCCAAACTTGGTCGGCATCTGGCATCAGGTTAGATTGGGTTTTTGGTTGGGCCCATGTCATACAGGAAGACCGTAGTGTAGACATATCATGGTGTACCAGATGCTATGCTTTCATCTTGCTATTATTGTAATATGTAGTGCATTCTGTGACACACCTGAGATTGGAAGGCAATCAGGTGCTGCCCAGATGTTTGGGGAAAGAATTCCAGAATCCCTGACCGTTGGCTTTAGTAGCTAAGGATACTGGGAGCTTTAGTTCAAAACAACTATTTCTTCTAGGCCTAGAGAAATATCCTGTCAGTTTCCACTTACTTAAAACAGGAGACCAGGAGAAATTGTTATTGTGCAGCAAATTTTTACAGGGGTGCAGCCAACTGTGTCTTCCACTGGTCACTGTCCCCAGATTTCCCATCACTTCTTTTTCTCACCACAGAAATGCATTCAGGAGGGGAAAATGGAGGAGCTGCACAGTAACTTTTGACCAGCAGCACTAGAAGCAGCACTCCTTTGCGGAGCGACCAGGAGCAGTCAAGAATGAGCTGACTACTCACCTGGCTAGAACACTGCATTTGGGGGACAGCCTGTCTCCTTGGCACATGTGCCGAAGGCTCAGTCTGTGGCATCTTCACTTAAGGGGGCTTTCTCAGTCCAAGAGCTTTTCTCGTGAGCACGATTCCACACTCACACTAGATTGTGGGAGTTTTGCACAATCTCCCCCCCCCCACCCCCGCCTCCAGGGCATCTGCTGTTGTTTGCAATCACCTCAATGGCTTCTTTTAGACTGAAGGAAGTGTGGTATTATTTGGAAATTGTCCGATTAAAAGTTTGTGTATTTATGCACTGTCTCACAGAACCACCTAGTGACACCTCCCCACACTCATGTGAAGGAGCCAATGCAGCCACAAGGTTGGTGGCCGGTTTGCAGGGGATGCCGTATGAGGCGAGACTGAGGGAACTGGGTCTCTTCAGCCTGGAGAAGAGGAGACTCAGAGGGGATATGTTCGCGACATACAGGTATGTGAGGGGATGTCACACGGAGGTGGGTAGAGACCTGTTCTCCCCTGCAGAGGAAGGCAGGACGCACTCCAACGGAGCAAAGCTCAGGGAACCCAGGTTCCATTTGGATGCCAGGAAGCACTTCCTGACAGTCAGGGCCCCAAGGGTGTGGAATGGGCTTCTACAGGAGGTGGTTGAGGCCCCATCGGTGTGGGTGTTCAAGGATAGGCTGGACGTCCACATGGTGGGCATGTCGTGAGCGGAGCCGGCTGGTGCCGGAGGTCAGACTAGATGGCCTGGGAGACCCCTTCTGACTCGCTCTGTTTCTATGTTTCTATCTCTCAGTAAGGGGGTGGATTACAAGCTTCATAGAGAGATGCCCCCAAACTCTGCAAAACTGCTGCCACTTGGATCACAGAACATTTTGGGTGGGATGGATAAAAAACAGAAACTGCTACTGGGCTGAAGTGGAATCAAAATGGAAAGTGTCAGAAGAACCATCAGGTGACAGCCAACACTAGTGCTTCTTAGAGTAGACCCATAAGAAAGAGAAGGTTGCCTTCTGAACCATTGATCCACTTGAGCAGGAACTGTTGGCACTGACTAGCAGTTGTGACTCACAGTTCAGTGCTTCAGGCAGGGGTCTTTCCTCATCCTACCTGGAAATGCTGCAGATTGAACCTGGAGGCGTCTGCATGCAGAACTGGTGCTCTTCCACTGTGCTACAGCCCTTTCCTCTTTGGGCAGGGACTTCAACTGAGCAACGAAGCCCTGGACTTCCAAAACGCTCTTGACAAAGTCCCTCACCAAAGACTCCTAGGCAAACTTACCTGATACGCAATAGGAGTGGAGGCCCACTTACGGAGCAGGAATTGCTTAAAGGGCAGAAAGCGGAGAGTGGGAAGAAGCTCTACATTATACCAATAGAGGTAGGTGAAGTGCGGGTCCCTGGAAGGTTCTGCATTTTGCTGATGACACCAAAATATTTAGGTTGCTTAACGCCAAAGCAATTGTGTGCAGCTCCTAGGGGATCCGTCTTTCCGTGCTGGGGGAATGGGCATCAAAATGGCAAATGTGGTTCCACTTAAGCAAGTGCAAATTAATGCACATTGGGCCAAAAATTCCCAGCATCTCTATGAAAAACTATTTCAACAGCCATGACTGTTTAATTTAGAAAAAAAGGCAAAGGGAGAAATTATGTTGTAAGCTGTCCAGAGACGCAAGTAATGGATGGCATACAAATTTTATAAATAAATAAATAAATTATAGAGGTGCCCAGAATTGTGCATGGTGTGGAGAAAGCCGAGAGAGATTTTTCCCTCTCTCCCATACTACTAAAACCCAGGGTCATCCCATGAAGCTGATTGATGGGAGGATCAAGTCAGGTAAAAGGAAAGACTTTTTCACACAATAGATAGTTATCTGTGGGATTCAGTTCCATGAGGGATGGCCATCAATTTGGGTGGCTTTAAAAGGGGATTAGACAAATTCATGGAGCAGGAGGCCACCACTGGCCGCGGTCGCCTGTCCTGCTGGCGGGCTTCTCATGGGCAGCTGGCTGGCCACTGAGTGAGCCGAATGCTGGACCAGATGGATCCTTGGCGTGCTCTTCTTCTCGTGCTCTTTCTTCTGGCTTTAGCTCCTGCCCTGCCCTGACAGCAGCAGCCCGCAGCACTGTAGCGACTCTCTCGCCCATCAGGGGCAGCACTTTCTGGAACATCCTGCTTGGAAGTCCTCCTGCATTTCTGAACCACTGTCCCCAAGGAAGGCTCCACAGGCACACAATGCAGCACCTTTGCCCAAAGCTAAGCAGGCACAGGCCTGGTCTGCACCTGGATGAGTAGCCGCTTGAGCTCCCATCTGCCAGCTTGAGTCCCACCATGGGAAAGAGGCGGGATACAAATGCAATGGACACATGCATCGGCCTTCCCTGTAGTCCAGCACACCCTCCAGATGTGCTGGACTACAACTCCCAGCATCTCTGGCCTCAGGAATGATGAGGGTCCTATTCCAGCAAATCTAGAGGGTGAGGAAAGCTGCAGTGCACCATCGTTTAACAAATCAACAAGAGCCAGGATGGCGTGGTGGCTGAAGAGCTCAACTGCGGCTTGGGAGAGCTGCTCAGCCAAGAAAGCTCATGGAGTGACATAAAGAAGAGGCCAGCTGGGCCAGGCCAAGCCGGTACCTCGTCCAGCAGTCTGTTCGCAGCATGGACAAGCCGCGGCCCACAGGCCCACTCTTCTCCCTGCTTGGATGGGGTCTGTCTTTAGCTCTCTTGATATCTCCCTCTCTTTCTCTGCGTATGTATTGCCGCCACCAGGATTTTTAGTTCCAGCCTTACTAATTAGCCTTCGTTGGACTATGTGGTCCTGAGGATGAGACACTGATAATCAAACGGCCTGTGACTCTGAGTTAACAATAAACAAAATAAAACTTTATTTGTACAATAAGCCCAATGGCTTCAAGTATGGATCTGGAATACTGTGTCCAGTTCTGGGCACCAAGATTTAAGAAAGATGCAGAAAAATTAGAAAGGGTCCAGAGGAGGGCAACAAGAATGATCCAGGTTTGGAAACATTGTCCTGTGAGAAGAGACGAAAGGAACTGGGCATGTTGAGCATTGAGAAGAGAAGACTGAGGGGGGACATGAGATCCCTCTATAAGTGCCTCAAAGGCTGTCACAAAGAGGTAGGTCAAGATCTCTTTTTGCTGATACAAGAGTTTAGGACATGGAATAATCCATTCAAGCTGCGACAACCCAGATTCAGGCTCAATATTGGGAAAAGTTTCCTCACTGTCAGAGCAATACGACAGTGGAACCAGCTGTCTAGAGAGCTGGTGGGCTTTCCTACGTTAGAGACATTCAAGGTGAAACCAGACGGTCATCTGAGTGGGAAAGTGTAAACTGGTGTCCTGCAACAGCAGGGGGTTGGACCCGAAGGCCTTCGTGGCCCCTTCCAACTCTACTATTCTACGATTCTATGATCTAAAATGTATTTCCTTGGCAAATAAAACAACATATACGAATAATTTTTGACTTAGATATCTCACTCACACACAGATCCTCATTTCTCTCCTGCACTCAGGTTACTGTCAGTTTCTCTTTCTCTCACACTTATAATACCTAAACATATTAGGTTCCAACTCTCCCTAGTCACTAATGTGTCCTCCAAGTATTCTGCTTCCTTTTTTAGAAGCTTAAATGGTTCCCACAGCACTATATAGGATTCCAATGAGAAGGCTGCCTCTTCAGATTCTGTAGATTTGCTGACAGACCACAACCCTGTCTGTCAACTTCTGACAGATCACACTTGACTGTAACTGCTAACAGAGCACCTCTCTGAGGAAAAAGTATCTATTTTTCTCTCCTTGCACTCTTCCAAGCTCTGCCCTCACACTCTCAGTCACTAATCTGTCACCTCACTCATCCCCCTCTTTTACCCCCTTGCTCTTCTGAAACTTACCAACATTTAAAGGAACACAGTCCCATAACTCTTTAAATTATTACAGGACCCTCCTGCCCATGTTCCCCAGCCACTGGAGTACATAGGGCCAGTTTGGGCCACTCACACTCAGCTTAATTTACGTGACAGGGTTGTTGAGAGGATAAAATGGGGAATAGTTGAACCTTGTAAGCTGCCTTGGGTTCCTTGCAAGAACAAAAAAAAAGGGGGGGGGAGAAATGTTGTTGTTGTTGTTGTTGTTGTTGTTGTTGTTGTTGTTATTAAACTAAAAGGGCCACCATGCCTGCCTTTCTTCTGAGATGTGGATTCTCTATCTGCAGTTACTTCCTTCTGAGTTTCCTGCCTCTGTTTCTATGATTTCTGGAGCAGGGCTTGCAGGAGAATTCCTAGCATTTCTGGAAGGGTCATAGCAGAGATTATTTTGGGGGTCTGTGCGGGGGCTTTTCAAATGGCTGGCAGCCCAGCCACTGCTGCTCCGTGCTGTGCAGAGCTGGAAAGACGCCAAGCTGAATTCTCAAGTTCCTTCCTGGCTGCCCTTGCTTGGGTTTTCAGATGGATTAGAGAGGATTTTAAGGAAAGGCCTTGGCATCCCTGCTGGAAACCTAGGCTGGCCTGGCCTTCGAGTGGGAGAGCCCAGAGGGGCTGGCTTCACTCAGGCAGAAAGAAGAGGCTGTTCTCACACGTTCACCATATTAATATGTTCCAGTCACACAGTTCACATGTTTCAGGGTCTTTAGGGGAGGTTGGAGGACTCAGCTTGAACTCTTCATGTAGAAAAACCCAAGGAAACATCTGGAAGGTGACAGAGATCTGGCTAAACTGTTGTGTGAGAATTATTATAAAAAGATGTAAATATTAAGTGTAAATCCAGACTGTGCAAAATTCATTCTAGCAGAAGTATTTGTGGGGGTTGGTGTACAAATTCAGGTGATACAGAGGACTGGGACCAGGATCTGATTTCTGTAAGAAAGGAACTTCCATGAATGGAAGGTCTCTGTTTTTGGGTGCCCCACACTGGGGATTCCCTTCCACTGATATGCCTCTTTGCATGCAACTGCAGTCTCTGTGCAGCATTTTTAGGGGGCTGTAAGAGCTGGAAAGGGAAACGTGTGGGCAAGTCCACATCAACCAGAGCAATTGATCCCACCTAAATCTGGTTCCGACCCAGAGTATTTGTTGTTCGCTATACAGAACAATCAATTCAGCTTTCCACTTCACGATGAGTTCAAGTCTAAGAGTAAGTAACTTGATTGTTTCATACTATAATTCCCATTAGCCCCAAAAAGCATGGGCATAAGACTCTATGGCATTTGTGGCCCAAACTATCTACCGGGAACCAGCCTACCCCTGAATTAAACGAGCTTGTAATTGCCCTGGAATGGCCACCTCCCCAGATGGAGTTGCTGGCCCTGCAAATGGGGGGGGGAAACAAGATTTCATCATGATAAGCCTCAACATTTCATCGCGCATAAAAATTAGCACTGTGCACTAATAACATCAAAGTAGGTGTCCTCTTCCTGATGAGGGCCACACGTGCGAGAAATGCGAAAATGATCTGATAACATCGCCACAGAAACACCAATAGAAAAAGTGTTGAAAATTGGCATATTTATGCCATTATACTCCCATTTGTGGCAACGCATCTCATGTAATTGTCTCAACTTCTGAGAATACGCTTTATTCAAGAGTGCCTTTTGTTGGCTGGGTCACATTGTGAGCAACAGTTCAAAATATCTTTTTAAAGACTTTCATGGATTTTGTTATTTCACTGACTAGCAGAAGACAAAAAGTCTAGGGATCAAAAAGCAGTGCCATTGCAGCCTGAAGGTCTCTGTCTTAAAGACACCCTTTCCCCCCTTTCTTTCAAGCACTTAATAAAAAGGTACAGGACCAAATGACATCCAGGTGTGCCATTCTTAGAAAATGTAGGAAATGTGGGATACTCACCTGCGCCGTGTTCTAAGGCTTAATCAGCCCAGCTCAGTTCATTCTGGATGCCCCCCCAAAGCAGCCCTGAGCTTGCGGACCTGCCAGGCTTCTGAGCTCTGGGGAGTGTCGTCCAACAAGCACCCACTGCTTCCCTTTTTAGTCCTCTAGCTGCAGAGGGGGCGGAGGGAAGGGGGCGTCCCAAGTCCCCCAGCAGAGCTGCAGCCAGGAGAGCAGATTGGGATTGGATCACCCTGGAAACACGGTACCAACTTCGGAACAGTTCAGGGACCTGGGACAGCTGGGGGGGCTCTCACTTTACTGCCTCCTTTCGCCCTGCACCTGTCGGAACAGCTTCCTGCCTCTGCTCTCTAATACTTTCCTGGCTCCCTCTCTGCCCTGCTACCAAAGCAAAATCTGGAATCTCTAGGGAGGGTGCTTATTTATAGATCAGCATGTGCAGATTGCCGAGATGCAAGTGCAAACGCTGGCATTGTACAGCTGGCTTCCTCAGCCGCTTCTCACAGTGAGGCTGTTGTCTTAAGATTAAGACCTGGGAGTAAGTCCACTGCGCCCACAGGACTTGCTTCCAAGGCTGTGGAACACTGGCAAAAGCCCAGGGGACTAGGTGTGACCACTGCAGGACACCCCTGCCCTATAAATTAAGCCCCACACATTTTGTTTCAAATTGTGGGATGCCAAGCCAAGGAGTTAAAAGAGACAGGCAGGCATCAGTGTTTGCTCTTGGGTACCAAGGTGCTTGGAGAGAGGGGCAAAGTCCTCCTCCTCCCATCCTGGTCAATGCCCCCACCCCGTGCTAGTAGGCACAGAGAAGGAATAACACCAAAGAACAGGCCAGGTGCATTACCAGTAGGAATGGCCCACTGCCTTCCTGGCCTGCCAGTGGGCTCCCCAGGCAAGCTCCCCTCCCCTTGCCCCGGCCGGCTGCAGGGCGTCGCTGCCAGCTGCACTGTCTCCACCTTGGCTGTACATCAGGGACGGGGAACATGGGGCCCTCCTGATGTTGTTGGCCCACAGCTCCCATCATGCCTCACTACCAGCTATGGTGGCAAGGGCTGCTGGGGGTTGCAGTCCACATGTTTCCTACCTCTGTTCTACACCCAGCAACACCCACACACCTTTCTGTTCACCAGCCAGTGTGGCATCGTGGTTAGAGTGCTGGAGCGGGATGTGGGAGAGGCAGGTTCTGGTCTCCACTTGGCCATGGCGCTCCCTGCATGATGTTGGGCCAGACGGTGACTCTCAGTTTAACATACCTCACAGGGTTGTTGTAAGGATTAAATTGAGAGGACAATTAGCGAAGCTGCCTTGGGTTCCCTGCAAGAGGAAAGAAGTGGCAGTGATAGTAGCCATCATCATCATCATCATCATCTCACGCCCTTCCTCCTACCTCCACCACCTATTACTTGAAGGCAGCTGCATCATCCTTCCAACCCACCCACCCATTCTACAATGTCTGGCAGCCTTTCGCCAGCACAGACCAATCCCTGTACCCTAATTTTGCCCTACATTTGATCACCGCCAGTCCCACCGTCCTTAAACCCTGGTTTGGTTCCGCACATGACTGAGAGTCAGGGAAGATAGGAAGCTGCCCCTTGCTGAGCTGGACCATGGATTCACCTCGCCCAGCACTGCTGGCACAGACTGGATTTTCCTCACCCGGCCTGGAGATGGCCAAGATTGAACTGGGAGTGTTTGCATGCTGTAGCACCAGGCCTGTGGCCTCGGCCATGCCAGTGCTGCCCTGGTTTGCCACTGAAAGTATATTGTGGGCCTGGTCACACTTTACTCCGATGATCCCTTAACCCTTCCAGGTAGATCCCTCAGGGATATCTGCTGGGACATCTGCATGTTCTCTCCCCGTCGGATGTGAGGGCTGGTGGGTTTGCTGGCCACTGGGGAGGCCCAAAGCATCAGCGTTCTTCTGATGCAGAGGAGGAGGAGATTACTGCTATTATTCCTGCATTGCTTTTATGCACCACCTTTCCTCTGCTTGCAAAGAACCCCAGGCAGGGTACAAGTTTCTCGCCCTCCCCATTTTATCCTCACAACAACACTCCTGTGAGGTAGGTTAGGCTGACAGTCCATGACTGGTACAAAGTCACCCAGTGAACTTCAGGACTGAGCGGGGACTAGAACCAAGATCTCCACAGGCCCAGTCTAACCAGTCAATTACACTGGCTCCCCACTGTGCTCCCCTAGCCTTTTCTGTTCTCCCATCTGAATCTACCAGCAAAATTTGGTGGTACAGCAGCAAAAAAAGGGGAGTGATTTCCCTGAGTTTCACATTGCTCTGGGGAAAAAATCCACCTTTTTTGCTGCAGGGATGTCATTGCATTGCCAAATTTTGGCAGTGGCAGGGATTCATCTCGGATGGGTTCCAGCAGCAGGAAACTGGCTCCCGGACTCTCCAAAGCTGCCCACAAACGAGTGCTGGCCGACTGCCGAAATGCCCACATGAGCCATTGTAGTGGCAGCTTCCCAGCGCTGATTGAAAACATTCCAGGGGAAGGGGCCCAAGAGGCTACATCTGCACCCACGGATCCTGCATTTTTGCCCAAGGATGCCACCTGCTGGCACCGGGTGCCTCCTGTGGGGACACAGAATCCGGTGGACCTTGCTCACAGTGAGATGGTCTGAGGGGTCACCTCCTCTCAGGGAGAGCCTGAAACGTGCTGTGGTGGGGAGCAAAGTGTTGCCAAGCAAAGGCAGCACTTGATATGGGAAGGCATCCCTCCTGTTCCAGGTTATAGAGAAGCCCGCTCCACTAGGAGGGCGGAGGGCTTCGTCTCACGGAGCTCCGTCAGAGAGACTGGAGGGCAGGTCCCATTCTTGAGGAACATGGCAAGGGGCACTTCAGAGATGCAGCTCTGCCACCAGCTAAGGATGAATGAGCCCTTTGGTACCCACACAGAGAGGCTGGGTAGAGCTGAGCTGGACCCGCTCCCCCACCCTGCACCGATCCACTGCGAGGTACAGGTAAGACTGTGCAGACTGGGACAGAAAAGAAAAGATAGCGAAGCGGAGAAGGTCAAGGTGAATCTTTTGATCTCAGAGGGAATTATAGAGTATTGTGTGTGGCCAAAGCAGAGTTTACTTATTACGTTGATGCCCCACCTTCCTATAAATTATCATAACCATTAAAATATTAAACATACATTCATTCTTTTCTGCAAAGAGCAGTAGGATGAAAAATAGGTATTTTATGTATATCTTATGATCTACCATGTGTTTTACAATTTTTAGTATGGTTTCAAAATGTCAATCCTGTTTTATATTGAATTTTGAATTGCAGACCCTCCCAGAGGGATCATTCAAGCATTCTTCAGGGACAGGTAAAACAGCTTCTCTCCTGCTTTTTGACCCAATTTGGGCCTTCCCCCACCTTGGCCTCCCCACCCCCAGAAACTATGTAGTGCTTTATTCATAAAGGCGGCACTGGATGGAGAGACTTGTTCTTCTTCTTAGAGAACTATAGCTGAAATCGCCTGCACTGACCTCCCCCAACCTGGTCGCCCCCAGTCAGCAGATGGGGGTGATTTGTAATCATTTGGGTGTGCCAGGCTGGGGAAGGCTGGCGAGGCTTCACTGCAGCAGCTTTTAACAAAAGTGTTGCCTTTTTCTGTAGCAGAGGCAACCCGCCTGCATGAGCAATGGGATAGATAGACTGTACTCTGCATGAAGCCGAGTTGAAGGAGTCCATTCCCCAGCTGCACTGCAAGTTCATGTCTGTGGGTGCAGGGGGCTGGACCCCTTTCAGCCCAAGGGCCAGATTCCACCTGCAGAAGCTCCTGAGAAGCTGCATTGCAGTGGTGGATGGAAACTGGGAGGGGCCATGCCTAGCCGCATGTTAGCTGAAAGCTCTTCCTGCCAGCAAATAACCCTTTGGAGACACGTTTAAATCTTCTGGGTGTGGAAATAACTGCACCAAAGCTGGAAAACCATTTTATCATGGGTGGTTGTGGCAAAGGAGTCTTTCTTTGGAATTTCCCAGGTCCTCTAAACCCAGCTGGCTGAAGCCACAGCATGGGAGCCAAGCCCTTCCATCAACGCTGCATGTCCCCAGGCCAGACATGACAGGCCAGGCACCAAGCGCCTGCCCACCCACGAAGGAGCGGCTTCTGTGCGAGTGATTTGCACTGGGAAAGCAAGCACAGGCAGGGGGAGGCCTTCCTCTTTTCTTGCCGGCCGTGCCTCAGTCCTTCCTGGAAGCGCCCTCCCCTCCTGCCTGCAGCTGCCGCGGAGCATTTCAAGCTCGTGCTACATCCCCTCGGGGACATGGCCACCGCTTGTGCGGCGGGCAGGCACAGAGTGTTGCAGAATGAGGAGCCGGAGAGATGGAGGCGCGGTCGAGAGGGCCTTACCAGGCACTGCAGCAGGGTGCAGTCTGGGAATGGTTGCTTCCCGGTCCCCGGGGCTCTGCAGGGAGGGAATTTCCTTTGCACTAAGGCAGCCCAAGTTTCCTTGTAGCCCCCTGCTGTCCACTTTGATGGCTGTCTCTCTCCAGAGTCTCAGGCAGAGATGTCCTTTCCCTGTCAACCTGCCCCCTGGCCCTTAAATTGTGGGTGCCGGGGACTCTCTGATGCAAACAAGCACTCTGCCTTGACTCTGCAGTCCCTTCCTGGAGGAGAAGGGAGTTTAGAATCAGCAGCAGGACCCTCAATCATCTTAGCAAGCTGCAGTCCCCAGGACAGCTCTTTTATAAGCTTGCTGAGCACATCCATTCGTTATACCATGAATTGATCAGATATAAACAAGCAGTGCAGATAGATAAGAGGAGGGTCTCCATGGATCCTCCGGGCTTTGAAGGGTGTTCCTGCTTGAGAGGTTACAATCAGGGCTGACAGAGCCTGCAATGACTCTAACGAAATAAAAAATAAAGATCTTGCTGAAATACTGAATTCTAGAAGCTGCAAAGCATGAATGGGGAACCTCCAGCCCATTGGCCCACTTAACCTCCCTGGCGGCTGCCGGCCCCCCTTCTTGCCTCCACTGCAGCAGTTAGGCCAGGAAAAGCATTTCACTGCAGTGGCCGTTTCCAAGACTAACTGCAGCCCAGGATATCTGTGTGTCTCTGTGCACACGAGTATGGACATGTATTATATGTATGAATGTGGGGCTGTGGTATGAGTGAGGATGAAACAAGTGCCAAATCTTGTTTCATCTTTTTTTCCTTTTTATCAATGGTAACCCAAAGAGTTTGGAATGCATGTTCTGTCTTGACATGTTTTCCCTTTTTGCTTCCTCTTTTCTTTTCCCCACCCTGTAGGTTTGGTTTGTTTGCTTTTGCTATAACTGCAAATCATTTTGTGTCTGACTATGAGCATACCTTTGACCCATCCTGTTTTTTTGTAAGGCCCTACCTATCTCTGGCATGAGATAAAAAGACTCCTCTATGCCTACTGTATGGCATTTTCCAGGTTTTACTCCAACTTCAATTTGCAATTCTGTGCACATCTTACAAGGCAAACTCCTCCCAACTAAGTGCACCTCCTTTCCTTCCTCGTCTTCTGCAAAAGTAAACGTGGAGGAGGCTTGCAGGCAAATCTCGAGCCACACCCTGCCTAGCTTCTCAAGGGTCCCCAGAGCTACTGATTTGTGAACTGCAGAGCATGAGGGACCCTGACCTGCAAACACCACCCGATCCACTACCTTGCTTTCACCACCTGCTGCAGGAGCACAGAATAAGCCCCAGGGCTTAACAGCCAGGTAGCACTTTTCTGGACACGTCCTGTGCACTTCTGAACATGCACAGAGTGCAGTTGTCTCAACTCACCCTGCTGATGCACTCTACTGCACATCCATCTGAGCTCCAGTGACAAATCAGAGCAGATATGGGATCGAGGCTCTCAACATTGCTAAATCCCGTCAAAACTTTATAGAAAATTATGGGAGAAACATCGCTGCGGCAGTTGGTAAGAAGCGCGGTTCCTTTAGTGCAGAGAAAGTGTTGCCCTTGGCAATCACTGAGCATCCCTTGCTGGGGAAAGCTGGGCTTTCCTTCATGAAGGGATTCAGCGCTAATGTGCCAAGCCCGGAAGCACACCGCCTCCTGTGCCCCAATCCTGCAGCTGTGTGGGGCTCTCGGATCCGAATTAATCCCCGCCCTGACCTCGTCGCTATTGTCTGGCCAAATCGTACCACGATGCATGTTGGTGGGCGGGACGGATCGCCGCAGGCTTCCCCCTTCTATTCAACGTAGCGCGTCCCCCGATCCCCCCCCCCCCGGCGCCAGACATCTTGCCCACGCGCGTCCCCTGCGCGCCACCCGCTGCAATGCAGGCGCTCCCCTCCGGCCGCCACCGCCCCAGACCCGCTCTTTACTCGACAGAGGCGGCAGCCATCTGTGAGGGAACCGCGGGCTCGCAGGCACCTGGGAGCTGTAGTCCCACGCCAGCCAAAGGGATGGCGGGGAAAACCTGTGCCACATCCCGCTTCCCGTCTCGGAACCAGCCCCGAAAGGGTTTCCCGACCGGACGGCTCGGCCGACGGGCCCGAGGAGAGAAAGAGCCCCTGCCTCCGCTGGCCTTAATGCGAAAGCCCCAAGCGTGAACAAGCGCCTTCTGGCTTGTGGAGGAGCCACCGTCTTTCTGACGGTTGAGGGGCTCGCTTCATGCGCCTTTGAGGCGAGCAGAAACGCAACAGGTGCAAGATTTTGCTTTTTCCAGGCTGGCAATGCAGTGTTGGGGGAGCTTAATCTATTTAATGTGCATGTGTGCAAAGCAGCATCAGGGTGGGGCGGGTAATAAACCTAAACGACATTAAGTGGTTATCAGAAGCAGGCCTGCATTTTGCCTGGCAGCATTTCCAAAGAAGGCTCGCCATCTTTTTCACTGGCTTTGCTACTGAGCTTAGAATAATACACTTGGGATACCAAAGGTCATCTAGTCCACCCCCTTGCCCACATAGGGCTCCACCAGTGCAGCGCCCCTGATAAGAGTTTTTTTATGCAAAGACTGGATGGCCACCTTCCAAGGCAACCTATTCACTGACAAACAGCTCACATGGTCAGGAAGCTCTTCCAATCTTTGCATCCCTTCTCTTGTAGCTTGAATCTGTGGGTTGGCTGAGGCATAGACAAAATGGTTCTGTCAGTCATGTGATAGTCCTTCAAAGGTTTTTAGACGGCTTTTCTATTGCATCTTACCACCTTTATTCTTCAGGCTAACCATACCTTCTTCAATCACTCTTCACAGAAATTGGTCTCCAGCCATCTTGTCATCCTTGCCTCCCTCCTCTAGATGCATTCTACTTTATGAATATTTTTTTTTACTGCAGGGGCCAGCTTTTTTAACAGCAGTTTGACATCCAGAAATTAAGCTGGTGGAACTTTTCCTGGCACATAAAGAAGTATTTGGAAAAGCTTCACTTGCCAACTTCTCTGAGTTTGCTGCTGTTAAATACTCAGAATAATAGGCAGGGAAAAAATGGGCAATCAAGCATCCTAAAGCACCTCACTTGTGGCTCTTAATGCATCATTAAGGAAGTCACCGTCAAAGGAAACCAGCAGCCAGAGCCCTGTCTGTGTTGTATATTAAAGTTTATTGAATTACCGTGTAAGAATTTTGCTCTGTGATAAAGTCATCTGGGATCTAAACTGATTATTTACAGACAAAACTTCTCATTTCATGATAAAATTCCTACTTTGCACAAAACAGTATCTACAATAACATTATTATACTATAAAACAAAACAGGCTGGTTTGTCCGTCAAGCTTTCCAGATTAATAATCATTCTCCAATCACTTCAGAGAGCACATTTGGATAGCTGCGCTAGAGTGCAGAAAAGGAAAGCAGGATATGAATGAGGGATGCAAGAAATCAGAAAAGAAACATTCCAGATCCCCCAAAGTTCAATGTGGGGCTGCAGCTTGACCTCAACAGCAGTCACAATCAGATTCTTTCCACAGAATTATGTCCCCTCGTAGAAGATGTTCCTTTTAGCCTTTATGGTGAACTGAAAGATCCATATATAAGGCCATCTTCCCCAACCTAGTGCCCTCTAGATATTTCTGGTCTTAAAACTCCCATCCTTTGCCAGTGTGGCCAATGCTCAGAAATGCTGGGAACTGTTGTCCAAAGTATCTGAAAGGAACCAAGTTGGGGAAAGTTGATACAGGATTACAGAGACCCTGCCATGGAGAAGGGGCCTCTCCTTAATCATCCCCTTGCTGTGGAAAGGGAACCAGCCCCAGCTTTTCCATAGGGCTGCTAGCTGAGCAGAACAAAGGTCTTCCATCCACAAGTAGAAATCATAGAGGAAGTTTTCTGTGACATGGAACTTTGAGCATTGTCTGCCTATTGATTTCTGCAGAGCAGATTTTAATACGCAAGAACACAGGCTGGGAAAAGGGTGGACAACCCATCTTCCCCACACAGCCGTTCAGGATTCTCACCCTGCCCCACAACCCCTGTGACAGTAAGCCATGCAAAAAGATCAAGGAGGGACATGTTGCGTCTCCATATGCTTGAGTTACTGCTAAAGCAGGGCTGGAGAGCGTGTGACTCTCCAGGTGGTGTTGGACCACAGCTCCCATCACCCATCACCCCTAACCATAGGCCATGTTGACGAGGGCTGATGGAGGCTGGAGTCCAAACCACATCTTAGGCTTAGGCCTCTGGGCAATCCTAGCTGTATCTGTACCACCTTCCTCTCTTGCCAGCTAGTGCAGTTGTAACATGGATTTCGCAAACCATCTGTGGAATCTCCATGACCCCTGGAGGAAGGAGAGGTTTGGACAATCATTTTATTTATGCCCAAGTAACTGCCCCAAGATGGGTGAAGTTGGGGATACTGCTGTGACTCTAAGACTGGCCAAGGGGCGCCTGCCTCAGTGAAGACACCTTTCCTACTTTGCACAAAGTATCCCCAAGGCAGGAGTGCATTCTTGGCTCCTTCAGGTGAAGGCAGCCATGAAGGGCTCCCAAGGGCTCCCAAGAGATTTCTGCATTTTCTTCAGAGAAACTACAATCCTGCTTGTCATGACAGCAATTAGCTATCTTCAGGATTGAAGATACAGCCCCCCGAAGACCAGTTGCTGGGAGAGGCCTGCTTGTGGGCATCTTGGTGATCGGCAAGTGTGGAAAAAAGCTTGCTGGTCTTAGAGAGACCCTTGGCTTGACCTGGCCAGGCTTCTCTCAACTCCTGCTTCCCAGAGACTGAGAAGAATGGGGGCAGGGGGCAGCGGTCATCCCATTCTATAAAATGTGACGTGTTCCAGATCCATCTCTGCAGCATATTCATGGTACAAATCATAGCAGGATAAACCTCCAAGGATAGTTGCCCAGCTGTGCAGAACTCAAGACTAAGGATCCCTTCAGAAGCAGGACTTAAACCAAGATCTTGCAACCTGTTTTTCAATCAGAAGACCAGTGCAGGAATGGGAGGAATAAAGATGAGCAGGTACAAAGTACTTTCCTTCACCACTAAGTAAAGAAGGGGTAGCTATCAGCTGCCTGCCGTTAACAGGGAAGAACATGAAGCTCAAATGTCCAGGCCAGACGCTCAGGCTGCCTCAAGCTCCATCATGCCTCACCGAAGGTACTAAGGACTGGTCTGAGATAACAGAGAGAAGAAAGAATATACAGAGGTGGGACTGAGCCTCAAGAATGATTTCAAAAGGGATAAGCAGACATGTTACCGTGGTCTATTGGTTCCACAGCACTACAGACACAAAACTGGGCAAGGCAACATTGGAATGTGGTAGGCAAGACTCGGTGTTGAGGGCTCCACAAGGCCTGTAGCCAGGGCAGTTTGAAGCTGATACTGCCCTTTCCTGAGAATCTCCATCTGTAATCTCAATAATCCTTACAATTACTATGTAAGGGAAACCAGTACTCTTATCAGCACTCCCTGTTTCATGGACAGAGGCTGAGAGATAAGCGGATGGCTCAAGGCACGGAGGGAGGTTACAGCTAGGCCTGGATCTGGCCAGGAATGCTCAGGCCAATCTCCAGACCAGCATGTAAATTTCTTGGTCAAACTAGGCAGGACACAGAAGATCCACAAATATGGTCTTCTGCTTTGTTTTTAAGAATTTAACAGCAGCCAGAGGGGGAAAAACAAGCCATTTGGACTGGGACTGTGTTCTGGCAGAGCGGGGAGTGAGATAAATCTTTCCCGGCCTGTGCTGTTTCCCTGATATAAATCCCTCTAAAGCTGGTGTTTGTCTTAAAGGGGAAAAATGCATGAAGCCGTACGGTACCTGTATGTTCCACCACACTGAGAAAGTACCTTCTAGGGAGATTCAGCTCAGGAAAATGGCATAGAGGAGAAAGGTTAGCTACTCTCCTTAGAACTATGATTCCAAGCTGAATTTCCTCATAGCTGCTTTTAAATAAATAAGTTTAAACCCCACAAGTATCCTATTTGTGGATTTCCCACATCATATCTAGTTTGGTCCTTACCTGATTAACCTGTTTTGGTCCATGAATGCGTACCCTTCTAAGTTATGTAAAACTCTTTGTAGAGCCTGTCGAAGACGCCTCTTGAACTTGAAAGCTTGCATGTGCTTATCCCAACAGACAGTCCAAAACAACTTAGCTTGGGTTTTGAAGTTAGGGGATGTACCAAATGATGAATTCTATCCTATCCTTGAATCTCTGCCTGTCAGCTAAAGCCCAGGCAAAAAAAGATGGCATTCCTACCAGATGGCCTGCAGAGAAAAACTGAAGCCTGCGAGGTCAAGTAACAGAGTGGAGTGATCCCCACAGTGGATCTAGTTGAGCGGAAGTGCCCGAATCTGCCGTTTGATGCCGCTAATCACAGCAAGAGTGTTGCTTTGGCAGTGGACTGGAAATATACAAAGAGCCGCATTGAAGCTGACTGGGACCAGAAGGAGCAAGGGACTGGGAGTTCTGGTGTGGACATACCCTACCTCATCCAGGTCTAATAGAAAGGAATGGGGAACTCATTTCAGTTGAGCAGGAAAATAGGGTTGCCAACTGACCAGAAAATAACACTACCTGGTTGTTCCTGACCCTTTTAATCTTGACCTAAGAAACCAGCAGGTGATAGCAAGCAGAGAACTATTACCATCTGTTAATAATACCTGTTGATCAAGCTGCTCTCCAAGGCACAGGAAGAGGAGGCAGCTGGTAACCTGGACCCCAGGCAGAGAAACAGCAAAACCTGTCACTGCAGACTTCAATCTGAGGCCTTGGAGGACATCAGAGATGCAAAGCAACTGATTTTTCAAAAATTCTGAGTTGGCCTGGCAGAGCTAGAAAGCCCCCATGGGGGACACAGCAAAGGAAGCACATGGGAGGGAGAGGATATCCACTCGAGGAGAAGTGCTAACTTAATATGTGGGGATTAACATTCTGAAGCTGTTCAATATTCCCCCTTCACCACTACATCTACAGTGCGATTTACAGATCCTAACCAAAAGCAGCAGCGAATGGGAGTGCAAGGCAGCTGGAGGGGAGCTGGACTTCCTTTGTGCTTTCTGAAGAGCAGGATGGGGTGGGTTAAAGGCAGCTGTGCAGGAAGGAACAGCTGCAGAAACGCATGCCCAGGGGCTGTGGGGACAGCCTTGCCTGAGTGTGGCTGAGCAAGCCTCCTGCAGCTGCAGGGACGAGGGCAGGCACTCTGCTGTGCTCCTGTGACCAGCAAGTGCAGGCACCTCCGAGCCACTTGTCACGGGCTCTCTCTTCTTCTGCTGGCTCCTTTGGGCCTGCCCTAGCCCCCCTTGAAGCACAGACCTTACAGTGGAAAGGAACTGCCACTGGATGCAACGAGAGGGACCCTGGGGGCAGGAGGACAGGCCAGGGCAGCTCTCCCCTTGCGTAGCTAGGAGGGTGTTCTCTCTCAGGGTCCAAGAGCATCTGGAGAAAAGTCACACCGATTTAGGGTTCTTCTTAGTGGCTTCAGGCTGAGGAGTGGGGAGGCAAAAATCCAGCATCCCCCTGTGGCTACTCTAGTCTCTAACCCCCTTGGCACAGTCACAACATCTGGCTTCCTGGTCATTGGACCCAGAAGAACTGAAGGAGCCCAGGTTCTGTCTAGGGAGAATTTCCCTAAAGTTCATCATCAGCATCATCATCTTTACAAAGTCTGTATGAACAGAAAGTCTGCTGGCCCTCTCGGCCCCTTGGGCGGGCATTTCCTGGTCTGCTGCTGCTTCCTCTTTCCACCCCTACGTGGAGCGCCTGGTGCTGCCCGCAGCTGGTGCTGCCGCCCCGCCTCTGCCAGCTGTCCCTCTGGGCATGTCACAAGTCTGTGACTTTGTTTTCCACTGCTGCGGCAATCTGCTGCAGGCGGTACCCCAGCTGCATCTTCTGTGCCGTCTGGTCCTCCTCCAGGGCAGTGATGATCTGCAGGGAGAATTGGAGCCTTTAGCCAAGGGATGCCTTCAGCCACATGGCTGGGTTTCCGGAGGAGTTGCATGCATGTGCCACCTCTGAGGGAGGTTGCGGCACTCCGTGAGCAGAGGGCCCAATCCCCAGCAACTGCTAGCATGAACGTCCCGAGGCATTAAGGTCTGGGGACAGCCTCCTGTGGGTTGGTATCCATTAGGAACAGCGTCTTTTGGACACTGGCACCCCAATGGCAGAAGGCAGTCTGCAGAACTCAACTTTTTCCATCTGTCGAATCAACTCCCAATTTTCCCTTTCCCACATTCCTTCCAGTGGCCAAGGGACAAGATTCCAAACAGTTCTCCCTGTGCTGGAGGAGAAAGAGCAGCAGTGGGGCCACCTGAGATCCCGGGTGAGATTCATTTGGCCCACCCTGGTAACCCTTAGGATGCAGAAGGGCTGGCCTCCGCTCACAGCCATTTCAAAGGCTTCCTTCAGTGGCTGACACGTTTCCTAGGCGGGAGGGTTAGTAAGGAATTATGATAAATGATGCTGATATTTCGGTGGTTTTTATTTGGAACTGTCTTTTATAGGGAGAGGAGAGGGATAATGGATTGTCTGAAATATTTGTATTTTTGGTGTTTTTCTTTTTACTCTTTGAGTGATGAATGACTCCCCCCAACACACACAAGCACCAGTCTTAAGAAAATTTGGGTATCGTATTATAATATAGCCCAAGTTGTGGCTCAGAAGGTGGTTTAAGTTAGGGTATGGGGGTGGAATGGAATACATGGAAAGAGGGCTGCAGAAGATGGCAGTCTGTGAGACTGGCACCCACGTTTGGTGCCCAGCACTGATTCCCACAAGGAGGGAGGAGGTGGGGTGCAGGTGCTACATAAGCCGCTGGTTTGTCAGAGCTAGTGGAGTTCCTCTGTAGCTCTGTGAAAGGCCAGCTGGAAGGAGAATGCCCACGAAACGCTCTCACCTGGTCATAGTACTTGTTGATGTACTTGTAGAGTTCATGCAGAGCCACCAAGGAATTGAGTGCGCCTGAATAATTCTGCAGCCAAGAGAAAACGGCTGTGAGCCACCGAGAGAGCCAAAGCTCCCCTCTATTCATCCCACTCTCAAAGCTCTGGGGAAGGTGTCAAACTGCAACCTGGGCAGGCAACATGGAAGAGTAACCACAGGGTCACTCCAGCATGGTTCGTGCTCCGTGCTGCAGCTCAATGGGCACAGGCAGCTTCCCATTACATGGTAACCAATCCTTTTAATGGAGGGATGTCCAACCATTTTGGCCCCAAGGGCCACATCAGATATTGCCAAAGCGCCAGGATGCTGCACAGACACAGACACACCCTAGTATGGGAATTCCTTTGCTTGGCAATAGCAAAGGAACCCTGACCTTATGTCCAATCTCATCAGAGAGTAAGGGAATCCTGCCCTGAAGACAGTGCTGCCAGCAAGGCAGAAGCAGGAAGGGTCTGCTCAGCTGCAAGAAAGAGCTCGGCAGGCCACATGCAGTCCGTGGGCCGCATGCTCTGCACCCCTGTTTTAACGGCAGGTGCCAAGGTCTGCGGCCTTCTGCATGCGAAGCAGGTGCTCTACCGCTGAGCTGTCCACAGCTCTCACACCACATGCTCTTTTGGTTAGCTGAACAAATTCTTATTTGCAATAATCCTGGACGAGCTGGCACAGGGAAGTAGGAAACCCCACACAGGGAGGAGGGAGGGAGAATCATGTTGCAAGATGAACCTCGGCCATTACGACGAGTGGCAAAGGACAACCCAGCATTGATACTGCGCCTGGAACTACACGGCCACTGCCCATTACGTGGCCTGATCTAGCAACTCTGCCTCTGGCTTCAGGAAAGGCATCTGCCAATATCTTGTTCTGGGAGCAGAAAAAAATACAGAAGGGCAGGGCAGGGCAGGGCAGGGCAGGGCAGGGCAGGGCAGGGCAGGGCAGGGCAGGGCATTAATGTAATTTGGAGGCTACTTACCCGTGATAGTTCAGCCAAGGCAGAATTCATCTCCTGATCACTGGCAGAGATGGTTTGACGAATATCTGCATAGTACCTGCATGGTGGAAATACTTACATTATGCATTTCTCTCCCCAGTATTTTGCCTCTCCACATACACACCTTGTTTTCTGTTCCTCTTTCTTACCTTTCCACCATCTGCTTATAGCGTGGAATGTCACGGGCATAGAGCAGCTTGTTAATTGGAGAATCCTGGAAAGGCCACAAAGGGAGTAAGAATTTAATGACAAGGTCCAGAAAATGATACGCAAGTGCACGAGAAGAGCCCTGCTGGATCAGCCCAATGAATGGCCCATCTTGCCCCGCTTTCTGTTCCCTCAGTGGCCAACCAGCTGCTATAGTGGAAAATCCACAACCAGGACATGCATGCAACCTCACCCGCTGCCATTTCCCCAGCATTTGGTATATTCAGGCATCAGCATCATGCTGCCTTTGATACTGGACTAATTTAGTCATTTAGCCAATCAGGACTATGAGCCCTTGATAGGCACACCCTCTGTTTATTTTCCAATCCCCTTTACTGGCCTTCCAAATTGGTGGCCATCACTTTATCCTGTGGAGGGAATTTCATAATTTAACTAAGCACTGCATGAAGAAGTCCGTCCTTTTATCTGTCCTGAATCTCCCTCCAATCAGTTCCATGAGATGCCCCTGGGTTTTGGTGTTGGGAGAAGAAGAACAATGTCTCCCTTTCTGCTCTCTCCAGACCATGGATAATTTTCTATACCCCATCATATCTCCCTGAGGCAAAATGATAACAGTTGACACCTTCCTAAACTGGAGCAGATGTGGAGGAAAGAAAGGAAAATAATAATAGTAGAGAAACATGAACAGTACTAACCCAAACAGTACTTAATCCAAGGAATCCAGTCCCAGCCTTCATCTAAATTCAGAGGTCTAGTAATAATTTCAGCATCATACTGCATGATTGCTACTTGCTATGCTCAGTTTATGGAAAACTTGTGGAAATCTAGAGCATACCCAGCCCGCGCTGTAACCTAGTTGGGATATTTCATCCCACTGACATGCACTTCGAGGCCCCACCTTTTCTACCAGAGCCAAGTCACACCTCAGCTGTGAAACGATGGCGGCGGCAGGAACAGAAGAACAGCCCTGCTAGATGACACTGAAGGTCTATCTGATCCAGCATCCTGTTTCCCATCATGGCTAATACGATACCCATGGCAAGTTTACAAGCAAGATGTGAGGGCAACGGCCCTTTCCCACCAGGATTCCTCTGCAACTGGCGTTCAAAGCATGCTGCCTCCAATCTGGGAGAAAGCATGCAGCCGTCATGACTGGGTGCCACTGATGTAAGCACAGCGCATCAGACAGAAGCGCTGCAAGGCGGCTTTATCTGAGCAGGCTCCCTGCTGGGTATGTGCTAGAACAGAGGCGTTGAACCTCAGGCCTGCAGGTCAAACCGGCCCCTCCAAGGTTCTTCAAATGCCCACCCCGCCCCACCCCACAGCAGCAAGTGGGTTCCATTCCCACCTTGTGACATCCAAGTGTTCAGAATTGTCCTGTTTCAGTCTATCTTCCCCCATTCTAAAAGGCCGCAATGCCTCTGCTAAGGCTTAGTTACTGGCAGTATGAGCTTTAATCTGAAATATATTTTCCCAGGTTATTTTTTAAGAATGCATTGCATGAAAGCCCTACATACACACTACAATGAATTACAACAAAAATGCTGTAGCAGAAATGGCCTTGGATGCCCCTTGTTATCCTTCACACTGCAGACTAGCTAAGCGCCGACGGCAGTTGTGCAAGTGCCTCCCACACGACACGTCGCATTAGTGCCCACAAAACAGCATTTTCCACTGAGAAAACTTCATGGGCAGTGTGCCATGGAAGGCGCTCAGGGCAGCCAGTGTAGCCTTCAGAACAATGTGTGGAACAGCCAAGAACCCCAGAAAACATCAGGCTGGAAAGCAGGCAGCTTCCAGATATGCGTGGCAGAACCTAAGAGGCCTCTGCCCCCGCCTTCCCAGGCTTACCCGGCCCAGTTTGTGGTCAGCGAGTGTGCAGGAGTCCATGAAGGTCTGTGCAATGACCAGGAGCACCGCTTCCACATTATCTGAGGTCTGCACATCGAAGATGAACTGGGGATTCTTGATGATGTTGATCCAGAACCTCAGGGGCAGGCTGTGATGAGAAGAGGTGTTCAGCAGATGTCTATGCACTGGGAGCTGCCCAGGTAAAGTGCTTTGGCAGCAGGATCTACTCCACTTTCAACCAGGGCAGCAAGAGTCAAACTAGATGGTTTGACATTTAATAGTTAAATAGAGACTGCATTCAGGATTATTATTTATGTATCAGTTTCTGTATTGTAGGCCCTGGTGTGTGCCCAATTTTCATACCGACTGCAGTACACAGTCCAGCTGCAATCCCAATGAAAATCTCTTCCTCACATTGCTACTAACATAGCGAGTAAAGTTCAGGAGTAAAACTAATTTGACTTTAGTTTGTATAGTTTGGGCTTGGGAAACCTGCAAGCCATCAGAATGTTTTGGCCTGCTTACATCCTCTGTGCCTCAATCATCCAGGCTGTAAAATGGGTATAAGAGACCAGCCACAGGGATGGTGTGACAGTGAGGATAAGACAACACAGACGGAGCAGCTGGAACAGATGTTGCCGCCTCCTGCCAAATAATTCTCTTCCACTGGCAATGTGGAACATGGCAGCGGAAGCCATCGTTGGGATATTCTACTTTTGAGAAGCACTAGGCAGCAGCTCTGGTTGCCTACCTATTTGTCTTCCAGATGTGGATGGTCTCTGGGTCTGTGATGCCGTGATTCAAGGCTTGTTCATCAAGCAGGTCAAAGAAATACTTCACAGCCAGTGGGACAGGACGGTTGGTACTGAGAATCACTTGGAACAAGTCATCTACAAACTTCTGCAGCGTCCCCTGCAGATAAACACAAGCACAACTCAGGGTAGCCATCAGATATTTGCACAGCTCAGCACATGAATGCAGGGGAGATGAAGATGACAAAGAAAAACCTGCAGCTACCTTCCCCTGTGGCCTGATGGTCGAATAACATGTTAGCTGGAGTGCCACTGTTGTTTTGGAGGGACCTTTCCCCTTTAGACCAGGGGTGGGAAACCTTTTGCAGCCTGCAGCCACTTTCCCTGGGGGGAAATCCTCTGGGAGCCGCATGCGAGCGAGGGGTAAGGGTGCAGCCAAAAGTGAGCGGGGCCAGAGGCAACCCACACACTTTCTTATACAGTCACACTCCCCATCCATCTATTCAATTCTATTCCTCTTCTCCCTGCTCTCTTCCACTGCTATGGTCGCTATAGCTATCAGGGCTTCTCTCCTTTCTATGTCCTGCGAGCTAGTTTTCCACAACGTGAAAGAAGGTGCTGTGAGAAGAAAGCAAAAGCGATGCTGGATCAGGCCAAAGGCCCACCTAGCCCCTCATGTGGTTTCCACAATGGTCACGCAGGTGACGCAAGGGGAAGCCCAGAGGCAGGATGTAAGTGCAACGGCACCTGCGCACTCGTGAACCTCGGCCGCCGGTGTGCCATCAGGTGCATCATCTCTGGTTTTGGAGGAAGCATCCAGCCATTAGGACTACTGCACTGACGGCTTTCTCATCCATGCATTCTCCAATCCCATGTTCCACCCATCCAAACTGGTGGCCATCACTATTTCCAGTGGCAGTGAATTCCATAGTTTGACCATGCACTGTGGGAAGAAGGCCTTCCTTTTATCTGTCCTAAATCTCCCACCAGTCGGCTTCATGAGATGACCCCAGGTTCTAATATTATGGGAAAGGGAGAGCAATGCCTCCTTTTCCATTTTCTCCATATCATGCCTCCCTTTATTCCCCCCTTTTCCCAAGCTAAACAATCTAACCCTAATTTTTTCTCACAGGGAAGCTGCTCCAGTTCCTTAACCATTTTAATTGCCCTTCTCTGCATGCTTTCCAGGATTAAAGGTGCAGTGATCAGAACAGCCCTCATCTATGAGCATGCCATGGATTCATTTAAGGGGATTAGCATATTGGCAGTTTTCTTTTCAGTTCTCATGGTGCAACAGTGCGAATGAGCTTAAATCACAAAACCTACACTGACAGTGCAATTCTGTCTGTGCTTGCTCATTAATACGTCTCATTCTTTCCAGTGAGATCTGCTCCCAGGAAGCATGCGGAAAGACAGACAATGAAAGCTGAGGGCACGGCTTCTTACTTTCATGGAAAGGAGGCGGGTCAGATAGATCTCAGGGATGGCCTTGGCTCTCTCCCGCTCCCGCAGGCTCCCTCGGCGATGTTTTGGCAGCTCGGGTTCTTCGGTTGGCTTCACCAGGTGCCACAGTTTCATTCCACCTTCATCCGCATCCTCTAGCATCGGGGTCTCTACAGCAGAGAAATATAAATGCTCCAACAACGTTTCAGTTCTGGATCAGCACTCTCTTTCTTGAGTGTCTTTATTTCATCCTCCTTTCTTCAAAGAGCTCAGTGGAGCACATACGAGCTCCCTGTACTCACAGCAATCCGGCGAGGGCCAAAGCAAATATGCAAAGTGTAGGTCTTTGCAAACACGTGCAGCCTCAATTCAGATTGGGAGCAGGGCACTGCTAGAGTGGGATTAAACCTTCCACCCTTGTTCCCCCGCAGTTTGCACCCTCTCACTTGGGGGAGGGGTTAAAAGAAAAAAATGGGGGGGTGGATTTTCAGGGAGAAAGCCCTCCCCCAAAAGCACTGCAGTCTTGATCTGACCCAGGGCCACATAAGCTTACCCAAGAGTATGGAAGGCAAACATGCTTAGTTATAGGATGCGTGATTAGATCAATAGAACAAATGTTTTGTTTGGCCCCGAGTATAAGGGAGAGGGAGACCGAGACTGGTCAATCAGCAGACCTGGAGGGAATGTGGAGAATTGAACTTGGTTCTTCCAATTCAAGTCCAGTATTCTTAACCAATACATCACTGACATCCACATCTTTTCCTTGAGCACTTTGATCCTCCCAAGATGGCAGGCAGTGCATTTTCCCATATTTTTCGCAACAATGAGTTCAGTCCCAAGAAGGTGGAATGACTCACTTTCTCCAGGGATGTAATCCTGATTCTCTCTCGGGAGGTGCTTGGTCATACGAGGAACAAGTGCAACCGTGGCTCCATCAGGCACCTAAGCATTAAAAATTGGATTAGACCACTTCCTGCGCTCCTCTTTTGATGCTGTCTTGTCTTATACGTTACCAGAGAAACACAAATGCATACATTTTTGGTCACACATACACACTCCAAGCCGTGTCCAGTTGACCCAGGAGAGGGCAGTCTGAAGCCCTACATTCCAATTTATTGGTGTATTTTCTAAAAACATATTTTGGAATAATCCAAAGAGAGGATACTCAAAAATTGTTAAAACAGCTTCTCCCAAGCTAGAGACTTCTGGATACAGTGAAGGTGATGGGAGTTATAATTCAATGCATCTTTTAATTTTCTTTTTTACTGTGTGATAAAAAAGCATACAAACCACACCATTGGAGAAGAAAGGGAAAAAGGAAATAAAACTAAAATATTTTAATTTCAGAATAAAATGTTTAAAAATCCATAATACTAGCTACATATATATTTTCTATATATTAGTATATACCAGGATATACTATCAAAAATAATTATGTACAGACTACAACAAAGGCACCTCAAATATCTATATATTTCTCATTTGTAGATTATGCCTAAAGGCCATTCATTCAAACACTGAAATTTTCATAAAGTTCTCCACCAAGTGCGTTATGGCTAGCAGCCATTTATCCTTCCGGTGTCCAACGTACCTGAGGGTTTAGGGCAGATCTGCACACTGTTAGCCTGAACAGAGCTACAGCACGTGTTCACTCCACATGCTTGTGGGGTGATTGTCTAGACAGAGTGTAGAACCAATGATTGTAACTGGATGTTTAATCTGGAGTTTCTTGTCCGATACTGTTTGTTGTGTTCAGATAATGCATGTCCTGCCTTTCCACTGTCAAAGCAGCACTTGAAGGAGCTGACATCATTTTAAAAGCAAAAGCAACGATATTCAATGGAGCTACTTAAAGACGAGAACAAAACCTCAGCCAGGTATGTGGAAGGCTGCCTGCCTTTTCTAGGTGGGAAGGAGATGGAGCAGGAACTACCTGCTGTGCTCCAAGTGGGCAGACACCTGGGAAATGGTCACGGCTCTGGGGCAGAGCCCCTGCCTCACAGGCAGAAGGACCCAGGCTCAGCCCCCAGCTTCTCCAAGTAGGCCTGGAAAAATGCCTGCCTTGAACCCTGGAGAACTCTTGCGGCCAGTCAGATGTTGGTAATATTGGGCTAGACCATGGGTCCTCCAACTAAGGCCTGCGGGCTGGATCCGGCCCACCATAGAGGTTTTGGACTCGCTGCATGCGCGCACACGCCCAGCAGCGGCTTGCTCGCAAGGAGATCATTTTGGACTTGCTCAGAGAAAACGACCTCTGTGTGCACCCACTCCTGCCTCGCCCCACGCGCATGCCCACGTACCCCCCACCCCGGCCCATGCCCCCCGCCCGCACTGCCTTGGCGGCCTGCACCCATCGCCAGCGCCTTTCAACTGGCCCCCTGTTGAAAAAGTCTGAGGACCCCTGGGCTAGTCAGTCCAAAGACCTGACCTGGGGGGTGGGGGAGAGAGCGAGAGAGCGCTTCCTAGATACCATATATACTAGTGTATAAGACAAGGCCAATATTTTGGGCTGTTTTTCTGGTGTTTGTCATATGTCAGTCGTATAAGATGACCCCCAATTTTTGCTTCACTATTTTCAGTTTCAAGCAGCTCTTATATGCCGGATATTTGGTGTTTGTTAGCAAGAAACTTCTAGACTCATGTGAGGTCACTTTACCCTATTCTAGCTAGCACTGAGGTTGCCCCTCTGCTCTGGAGGCCGAAGGTGGCCCTCAAGGGGGCTGGCTGGCTGCAGTCAGCTGAGGAGGATGGCTGGGCATGGAGGGGCCACGGGCTGGCCTGAATCAGCATGCTAGGCCTGGGCCTGCGGCCACATGCAAGGTTCACATTGTGATGCAATGCCGAATGAGCTCCTCTGATACCAGTAAGAGGTTTTCAAATCATTATTAATAAAAATTAGTTTGTAAATGCAATTGTCTTTCTTCTCTATCCTTCTTTAAATGATGAACATAATATGATGAAAAAAAATCACTGGGTATGGAAGGGAAATTTTTGCCTCGTTATTTTTAGTTTCAAGAGTTGTCTTGGTATATATGGCAATTTCACAAATTCCAAGTGAGTTTATTTTGTACACAGAATCCTGAGTCAGAAGGAGCAAAAGGCAGTCTGACCTAATGCCCTTTCCACAAAGTAGGATCTTCCCTTCACAGGAGTCTGCAGGTCCAGAAGAGGCCACAATCTGTTGCATCCAAAGCATCAGGAGGCCAGAACGAAATCCACTTAAGTCCACTTGTGCACCACTCCAAGCCAATCAGAAAAAGCCAGCCCCAAACTCCCCCGCCCAACCTTCCCTCACCTTGTAGTGCTGCAGGGTGTTGAGGCGCTTCCAGTTGCCCTGGACGACAGACGTCACATCCTCGTCGGAAAGGATGAGGTGCCCGGCCAGCCCTGATCTCCACTCTAGCTCCACCAGCAGGGAGAAACAAGACAAACACCGAGAGCCCGGTTGGAGCAAATCACAGGAGAGGGGCAGCTTTAGGGAGAAGAAGCACTTGCCCTGCGCCACCGTCACCCTCTTGGTGTCGCCGCTCCACAATGGCTTCTTGCTTGGCTAACCTGGGTTGATGAGGGAACCCTGACCAGGCCTGGCAGCCACGCTGGCGTCGGGACCGGGAGCAGGTGCCCAGAAGGGGGATTGGCAGAAGAGTGGCAGAGGCGGCCTTCCAGTTGGAGTACCCTTCTGCACCATTTCCCCTGTAATGGCTGCCTTTTCCAGTGCCCAGCCCAGGTACTGCACTCACCCAAGTCCAGTGAGTCTGGGTCTGGTCGGTGGCAGTAAGGTGTTCCTTTATAGATCTGGTCAAGGATCTTCTCTTTCACCTGGGTGATGGTGTCACAATCCAGTCCCTTCACCACGACCCCCTGGGCGCCCTCTGTTCCTCCTCCCAGGGTGCTTCCGGCCTGAGCCAAAGCAGTTAAAGTCTGCAAAAACAGAAAGCCAAACCCAGCTGCACTCTGCCTGCTCCTAGCAGCCGCCTGCTGACTGCTAGGATGGCCCCCAGGGGGAGTGCGGCACAAGGGAAGGGACCGCAGCTGCTGCAGGGGCCTCGCCTATGCAGAACCAGACAGCACTTCTGACACGCCTGGTCCTGGAATGGGTGGGGATCACTTGACACAGAGAGCAGGTGGGTGGAGGAGAAATGCTCCCACACTTCAGGCTTGTTTTAGTGCAAGTATAACCGATGAAGCAGTGAGGGCAGAACACCCGACCCCCAGAAGATGACCTAGAAAGCAGCAGGCTATGGGGAGGCGGCGAACAGCGCAAGCTGGCATGAATATGCAGTGGCCACCGGGGCTGACACTGGCCACCGCACGATCCTTGCATTAGTCTTAGTTTAAAAAAATATGGTTAGAGGTGGAAAGCCAGACATGTACATGATTACAGTCAGTATCGCTGTACTGTAACAACGTATAGATTCTCTTTCTACAACAAGGGTGCTTCTTCCCATGTAAGTGTGTCTCCCTTTAGGGAAGCAGACGCACACTTCATTCCATTCTTGTTGTCCTGGTGTTTTATTAGGGTGGGTAACTTGCCGTTTGCTCCAACGCAGCGGGAGTGCAGAAGCACGGGGGAGAGCACGGGCAGGAGGAGACAAGAAGCACAAGTTGGGTGCTTCTGCCCTTCAAAACACACGGCCATGTCAAGAGACCCCCTGAAAGATTATTCATTACCCAGCCATAGTGTACTAACATTACCTAGAAATGCTTCTCTCTCTCTCTCTCTCTCTCTCTCTCTCTCTCTCTCTCTCTCTCTCTTGTTCCAAGGAATTCAGGGTGTAAGAAATGGCTCTACTCCTCTCCTTTTGGTTTTCACAACAACCCTGTGAGGTAGGTTAGGGTAAGAATTGGCAATTGGCCCAAGGAGACTCAGGAAATACTATGGCTTGCTGGGAAGTGGACCTGTGTCTCTCAATCACAATCCGTTGCCGAAACTGACAGACCATGCTGCCAGTTTAGAAAAGTTGCTTTCTGCAACCAGGCTCCAAAAGCAGGCGTGATTCTTGTGGTGGTAGACAGGCAGTGCAAGAGACCACCACTGGGCATGATGAAGTGAAGCATCCCTTCCCTCGGACTGGGACCACACGTTCACGGAGCTGTCCTCTAGTTCCACTACAGCCAAAAGCTTTGAAGGGACTCCTGAGGGCTGGAACAGCGGCTCAGATGCTACTGTTCCTCTCTAACTCGTGAAGTGGTTGTGAGAAACAGCTGGATCTTTGCGATCCTGGACACTGAGAAACGGGGCCGTTTGCTCCAGGACAGCAGTGCTCCTGAAGGCAGCATGGCTGGCTGGCAGATACAGCGCAGAGGCTGAGGGTGGCCAGAAGCCCAGGACTAGCTCTAGCTTCTTTCCCGCAAGACCTTCCGCAGCTCTCACCAGAGTGCGATATTCCAGGTCCTCTCGAAGAAGGCGGTTGTCGTTCAGGGTGTACTTCGCTTTCCCCGTCACCCAGTCCACTGGCCCCTTGTCCACTTGGTGCTTGATGCCTCGGAAAAGCATGTAGAGTGGCTCCCCAACAGAGTCCTAGTGAAGACACAAAGAAGGCCCACTGCCCATCACCCAGTAGCTCTGGCGTGTCCACCTGTCCTTCTGCTCCAGCCCGCCTGCATCCCCAGCAGCGGCAGAGTCTGACCCAGGTTCAGGGAAAGGGCGCCTTACACACCGGGTCTTCCTCTAGCAGTTCAGTTCTGTCTAAGCTAAGGCAGACTGCACTAGCAGCACCATAGAAACACAGGGTACCAAATTAAGAAGGGGCTTTTAAAATACATGTGGGGGATAAAGGTGGGTCCCGGGGGTTGTATGGATCTCTAATTCACAGAACTAAAGAGCAAACGTTCCTAGCATGTCTTGGGGTCCGGCTCTTAGCACCCTAGCAGCAAAACCTGGCTTCAACACCTTGGTTCCAGATCCAAGGTCAGCTCAGAATTCTGTACACCTGCTCTTGCTACCTGTGAGGAGGGAGGGATTTCGGCAGGTTGCGCTGCGCCACAAGCATGCCTTCCTCAAGAGGTTCTAACTGGAGTTCCTGCCCTCCCTGGGATGGGGAACGTAGTTGTAGTGAGACACACACTTTCTCTTCACCTGCATGGCAGGGCCAAGCTCTTACCCTCACAAATGCATAGAGACAGATGGACATCCAGTTGGTCAGCAACTTCTCCACCACCGTTTCTGTCCTGAAAGAGAATCCTGCCGTATTAGAGTCTGGAGAGAGCCTCTATCTGGAGGACACGGAAGATGCGGCCCTCCAATGTTGTGGGACTGGGACCACAACTCCCATCCCACACCACTGGCTGTGCAGGCTAGGGCTGATGAGAAGCACAGTCCAAAAACCCGAGGGCCACATGTTCTCTACCTCAGCTATGTCCCAAAATAGTTCTGCCCTGCCACCCCAAAGAGGTAATTGGGGCGCACTGTTTTTTAAAGAAATCCTGGAGGTGGAAGATGGAGATCTTAACCCCTGCCTTTCAGAGGCTGCAGTTCTATCTGGTTTGCTGTTGCTCACATGTCCTACTTGAGGGCTTTCCAGCAGATTGACCACCGTGCAAAGAGAAAGCTGGACTAGATGGGCCTTGGATGTGATCCAGCAGTGCTCTTCTTCGATTATTTTTTCATGGACAAATTTATGGAAACCGAACAGCAATTTGTATTAAAAGGTATTTGTATACCACTTGTCTGCCCCAAGAGTCCCCAGAGCAATTTTGTTATTTTTAATCAAAACTAGTAGCATAAAGCACTGTGAGCTATCAAAAATAAAAGGAAATCTTTAAAATCCAAAGGAGTGGAATTTGGTTTAATATGTTAAAAAATCATGAAGTTAATTGGAATAAACATGGTTTTAACTACTTGGCTAAATGCATCAGTGCTGGGAACAGTCTCATCTCCTTAGCGACAGAATTCCAGTAGAGGTGCCGCCAGAGAAAAGGCCCTGCTTGACACAACGGCCCACTGTGGGCTATTTAACCCACAGCAAGACTGTGGAGTGCACAGGTGTGTGTGAATGCCCCTTCGAATGGCACCAGGAGCCAGCATGTATATGCAACCCTCCCTGGAGGTTGTTGAAGTGCACAAGCCTGGCAGGCACAGATCATGTAAGGTTGTTTAATCCTCGCATAACCTACGCTTTGCATGGCAGAAGCTCCCTCAAGTGCGGACTGCATGCACAGCCTGGTGCCTGCAGGTGGCATTGCTCACAGTGGGCTAAATAACCCACATGGCTGTGGGGTGTTGTTCAAACCTGATCCCTGCCTTGCCTTCCTAGGTTCAGAGGCAGCACATCCTTAAGTGCCAATTTTTTGGCACACAAACCCTGGGAGAGAGGGGGAAGGACCAGGCTCTGGTCTTCATGCACTGCTGGGGGCTTCCTACAGGCATCCGGTCGGGCTTTGTACGAAGCAGAAAACTAGGACTAGATGGGGTTCCGGCCGACCCAACACGAGTCTTCTGGTGTTCTTGTGGGCAGCCAGCATCCACACCAGCTTCACCCATATTCATTCCCTACTTCTGTGTTTGTGCAAACAGCAAAAAACTCCCTCTGGAACAGAAAAAGTGGCTCAGCTTAAGAGCAGAAGAACTGCACGGATCAAACCAAAGGCCTGTTTGCTCCAGCACTGTGCTTCGCAGATGCCTTAAGGAGACATGACAGCAGGACATGAGCACCACAGAATCCCCACGATGTTGCTTCCCAGCGTCCTCCTGCCTCGGGTCCCCGAGGTCGCACGCAACCACTGTTCCTTGCAGCCCTGCACTCTATGAATCTGCCTCATTCCCTCCCTTTGCCTCTCCTGCTCTCTCACCTTCGCAGCATCAACTTGGGGTTCTTGGCCACGTATTGCTCCACCAAGTCATTTAGGAGCGTCTTGAGGATGTCTGTGAAGTACTCAAGTTTCCCGTGCAAAGACACAGTGAGCAGAGAGGCGACGTAGGCCCGATCCCTTGGAGAGAACGTGCGCTGGATTTCCAGGGTGTGGATAAACTGAAAGAAGGGAGAGGGCCACACAAGGCAGTCATGTGTTAGGCAATCCTTTCCTGGCTGTGGACTCCTTCTGGTTGGTCGGTCACCCTCCAAGAACACCTGCAGGTTAACACCTCACTTGTCTCCATAACAACAGCAAAAGCAGGCGAGAGTCAAATTAAGAAGGTCCTTGAAGGAGTGGCAAGGAGCTGGATGAAGAAATGGACAGGAGGACAACTGAACAGACCACTGAACCTGAAGCTCGCCACTCCTGAAGGGCCGGGAGATTCCAGCAGTTCTGTTGTATGGATAAACTCATGGGGACTGAGGTATGGAAATGCATCCATGTCCCAGAAGCCAGGCATGAATGAAAATGGGGCAATATGTGCATTCCGCTGTATGTAAATAGGACCCGTTTCTTTGCCAGAGCACATGGGGAGCACCAGCATGCAAGGGGAGAGCAGTTGTAGGGCGCTTCCTGACAACTCCCTCAAGCATTTGTCGATGGTATAAAGGCACTGCTGGAGTGGCTGGATTGTATCTATCCTGTGCTCCTGATACTAATCATTTAAGGCAGGGGTGGGCAACTTCAGGCACGAGGAGCAAGGAGCGTATCTGGTCCTTCAGGGATCTCAGTTTGGCCCTCTGACCGCATCATCTTCCACTGGCTCCACTGCTTCTCCTCTGACTATGGATGGTTTTTAGGTTTCTCCTTTTTCGTGCAATTTGCTCCAATCCTAAAAGGCTAAAATGCTTCTCCTAAGGCTTAGTTACAGGCAAGAATAACTTCAAGCTAAAATATGCTGGTATTATGGTACTTTGGCCCTGTTCTTTTTGTCTTTGGGTCCACCCACTGCTGGAATGTGCCACAGAGTTTCTCCAAAATTGAATTTGGTTCTTGCACTCGAAACGGTTCCACACCTTTGATTTAAGTCAACTGAAATTTGGATATAATTGCCTCAGCTCTGCTACCATTTTTCCTTCTAAAAATACACCCATGGACCTCCCTTCCTCTGCTGAATAACACCTGTGTCAAGTCTAACGCACAGGTGCCCACCACATCCTTAACCCAGTTCTGATTTCTGCCTCTCCAAATGGCTGCAGAGGTGGAGCAAAACTTACTAGACAAACAGCCCAGGAGCATTCCAATTTTTCTTTGCCGTACTAATGGCTAGAAATTTGCCTTGATGTAACGCATCATGGATTTTCCTGTCAGGAACATATTCTGTGCTCCATCCAATCACTTGAGCTTCCTGAGCCCAGCTTGGTGGAACTGTAAGGGGTGTGATTTCACAGGGGACATGTACTTGTCTAAAGCACGGGTCCTCACACAGCCCGGGGGCCGGATACGGCCTGCCATGCCCATTTGGACCCGCCACACATGTGCTGCCGCCACCCACCTTGACCCACGTGTGGAAGGCAGCGGTCTGCTCACTCGGAGAAAACGAACTCCAAGCAGGCAAGCTGCTGCCTCGTGCACCCGCCTCGCTTCCCCTCGCCATGCGCGCGGGCACCCACCCACGCTGACCCTGCCCCCGCCCTGGCCCAGGCGCACCGCTGGCACCCCGTTTCTGGCCCGCGCCCAGCACCGGCACCTTTCAACTGGCCCCCCGGTGAAAAAGTTTGAGGACCCCTGGTCTAAAGCGTACCTTGGTTAGAAAGAGCTTGCTGTTGAGGAGATTGGAGAGCTGCACCAAGCCTTGCTCGACCGTTTGCCTCCGACATTCTGGCACATCCAAGTCCCTTTGTAATGGTGACTCGCGGTGACCCGGAAAGAAGATGCGTTCTGCGTAGGTCTTATAATCCAAGAAGGGAATCCCGGTGCCCACCAAGTCACTGGTGAGATCCATCATCTCTGTCATGAGGTCTGCAAAGAAAGGAAGCGCCCATGTGCAGGAGAACGGATCTGAGGGTTCCCCCTCCTCCAGAAGGACAGGAGTGCTGGGAACACAGGACACCAAAAGAAAGGCAGGACATTTTGGAGGGCTTTCCCTCCTAAGATGGAGATGACTTGACAGCACCTAACAGCAACAACAACTGTCTTCTACTCAGACTGGCGGCAGCTTTCTAAGTCTCCAGTCTCTCCTATCACCACCTGCCACCTAATGCTTTTCGAAGTGGAGATGCCAAGGGAGTGAACTGGGGACTTCCTGCATGCAAAGGACCCTCCTTCACTGCTGTGAAACATGCTGTCTTTGCTTCAAGTTCATGCAAGGTAGGCTGACTTTTTTTTCTTGACTTGGGATGGACTCCCCTAAAGGTTGCTCACATCTTACAGTTCAGCTGGGCCAGCAGTGACACAGCTCAGCTCTTTGGGTTCACTTGTCCAACACAGCAGCCTTAAAGGGAACAGGTAATCAATCCTGATGCAGAAAGAAAGCAATTCCAACCCGATGCCCTCCAGGAGTGTTGGAGTACAACCTACACCATTCCAATAAATTTGCTGGGGATGCTGGGAACTGTGATATACGTAGCAAATGAAGAAGTGCCGGGTTGAGAAAGGCTTTAGCTCTGAAAGGATTCCACATCCGTAGAGGCCAGTCTGTGCCCTCTAATCTTCATACCTGTAAATTCTTTTTTGCATCGGTCCCGGACACTGGTTTCCAGATTTTCAAGCTGAATTTGAACTTTTTTGTAATCTCTCAGGGCCTGTTTACTCTTTCTCCTAAAAGGAAAGAGAACTGTTTTTAGTGAAGCTGATCCCTAGTTTGATCTGGTTCTCGATTTTTATGCCAGAGAATCCCTCCGATTCTTGCAAACACAAAACCAGCACTGACTAGCTGAACTAGACTGTAGGCTGAAGTGGCGCCTACAGGCACACCCAGTGCTCATGCTTTCTGGCCACCTCTCTCAGTCTTGGAGGTGCCAGTCAGTAAAACAGGCAGAGGGTGCCAGCTGGTGTAGCACAGTGTCTCAGTGACTATGCTACAAATCCGTAAGTACATTAGTATTACCTTTGCTAGGCTGAACTCAGCACGTATCTTTAAGAAGCACTTTGAACACTGGAAGCAGTTTACAAATGTCAAATGTTCTCTAATTTGGAAGTCGAAGGGAAGGCACTTGCTCCACACATGCTGAACAGGACCCCTGAAGAAGTGGCCACCCCACAAGAGCAAACCCCTCTGCTCTCCACATGCAAAGTGTCCTGCTTCTCCCCCAGACGGAACAGACAACCGCCAAACTGGCTTCCCTTCAGCTCAGAGAGTGATCCCTGCCTAGACTGATGCAACAGGGCCTTGTGATAAAATTGCCCACTTCTCACCGGTAGATGAAGACAATAATGAGTACAATCAAAGCAACAAAGGAGGCCCCAACACCCAGGCCAATCTGGGCTTCCAGGGGGAAGGTGAGCTGGCTCTCGGTGTCGTATTGCACACGGCCCAGCCAGAAGTTCTTGTTTCCCATTTGCACCTGCAGAGGATGAGAGCGAGCACATGAAAACCCAGGCAAAGGTGAGAAGCAGGAGGGGCCTCTTTCTTGGAAGACCAGGTGCCTCTGGAAATTGCAAAGGACAATGGTAGATTACTGGGGGGTGGGTGGGTTTGCCTTTGACTAATTTGTGCCTGAGGGGTGTAGCAATGCAACTGCTGAGCACGCAAGTCTTCCAGTACGAGTGTTTCACAAGGAAGCCTGTGCTATTTCCACATTAATAAAGATTTTGGTTGATGGGTGAAGTTGTGCAAATACTTGCACTGAAACATGTATTTGAAATACATATTTTACCATCAAAGTACAGACAAATAGGTTTCATGTGAAAACATCATTTGCAGAGTATTTGTTGATATAATTTCCAAGCAAAGAATGGGTTGCGATAGGCAAAGAAGTGAGAAATCCAATGGGACAGTGATATTCCAAACCAGAGAGGAGTCTGGGAAGGGCTGGCAACGTTTTGAGCACATTTGGGAATTTGAGAAACTGCCTGGGCACCCTCACAACATGGCTCCCATGGGAGGCACGGCAAAGGAAAGTCGCGTGCCCAAAGGTAAAGGCAGTCGCGGAGTCTGAGCCAGGGCCGTCTTAGCGCGTGGGCCTGATGGGCACTTGCCCGTGGGCCCCATACTCATCTGTGTATGTTAACCCTTGGGAAATTGGAAAACGTCCAAAATTAACAGTCATTGTAGTTGTCGTAGGGGCCCCAGGACACTGCTTTGCTCGGGGCCCATAATACTGTTCAGACAGCCCTGGTCTGAGCCCCAGCACATTAAACAACTCCTGCGAACCCCCAGTTTCCAGCAACAACAGAAACCTATTGCATAGCAGCTGCCAGTAAGAAAAAGTGCCTTTCTCTTAAGTGAAAGGGAGGAGGCAGCACAATGCCCGCCCTTCGTCTCACAGGTGCCAAGGAGATCAGCCCATCTCCGAATTTGCAGAGAGCTAATTCCTCAGGCCTCCTCGCCCTTCAGTGAAATCACCCCAAATGGATGCCAGCCCCATTTTAGTGACTTTAATGCATTCTTTTGTGCAAGTCTCCTTTCACTGACCCCATGTGAGATTCTACTCCCCACACATGGAATCACAGAACAGTAGAGCTGGATGGGGCCAGAGCGCCATCAGGTCCAGCCCCCTGCTCAGTGCGGGACTCCCAGTTAAAGCATCCCTCTCAGATGGCTGCCCAGTTGAACACTGAATGCCTCCAGTGAGGGAGAGCCCACCACCTCCTGGCTGACTGGTTCTATTGCTGCATGGTTCCAACAGTCCAGAAACTGTTCCTGATATCTAGCCAGAATGTGGCTTCCTGAAACTTGAGCCCATTATTCTGTGTCCTGCACTCTGGGATGATTGAGAAGAGATCGTGGCCTTCCTGTGTGGACAACCTTTCAAGCACTTATAGGGTGCCATCAGTCTTCTCTTCTCAAGGCTAAACATGCCCAGTTCTTTCAGTCTCTCCTCATAGGGCTTTGTTTCCAGCCTCTGCATCATCCTTGCTGCCCTTCTATGAACCCTTTCCAGCTTGTCCACGGGAATGGCTGATAACAGTGGCCTTGCTGCTGGGAGGACGGGTGCTTTTTGACCCCTTTCAAACGGACTAATCACCTTCTTTTTAAAAGTAACTAACTAAAAACTCACAAAATGCTGGGGTACTGCTTCAGGACAGGGATGTAGCGGAGGGACACCCTTGCTAGTATTCATCTCTAAACCAGTGTGACTAAGCAAGAGCCAGACCTGATGAAAAGGGTGTGATAGAAGATCTCCCTTCCTTTGTGTTGCTTTGAGGGGAATGTTTACCTGTTTCTCCCCCAGACGTACCTTTCCCGAAAGCTGCTATTATTTATTTGATTGGCACTCTGCCTTTCCACCAAAAACTGGCATTTGAGGCAGCTTACACAATTAAAATGAATTAAATAGAACTAATGGTTCCATAGGGCAATCAAATGAACAGCATCTATATCTGTCTTTCCATCACCCCTCCCTCAACACAGAATGGAATATTGTTAAAACCAAAACAACAACACAACTTTTTTAAAAAATGCAATCCATTTTGCACAGGCAAGAGTTCCCTCTGTTCCCCATCCCATCCCAGCTGCTGCTCCTCTTCCTAATATTTCCTTCCTCTTGCCTTGATGCAGTGCCCCAGACCAGTCCCGCTCCTCCTCGCCAACATCCACCCTTACTGTGAACTCCGGCAGGGATTCCGTGCCTTCCCGCTTGGCCCGGTGTTGAGGCGCCGGCTGCTCTGTGGGGGGCTCACAATAGAGGTGGTTCTTTGTGAGGGTCTTGACTGAGCAGACCCCCACTCCAATCATGGCTTTCACCTCGTCTTTGCTAATGGCTAGGTCCAGATTCTCCCCCTGGAAGAAGGAACACCAATTAGAACTTCTAAGCAAGGCCCACGACTGTCACCCGCGTGGAAAAAATCAGTGCTGGCCAGCTGGGCTGGGAAGGGGGTGCTTTGCAGGCCCCCCCCCCCCCCGCAGCATGCTGCATGTGAAGCTGAGCACAGAGGAGGGCCTGGCGCTCCACGCGGGGAAGCTCCTGTGCGCGCATGAGGTTCCGTCCTCCCGGGGCTGCCAGGCTAGTGCGCAAATGCAAGGCTGTGCAAAGGTGGTGCGGCAACACACCACAGCGGGGAGGCGGCTGCCACACATGCGGAGAGGTGGTGCAAGGAAGAGATCGGAGACGGACGACTGTCCAAAGCTCCCGTTAGAAGTAGCAGGGGTGGAATTTGGGCGTAACAAAAGGTCAGGATGCACACGTAACGCAGAAACATGAAACCTTGCTCTCTCTTTATATTAAAAAATACAAATCTGTTTTCAGAAAGAGAAAGGGAAAGAGATTTAATAAGCCATAGGTGTTATTCAGTATATCCTATTAGCCCTTGGCAATTTCCCAAGAAGTACTGTTAATATTGTCTTGGTCTAACAGATGGGACTATAAAGGCCTTGCAACTGACATAAACGACTAAATACTCTAGATTATTATAAAGTCTCTAGTAAGGACCGACCACTTCTGTACATGGAAAAAAACTGATTTCTTTGATCAGGGCATGTAACGCAGATTAAAGCAGCAGTGAACGAAGGGTTAATTTCTACTGCCCTGCCTGCATTGTGTGTCTGATTTTGGGTTTTGCACTGGAGCTTGATGGGCACCATCTGGGAAGTAGATACACTTGGCTGAGATCTTTGCACAGCAGCTAGCAACTAGGGAATCAGGGAGAAGGGGAGGAAGGAACTTGTACGTTGCAGATTTGCCTTTTTGTTCAGCTACTTTTGCACAAGGAGTAATTATTGAAAGGAATGCATAGCCATAAGATATTGCCTCTGGCTTAATGAATTTATTAGGACAGGGCAAGGAATCTGTGACCCTCCAAAAGTTGTTGCGACTTCAGTCCCCACCAGCAAAGCAAGCATAGCCAATGGTCTGGGTTGATGGAAGATATTGCCCACCAACATCTTCAGAGTTACAGATTTCCCAGTCCTGTGTCAGAGGTTTAGACAAATACACAGAAAGAGAACTCTATAAACAACTGTTCAACATAGCAATTAAATAGAACCTTCTGGGTTGGAGGCAGTATACTTTGGAATACCGAAGGACAAGCAATGGAGGAGACCTTTTGCCTTCACTGTTGACTCTCTGCTTCCCAAAAGAATTTGGTTGATCCATGTTGGAAAACAGGATGTTGGACTTTATCAGAGACAGGAATCTTCTGCTCTGTGGGGATGAGAGACTTTCCCTATCCAGCTTGCTGCTTCTGTTCCAGACCTCACTCTCCTTTTTCTCATCTGGCCCCTTATCTCTCATTCTGTGAACCTTCTTATCTCTAACCAGCAGCTGCCAATAAACAAGGCATGGATCTTGCTTCCTGCTTGCGAGGAACTGATTGTTCCAGTTACCTCCACAGAGATGATACTCCCAGGCTTGTGGCGATAGGGTTTGGAATGATCTTCCATGTTGAGGGGCTTCAGGAAGGGGTCAACCTCATAGGAGAAGCCAGTCGGGTGCAAGGTCTTGAAGTCAAAATTGAGATTATCCAGGATGAACTCCAGTTTTACTTGGATGGAATGGGAGAGTGGTTTAATGGCTGGCGTTTTGCACAGTATGAGGCTGGAAGAGTTGACCTCGCAGGGCTCTTCAAACTAGGATAAAAAAATAAAGAGATGTGAGCAGCAGAGCTCTGATGGCTAGACTTCCAGAGGCTTAACAGTCCCAGGACCCTCTGGACCACGGGGAATCCCTGAGGTGGCTCTGGGCAAATGGGTGGACTCAGGACAAATCAAAGCATCTCTTAACACAGAGTTAAGCTACTGGCACCGCAAGATGCAGTGACGGCTAACAACTAGGATGGCTTCAGAAGGGCATTGGGCACATTCAGGGAGGGTATCCAGAGTTGTTGGGGAGCCCCAGTAGGGGGGCCATTAGGGCACCCCAGTCTTGTTTATGAGCTTCCCAAGGCATCTCGCTGGCCTTGATGGGAACAGAATTCTGGATTAGACAGGCTGGTCTTTACGGCCCTGCTGGTGCTCCTGGCAAACATTTCGTAGACTACTTAACTATGAATGTGGGTATATTTCCTTTGTTTGCCCAGCCCACCCAGACCCAGAGCCAGTGTGCTGTAGTGGTTAGAATGCTGGGCTGCAATTAGGCAGACTCGAGTGAAAATCCCCGCTCGGCTGTACAATTCATGAAGGAAGCTTGGGCCGGTCGCTCTCCCTCAGCCCAACCTCTCTCACATAGTTGTTGCAGCAATAAAAACTGGGGAGAGTGAATGTGGAATCATGTTCATCACTCAGAGAGCTTTAGACAGCAATGGAATGAAAGGAATAAAGAAGAAAGAACCGCCAGCACCAAAACATCTGGCCACAAGAAGGACAACACTAAACATCACACCAACACCTGCAGTTTTAAAAAAAAGTATAGTAATATCTGGCCAACCTACTTGCTGGATACTACAGAGAGCATTCTCTGGGCATTCAGTTTCTGGGATTATCCTACGCCTCCTCCCCAGGCCCCGGCGTCGGCGCTCCAGTGGTGAGACCGTGACACGAATTTTTGGCCACTGCACGACATCAAGGTTATGCCCATGAACTCGGATCTCTCTCCCGCCACTGAAATACACATGCATACACACACGTGCTAGAAAGGAATAAAAAATAAGACTGCCAATCCCACGATGCCTTCATACAATTCTGCAGTAAGACCGTACTTGGACTACTGTGTACAGTTCTGGTCACCACACCTCAAAAAAGGATAGCGTACGAATGGCAAATGTGTAGAAAAAAAGAAAGCAAGGGACCTGATGTGGAAAGATAATAAAGTCCAGTGAGGAAAAGGGTAAGAGATGATGCAGGTGAATAAAATTATGCATGGTTTGGAAGACTTTTCTCATAATACTAGAACCTGTGCGCACTGACTGAGGCAGAACAGTGGAAGCTCTTGGACACGTTCAAGAAAGAACTTCTTCACACAGCTCACAAGTTAAACTGTGGATTTTGCTCCCACAAGATGCAGTGATGGCCACTAATTTAGGTGGCTTTAACAGGTGAGTAGATACAGGATAAGGTATTGCGGGAAACTAGACCTGATGGTGTTATGCTGCCTCCCGTGTAAGTGTCAATGTGCTTGGTATATCCAGGGAACATGAGCAGAAGGGTGCTAATGACCCATGGCCTCCTTGTGGGCTTTCCATGGCATCTGGTGTACTGCTGTGGAAAGAGAGTGTTGGACTACATAGGCCAACAGGACTGCTCTTATGCGCTTAAACGAATGCTGTCATTTACAAGTGATGCGGCTTTGGGATTTGCATCTTCTGGGTTTTCCTTCTGAGGGAAGGGTTTTGGTTCAGTTGTATAGCATGTACTTTGTAATCCCCATCATCCCCAAACTGGGCTATGAAAGAACCCACTCTGAATCCCGGGAGCACTTCTGTCAGACAGTATGGACAATACTACTGAGATGTCCTGGTAGTCTAACTGTGCCTTTGGGAAAGTCTCCTGAAACCACTGAAGGGCCTGGAAAAAGCTGAGAAGAACAAAGGTCATGGACACTCACAAGGATATTGACAAGTTTCCCTGCCTGGGCAGCTATCCATGCTTTGTAGAGGGAGTGGGTAGGTTCATGTGATCAACCACTCTAATAAGACTAAGCAGAAGTTATACCGAATTGGGAAAAAGAGGCCCATCCTGTTGATGGTATGAACATCCCGGGCAGAATGGCTAGAGGAAAGCTTCTACTGGAGGTCTTTAAGAGCCGTTGCCAGTCAAGATATACGGCTCAGTGCAGGGCATTCTGATGGGCACCTGTATTTGGTGGGCTGCATCAGAAGAAAGGCAAGGGGATTTTATGCTTCAACAGGTAGCACACTGACCTTCCACAGTGTCCTGAAGCTGGAGAAGTTTTTGGTTGCCATGCCAGGGCTTTATGTTTAGCCTCAGCTTGCATTAGTTAGGAAGAACACCAGAGAGAATTTGTTAAAGCTGCCTTCCTCTATTATACTACTTAAATTAGAACTGCTTTTCTTGTGAAAAACGTAACTATTTGCTTAATGGAAGCAGCTTTGACCCCTCTTGTCTCCCAGGAAAAGGGTTAGCTTGGGGCTTTCTGACAGCCTCTGAAACAAGGAAAGAGGAGAGCTGTATACCATCTCTAGCTTATTTAGCTTGTGTGTTTCCTTTTGGCTTTGGACAAGAAGCCTGCAAATCTCCAAGCAAATAGGGCTGCAAGAACAACATCGATCATACTGGGAAGACCTGTGACTAAGGGATGTGAGTCAGCTCATCTCTGCCCACTTTTAGTATCTGCACTCATACTCCACAACCTGCGCTGTACTCCACAAACCGCACCTTATCTTCCACACACATTGTTGTGTCCCTCCCTGATTATCCTTGAATCTAACCTGAGGTGGCCTTGGCTTGGCCCTGCCCCTGGGGTACATGGCACAGGAAGTCTTCCCTGGCTCATCCACCTCTCCCCACATTCTATTCCGCAGGAACCTGTTCAGCCTTTTCATGTGAACAGCAAGAGGGACAGCGCCGACACCTCATGCGGCAATGCCCTCAGCATCAAGGCTGGCATGGGGAGTCCGCCACTTTGCACATGTACTGGACTCTAATGCACTCGGATGTGGCCAGAATGCACACGGTGAGTGTTGGGAGCTGGCTCTCCCCTTCCTCATTTCAACCAACAGCCTCACTGCAAAACAGCTCCTTCTTTCTAATGCGCAGCCAACAAACTAGGGCCATTTGAAAATGAGTCTCTGTGCATGAGTAAAGTGATTCATTGAAACCAAATTAGAAGTTACTTCCAAAACTTCTAGCTCCATGCAGTAACCCTGGATTCCACCCACCTGAGTGGGCCCCCCTAAATATGGACTCGCCTCCTTGATCTACGCAGGCCCTTCTAGCCTGATGCTGTGCCACGGGGTCAGGGACTGGATTGGACTGAGCTCCTTCTCCTCCTCTCCTTTGTCCCACCCCTTCACTTCCACACCCTGTCCATTCCCATGGTCGACCTGAGCACCTGGAGAGGGAGACCTCGGGAGAATCTCAGCTCCTCTGCCATCTCGATCCCCACACTCCCTGTTTTCTAGCCATCACAGTCCTCATCCAAAGAGGCAGTGCAACTCTGACTCTGGAGAACGGGCCAGGAATACCCGCCTCTTTCCCGGCCGTAAGGGAGGCAGAAGTTGCAGTCTGATCTTAGCTGGAGGCTCACACATTTCCCCCACCCCAGGGCAAGATGTCTCTTTACGTCGATCATGCCGGACTCAGTACCTCTGGAAACTCTTGGCTGGTTCTGCATATGTGATATTGGGATCTAGGGTGTACTTGAAGAGGGAATGCTTCAGCCTCCGCTCCTGATCCCCATATTTGATTGTGACAGGGAGCTCCATGGATGCATTACTGGGACTCGTCAGACATTGCAGCTCATTCTCCTGCATCTCAGAACGACTGTGGAGGAAAGGGCAAGAGGAGAGTAAGAGAAAAGGGATTCATTTTATGTATATATGGATGTATTAAGGTGCAATCCTATGCAGGTCTAGGCATTCTGGGAGGAGTAGGCCTTTTTCTGCTATACTTTCATAGGGCTGCACCCACAGCTGCCTTTCTAGAAAACAGACTCTGCAAGAAAAAATGACCCTGAAAAATACAGTCTAATAAGCAACTCCTGCCTTGCAGAACGATCTCCTAAGACTTCAGAGAGTCATGTGGCACCTTAAAGGCTAACAGACTGATTTGGGCTGAAGCTTTGGCGGACTATATGCAAAGCATTTTTTGCTTTTGCCGGCAGCTGCTCTCCGGAGGCTGTTGCTGAGTAGACATGTGCTTGAAAACACTAAGGACCACCAGATGAGCTGAGGAGGCTCAACAGCATGGATTCCACCTGTCCAAAGAGTGACGGCATGGCATGTCCGCGGAACCCACAAGGGGAAGTCACTGATGCACAGAGCGGGAATTCCAGGTAGGACTGGGCAGACTGGCTCAGCTCAGAAATGCTCTGACTTATTCCAGGTTTTAAAAAACCTTTTCATCTAAAGTTCAATGAAAGCTCAATAACTGTTATTAACATAACAATATTTTATATTGTATTTCCTTACAGAAATGTAAGAAAAACCCCCACAGTGATCGCATTCTAACCCATTACTCCGCACATTAAGTCTCCTGCCTACTTCCAGGGCTTTACCAAAAGGCACTGGGGAGAATTTGACAAGGGCTAGAGTCTTCATATTTGACACAGTTTAATTTAATTTAATTGATATTTTAAAAGTTCAATAACAGGCTCTGCCTGTTCCCCAGCTGAGTTATCTTTATACTCATCTATGTACTCCCTCTCTCAACACTTTTTTAAAAACTAGAGGCCTATAATTTTTTTAATTAAGTCTTTTAAATTTGACTCTTCATGTTATTGATTGCTGTCCTGAGAATTTGTAATATAGTTCATTTTAATTGATTGACTGTTTCTCTAATCTGCCTAATAAAGAATATTCTCTATGTTTGTATTTTATATCACCATTGTTGTTTTATTTATTGTGTATACACCGCCTTTGTGAATCCTGCTTTTAAGTCCTGAACAGTAGTTTAGGAATTGTTGTAAGTCATCTCCAATTTATGGTGACCGTATGAATGAAAGCCTTCCGAAGAGCCCTGCCCAGCTCTTGTAAACTTTCCCTAGCAATATCATCTTCTTCAGTGAGTCTTGCCTTCTCATGATGGGCCTGAAGTACGACAGCTTCAGTTTCATCAGTTTTGCTTCTAGGAAAAGTTCTGGCTTGATCTGACCTACTAGTTTATCCTTCTTTCAGTCCAGGGTATTAACAGATCTTCCCTCCAGTGTCACGTTTTGAATGCATGATTTTTCTTCTTTCAGCTTTCTTTGCTGTCCAGCTTTCACAGCATACGGATCAGGAATACAAGAATGTTGATGATCTTGACCTTGGTCTCCATTAAAAAATCCCTACACTTGATTATTGTTTCTAGCTTCTTCACTGCTGCCCTTCCAAGTCTTAGTCCTCTTCTTATTTATTTATTATTTCGATTTATATCCTGCCTTTTTCCTCAAAGGACTCAAGGCAGCTTACATCATTCTCCTCCTCCATCTTATCCCCACAACAACCCTGTGAGGTAGGTTGGGCTGAGAGTCTGTGACTGGCCCAAAGTCACCCAGCTGGCTCCATGGCCGAGTGGGGACTAGAACCCAGATCGTCTGAGTTCCAGTCCCAGGCTCTTAACCACTACACCACACTGGCTTCATTATAGTTTCTCTTTGAATTGATGACTGAGCTAAATTATGTTAAGCTGTTTACAACTTAAATTTCTTCTTTGTTGACCTTAGAGTTGAATAATTCTTCTGTAGTCATGATTTTTGTTTTCTTGATGTTTAGCTGCAGTTCTGCTTTTGCATTTTCTTCTTTCACTTTTAGAAACGTAGAAACAAAGCGAGTCAGAAAGGGTCTCCTGACGTCCCACTCCAGCCAGCTCCACTCATGTAATCCCCAACATATGATTGGTTTTATTAAGAGTCATTAAATTAATTGCTGCTTTCTGCCAGGAGTATAATATAATCTACATATCTTAAATTATTGATGGATCTTCTGTCACTTATCAAGCTTCCTTCCTCTGATCTTAATCCAGCTTTCTATATGATCTGTTTGTAGAGTGAACAGATAGGGAAACAAAATACACCCTTGTCTGATGCCTTTGCCTAAAGGAAACCATCCAGTTTCTCCATATGTTGTTCCAACAGTAGCTTCTTGTCCATGACACAGTTTATGCATCAGGACAATCCATTGCTAAGGCACAATTGCTAAGGTTCTTTCAGGACCATCCAGAACTTCTCATGATCCATGCAGTGAAAAGCTTTGCTGTACTCTGTAAAGCACAGACTGATCTTCTGGAATTCTTTGATGAACTCCAATAAACAATGTATATTTGCAATATGCTCTCATCTGCTCCTTCTTTTTCAGATCCTGCTTGGACATCTGGCATTTCTTGCTCCATATAGGGTGAAATTCTTTGTTGCAACACTTTGAGCATCACTTAGTTTGCACGGGAAACTAGCGCCGTGCTCCTATGGTTGTTGCATTCCTCAACGTCTCCTTCTATGGGGACTGGAACATATACTGAATGTTTCCAGTCTCTGGACCATTGTTTTATTTTGCACATTTGCTGGCATATTCTTGTTAGAATGTGGACCAGTTCAGTCTCTACAGCTTGGAATAGTTTTACTTGCATCCTCTCTACTCCAGGAGCTTTATTCCTTCTGAGTGCTTTCAGAGTAGCTTCTGCTTTACTTTCTAATATTGCAGGTTCTTCCCCATGGGATTCCTCTTCAAAGGAGTCTGTCACTTTTTTATGTCTTCAGTATAGTTCTTCTGTATATTATTTCTGTTTTCTCTTTATTTTATCCTCATCATATAGTATGTGCCTCTATTGGTTTTTCAGCATACCTACTCTAGATTTGAATTTCCTTTTGATTTCTTAGATCTTTGGAAAGAGTCCTCTCATTTTTCCTCTTTGTTGTTCTCTTCTGTTTCCTTGCACTGATCATTGTAATAGTTCTTTTCATCTCTATGTGACAGTCGCAGAAAAGTTGCATTCAGGATTTTGACCTTATCTCTGTCGACTTTTACTTTTGCTTCTGGCCTGTCCTTTGCAACTGTGTTTCTTCTCTCATCTGTCTTGGCTCCCCCTTCTTTTTGCTACAGGAATTGTCTTTTGGCAAACTCCCCTAATATTATCTCTGGTTTCAGTCCACAGTTCTTCTGGTCCACAATCAGCTGAGTTCAGCAATGCAAGGAAGGTCAGTTTAGGAATGGTTTAATAAAATATAAGGTAGCCTTCAGAGAACCATGCGGCATAAAGGCCCTTTTAATGGCCAGCATCTGAGGAAAGTCAGGACTGGTGTGTCCTCTGGCTTCCCTCTCCTCCCAAGAGCAAAGACCAGGTCAGCCTGTCCTTTTGGGTGGCCTCCTCACACGCTAGACTACAACTTCTGGCATGAGAATTTTATTCCAACGCAACTGGAGGGCAGCCGGGAATAGGGTGGGATTGAGCAAAGAGTAAGCCAGCCATGCAAAATCTTTCGAGGTTATTACTAACTAAACTGCTGAGGGAAGTGGTCCTGCTGCTTCCCAAAAGGAGGCAGAAAGGGGGCTCAAATGCATGATTCAAGCAGAGACGGGTGAGAGTCATGTTGAACGACTGTGAATTGGACCTGAGCCTGTGCAGCTACCCAGAGCAATTTCTGGCCTTCACATTTTCCATATATGTGGGATTCCACATGCAAGTTGCCAATGTCCTAAGCTCCATTAAGGGTGAACTGAGGTGTGACACCTGTGGACACTGGCCTGTGGACAGTGACGCTGAGCTGTGGAAGCGTTTCTCCGATCCAGGCCTTGCGATCCGCGGCAAAGCCCATGTGTGAGAAAGCACAGAGACCACGAAGAACAAAAAAAGAAAAAAGCAGCTGCTGTGAAGCACCATTGCTTACATGTAGCAAGGGAACTGTCCAATCAGAACGCTGATTTTGCTGGGGTTGCCGGTCAGCAGCTTGGAGCCCGTCAGTGTGAGGGAGGTCCCACCAGCCTTGGGGCCTCGCAACGGGGAAATAGACTTCAGCTCAGGGTTCTGTGTGTAAGGGCAGGAAAGGTATCATTACTATGATTTAAATGTATGCACCACTTTGCATGACAAAAAACACTTTTGAAGCAACTTATACACAGGGATAGAAATTCAGAATTAATATAACTGACACCTCCCCCACAATCACTATAAACTAAATTTGAATCATCCTCAACTTTGAGATTTTTTAAAAGTTCACAAGAACATTGCAAAAAAAAATTAAATAAATAAATAAATAAATAAATAAAATAAGAAAAATTTAAAAAAATTGCAAATCTCTTTAGGCACAATGCTTATAATATATGCACCTAGAGCAAAGATACCCATTTTTCCAAGTACTTTTCTTAATAAAATGAATTTGCGAACATGTTTTCCCTTAATGCACATGTTTCTGTGTGTGTGTGTGTGTATATATATATATTTGATTGAAGAGCTCAATTGATAAATTTACCAAGTGTGGATTTCAAAGGATAACTGAGTTCCAAATTTGCACACTGGCCCGAAATTCCCATTCTGTCCCTAGCAGATTCACAGGAAAGGCAAGATCCTTCCTGGTCCCTTTGCAGGAGCCAGGGGCTGCCCATGGCTGCCACAGTGTGAGCTGGGGTGAGATGCAACACACGAATGTCGCAGTGTGTACACTTCACCACTTGCTGTCACAGGAAGGAATGTCTGCTCTGCCCTCGCAGGCAGCCGTGCGTATTCTGCAAAGTCAGCTTCCAGCCTGAGAGTGACCGAGAACAGGTGACCACAATACCTGGTAAGTGAACAGATGATCCGAGACTCCCTGTCCTCCTCCAGGAACCTCCACGACCACATGCCCAGACCTCTCTGTGCTGCTTCCGCCCGTGGTGCACACAATACTGCAGGACAAGGGCAGAAGAGAGGATGGAGAAGAATCCCCCACCAAGGTGCACCACATGGGCTGCTCTAAACCTGAGTTAATGAGAGGGGGGCACTTTTAGCTCTCGGCCCAACTGTGAAGGAGACTTCACCCACCTGAGCAGTTGTGCTGCTAAGCCATTTTCTTCTTCATGTGAACCACCCGGAGATATGAGCTCTGCAAGCCGGCGGTGGTGCAGATCATGTATAGTTCGTAAGAAGGATGAGATCGAGTGGTCCTGACTTGCAGCAAACAGATGGCCTTTGGACATTTCCCTGGTTATTTCTGTGTACTGTTCGCTCTAGAGAAATCCCCGGCTCCTGCTGCTTCCTCCCCTTCCCGCTATCGCGATATAAAAGCAAACCAAGGATGCTGGACCACTGACTACACCGGAGGTCCTCAACACAAATGGGCAGGAGGGTTGAGCGCCACCACGCAACTGGCCGCAGCTCTCTGCACTGCCGACGGGTATCACCACAGAGTGGGCGTGGGCAGTTGCTGCTTCAAGAGCAGAAGGAAGAGGACAGGTTGCATCTGCTCCTCCCATGAAACAGAAGTGGGGAGCTTGTGGCCTGCCAGATGTCATCAGTCTCCAGTTCCCATTAACCCTAATCAGGCAGCCAGTGGCCAAGCCGTGCGGGATCCACAGCCCAGTACCATCCTCATTCCTGATATGAACCTTCCCCCTTTGTCCCAGGAAAGCCAACTGCAGGCTTCCTTTTAGAAGTCCACTTTACCCTGCTGGCTTGGAGCAAGGCAGTGGTTGGCTCATCCCACTGCTGGGGACCCCCAGCAGCCCCTGCACCAACAGGCAGGCAGAGGTAGCCGGCAAGTGCACCAGGCACTGCGGTCTGCGCCTCCTTCTTTGTATGCCACTGGCTTCTCTGAACGTGCCAGCTCCTGTTTGACTGCAGCCTCCTGCTAACAGTGCTCTTCTGCCTGAAGCCTGTCCCTGCCAGATCACCTGCCTTCTCTGTGCCTGATCCTGCAGATACCACTGATTTGCCCCAGGTAGCCTGTAACAAAATCAGGGAAACTAGAAGCAGCTGGCAGGAAGCAAGATGACAATGCGAGGAAGAGAAAGCCGTCCATTTAAAAGGTGAAGACAAACAAAGATGCCCACTGAGTGAGTCACAGTGGAACACCCAACACCAAACACTCCCATCGACCCACAGGAAATGTACTGACCTGCTAGAGATCTCGTACACCAGAGCATCCACCTCACAAGGGATTCCCGCCACAGTGACCGTCTCCGCAATATCCTGGTGCTTCTGACCAAGGTTTGACCCGGTGATAGTGATTCTGGTGCTACCTTCAACCAGTCCGTTTAAGGGATACACCTGAGAAGAACGTGCAAACATGTGTAAGCAGCACATCTAAGCATGCTGGGTGGGATGGGCAACACACAATGCCACTCTGAACAGCTGGTCCCCTCCACCCGCTCACAAAACTCATGTCAGAAGAGCCCTGTAATCCTACTTAGGATTTATATAGCCATGCAATTTTCAAAGGGGCATATTGCTTCAGTGTTCTTGAGGGGTGGGGAACCTCAAGAGGGCAAGAGAAAACACGGCCCTCCTGGGGTCGCACGCCTCCTTCCCATCTTTCAGCCCAAGGGCTCTGCTCCATTTTGGATTCTTTTGGGCAGTTGGATGGATGCATTTTAGTGGTGGGAGGAGCTAAAGGCAAAGGGGACAGGGCCCACAGTGCTAGCATGCTGTAGCTTAAACGCACTGCTGCCAGTAACTAAGCCTCAGAAGAAGCATTTCAACCTTTTATAATGAGGGAAAACTACAGAAAACCTGGGAAGCCCACCAAATGCTCAAGGACAGGAGAAACTAGGAGAGGCCAGGGGAAAGAGTGTGGCCATCTGGGAGCCTTGGAAGGCCAGACTGAGAACCCGAGAGGGCCAGATTTGGCCTCCATACCTGACGTTCCCCACCCCTGCAGAAGACCAGTTTGCAGTGGGGGGCAGATAGCATAACCATACGCATACTTAAGACATTTCCTGTTTGATCTAAATAGCAGTTTCCTTTAGTCTTATACCGAATACCCTCCCAACCTCAGATGGTCTGGAAACACAGAATTGTGCCTACTTTGGATCCATACCAACACACAATTCAACAGACAGCTAGTGTGTGGACATGCGCACTTCCACCTCCCATGCACAGAGGTATCTAGGTGTGCAACAACAACAAGGAGCCTTGTGGCATCGTAAAATCCACCATATCTTTCACAGCATGAAGTTCTGCTCTTTAGAATCTACTTGTGAGTACCCATCTGACAAAGTCCACTACAACCGAGTCTTCTAACTTCCTACAAGGCTCTCTGTTGCTTTTTAAATGTTTACTGCTAAATGTACTCTTCCACCCAACCAGGTCTCCAGGACCTTAAATGTAATGCTTGTTTAAAATTCTCTGCCTCTCTGCCCCAGCTTTATCACCTCTCTCATCTTGCCCTTATCCTCCTTGATCTCACTGCTCTGCATGAGTTGATCTCCTACACAGGCCTCCATCTTTTTTCTTCTCCTCCCACTCACTGCTTTTTGGCCCCTGTGCTGCTATCTCCCCACTCTGCCTTCTCTTCATTAAGACCCTTCTCTTCTCCTCCAAGTTCAAGACCCACTTCTTCAGGGAAGCCCTTTCCTCCTTTAAAAATCAAAGGGTATTGATTTTACCTTCAAGGTTACTACAGTGAGAATCCTTGTAAACACACAGGGGACCTATGAAACCCTTTCCCTTATTAGCAGTCTCAGAGATGCTCCTCATGACAGATCAGTGCCTGAACCTTTCCTAAGTTCACCCTGCCAGCAAAAAGTCACCAATTGCTCATGTAGCTGCTCTTCATCAGTAATGCACTGTGGATGTTTTTGGAGGGATTTTAAAAAAAATGGGTCAATTGACTGAATGCAAAATATAACATCCAACACTGCCCTTTTGTAAGTGGCATTATAAGGTTGAACCAAAAGAGGGGGGAACGTTTTGTGAACCTTTTCCAGCTTAAAGCACATCCGTTTCTATGACTTTTTGACGACTGATGAAACTGGATTTGAAAATGCATGCTAATTCAGCAAACAGTTCCTTACTCTAAATTGGCTTCATTTGTTGTTGATGACATAACCATGTTGCCAAATTCAGTTCACCAGATTTTTATAATCTCATTCACCCCATCAGCATACCAAGATAGCTGCAAAATGAGCTGGAACCTGGAGCTACAGCTAAGGCAAGCAGAAGAGGGAACGCAGAGCTGCGCAGGTTTCCCTCAATGCCCACAGAGAGTGCCCTGCCTGCAACATCAGTCAGGCACACAAAGAAAGGGCAAACCAGCCCAGCCTTTCTTCTTTTTCCTGTTTTCTCTTTCCTCCTCTCCAATATAATACACACCCCCCATGTTGCAATGAAACTTGGTGTATATTCAATAATTTTCTGGTGGGCTGCAGCGCACAGGGAAAGGAAGGGTTAACCTTCTCTCCCATAAGCCTCCTCTTGCCCTGTGTCTGTGTGTATACACACAGCAATTTGAAAAGGACTTTCACTTACACCAAAGGAAGCTTTTCTTTTCTGGCCCTCAGACCTGAAGGGTGGGAATTGAGTGCCACCTGAGAAAAGGCTGAATCAAAAAGCAGCGGTCCCTATCCCTGCAGTAGGCAATTCCGGGCTAGAAGGGTTTGTTGACTAAACTAGACACTATAATAAATATGTGGCATACCGCTGATCCTTGCCGTTTTGTTCACGTTCAGTACACAGGGCCCTGATCTGGACTGGGGCAACCATGAGCAGGTAGGGGAGGTTAAACTTTCCCACCCATCGAACTTTTCCTCCAGCGCACATGCACACACACTGCAGGACTAAAAGAGGGGGCAAGTCCATAGACCCCCATGAAACATTTCCCTCTCTTTTTAGCCTCCATAAAGTGGGGATGCTAATTTGTGTGTGTGTGTGGGCGGGTAAGGTTTAAACCTCACCTTCCTGGGCACGGTAGTTCAGATCCTGGATGAGAGACCTATGTGCTTACACCAAAGTAAATCAAATGGTGAGGACCATGGGCACCCTCCTCATGTCAGGTTGCCTGCACTGAAGGGCAGGGCAGTTTCCTAAATGCCAGACTTCAGGAAAGAGGGGAGAATTCATGTCATTCCACCCTGGAGAAGGCAGCTTTGTCTCAAGATGGGAAGCGAATGGGTGGCCACAACAGAATTAGCTGCTCCTTTGACCACGACCTTTGCTCATCGAACTGTTCTACAGGCATCCTGGGTTCCTGCAGATTTCCTCACCAGACATCCGGCTTCCACTGCCCTGCACTGTTACTCACAGCATGAATCAGAGGGGCCGGGCACGTGTCCGTGACCTCTTCTTTGCAGGAATCCCGGAACAGGCAGCTGGGCTGCTCTCCACCACACCACACACAGTTATACTTAGCATCCGCGGTTTGGCAACGGCTGCAGTCCAAGTGTCCCACAGAGCAATTGTACAGGGTCACTGCAGAGAATGAAACACATTGGACAGACACTGGTGAGGCCTATGGGCAACTCCTTTGGGTACAGAAATCAGGCCAAGCGAGCCAACGGGATAGAGGGGGGCTCCAAAGGGATGCCAGTCCACTCCCACCCTCCATGGCTGCTCTAAGGCAGGAACAGGGCATATCAGCCCCCTCAACCCAGCTCTTTTTAAAATGCAGGGCATCTGAAGGGGGCGAGGAAGAGCTACCAAACTCCAGGGAAGGACAAGACCCTCAGGCAAGACGAGTTTTCCTCCCTCCTCTAGCCAAGCTTCAGGTAGGTTGAAAGCCCCCTGGCCAAAGACCTTCCCTTGAGGGTGACTTCATCCTGGGTCCCCCTTCCAGAATTCAACCTGCTCTAGAAACATGTTAGCTCAGATGTTGCTTCATTCTTGTTACAATCCCTTGTGTGCAGTTTTTTTATTATTTATTTCTTGTATTTCTATGCTACCCTCCTGAGGCTAAGGTGGCTTTAAGAAATTCAAATCAAAAAGCCATCTTCACGTAAAAACATTAGTAAAACAACACATAAAAAGCAGAACCCTTTCAACAGCCAAGTCAAAAAGATGTGTCTGGACCTCCTTCCAAAAAGCAGGGAACGTGGGGGCCAGTCCCAGCTCCAGAGGGGAGCTGGATGGATTCCAGATGTGTCCCCTCTTATTCCTTTTCTAATGTGAGCTTTGAATTAGCATCCGAGCTGCTCATGAGAGCCTCACCTGCAGAACACGGACATGCTAGGTTAGGAGGTGGGGTACAAGGTAGCATAAATGCAGAAGCAGGAGGTCTGGGCACAACACGTGGGGGCAGCCTGTGAGTTATTCAGTTTCTGTGCCGTCTGGGGAGCCCCACCGCTCTTCCCCACTGCTCAGCTGGAGAATGGCAGGCAGCTCACTCTTAGTGGTGAGGACACGGAGGTCTGGATTTGAATTGTCGGTGGCAGCAGGGGCGGTGCTGGGGAGACACTTACCTTGCCACTGCCCAGGGATCCCAGTGCAGGGATGGCCACATCTTCTCCATTCTGATTCAGGATCGCTTGGGGAGGGTGTTAGAAATAACGCTAACCTTCCCTCTCCCAGTGATCCAGAGCAGAACTGCTGAGGTGTGGGGAGAGGTTTTAAACTCCCCCATCTCAGCAGTATGCATTCCCTGATTTCAGGAAGCAGGAAAGAGAGGTTTAAACCTCCCCATCACTGCACGTTGAGCTGCGTGTGCAAGCAGCCTTGACTGAAGCACAAAATTCGGTAAGTTCACTAAAAATATGAACTGAACTCCTTTCTCCCCCATTCCTATCTGTAGCACTTGATGCTATGTGGGAAAGCCTCCCCTAGGCAGACCCACAGCATGACTGCGGGCACCATGTTATGCATGTCTGGAGAGAAAAGTCCTTCAACTCCCTGTACTCTTTAGTTCAGCTGGCTGGGAAATGCTGGTATTGTAGAATTTTTTCTTTAAATATGCTCGGAATTGTGGCCTAAATATGGAAAACAGCAGAGAAAATTAGAGACTATTTTGTCTTGAGCTCCACAGCTTAGTCACCAACCCACAGCTTTCCCACACTCTCTCCCTGTACCATGGAGGTCTTCTATGCTGTCCACACGGAGTCGTCGTCTCCTCTGCACGAAAACCACTGCGCTGAATTCAAGTTGAGGGGCAGAGTAGCTGTACTGGAAGAGAGACCAAAGCATCCCTCTCTGAAAGCAACTGCATATTCGCCAGGACAAATGATTTGGGCAGTGGGGGGACAGGAGGGGTTTAAAAAACTGCAACAGAAGGAAGGCTAAAGTGGAATCTGCAACAAAAGGCTGCAGCACAAAACGCTGCTGCTCAGATTTCCAATCGTTTCACCCTATTCCTCCCTGCTAACACGTACACGATTTTCTGTTTCCTGCTTCCCAAAAGTGAGCCAGCTTTGTGTGGGCAGCAATTATGACCAGTCCCCTCACACTGATATGGAGAGTCTCCCCATTTATGTTTATTTCTAAAGGTTTTATATACTTCTGCAGACACTGGAGACCCCCACATCTACTGCTGATTGTGACAGGTAGTGACATTTCGGCTATATAAACACTGGCACCCCTAGCATGAACATCCAGTATAGTTGGAATGATGGAATTCCCTCCCTGGGGAAACGCAGTTCGCTCCCTCTCTTCCTGTTGCTTTATGGGATTTGAAAACCTTATTGTTTCAATAGGCCTTTGGTTTATAGCTCTACAGTTACCTTAAGGAGCCCCTTAACTTCAGGGATCCGCTGGCCTTTACCTATTCAGAAAATGGTGGACGTGGCTGAAGGGAAACGTTTGAGGCTAAACACACAGTGACTTGTCCAAGAAACTAAATTAAAGGTAGAAATTTGGTCTGAGCTCCAGAAAAAAGAACCACCCATTTAAACCTAAATGAAAAAGGTTCTGGGAAACAGCTTCTAGGAGCATTCCTAGTTAAAAGTTAATTAATTGGTTAGAAATCTTAAGAAATTAAAATTAAAATCAGGACGAACAGGAAGCATGCTGGCAGCAAAGGAGATCCTGCGGGCTCTGTGTGGAGATCCTGGCTTTAATACATTCTCATGCTGATCTTCCCACATGTTTAAATGCTCCAAACAGCTGCAGCAGAGGGAGTGGGGATGCAGCATGACTCCTGGCCAGAACCAGCTGCCATGGGGTTCCTCTTCCCTAGGAAGCGCTTCTCTTGGTCAACGTTCCACTTTGCCAGCAAGCATTTATATAACTTGCAGCAGCACCTGAATCTGCTGTTTCCCTTCCCTCCCTTCTTTACCCCTCTTCCCTTTGTGTCAGGACCATGAGACTGTAGGCAGGCTTGGAAAGCACAGTCCTCCGAGGACTCAGCAATCATGATGGGCCCTCCTTGTTAGCCGCGTCTCGAGAGCAGGCACAGAAGGAAACCCAGGGCAGGCACCTTGTGCACGAAGACCTTACCTGGTGCAGCTGGCACGTGATATAGCAAAGCGATGGATTGGCTTCATCCTGTTCGATATACGCCTCCACCACCAAGGTCTTCCCCTCCAGAACCAACGCACATTCATAGTCCCAGAGCTGGTCCTTGAAGGAGGAAGACAGGCAGGGCTGAGTCCCCCAGAAGGACACCCCCGAGGCCCCGCCACCTGCAGCGCTGAGCTCCACAAGCCACTCCACAGGGACCGCGGGCTACTTCTCGGCATGTTCTGCTTCTGCCTTGCTCAGGACCAGTTCCCCATTTCATTAGCTCTGCCTTGAATCCTGTGGCAGAGCAATGAGGCTGTGGGAGAGGCCTTTCCAGATCACGGCTCCTGTCCTTTGCTATGTCGCTCCTCATGACAGTCCCCATGATCACCCCCGCCCCCGGAAGAGCCCCAAAATGCAGGCAGCTCTGCCCACCCCCCTGCATATGCGCATCTATCTCTTCAAGTATATTGCATGTTCCTCAAATGGGTCTTAATTGCCTATCTGAAGCTGAGCGCCCCCACCCCAAATGCTTTGCATGGGAGGACTGAGCCCAGCACCTCTGCAGAGGCACCGCCAGAAGTCATGCGATGCGACTGGGCTTGGGTGAGGAGAGGGAGCATGTGGCCGAGAATGCCGAGGCTAGGAGGGAATGTCTCGGATAGCCCAGGAAGCCGTCCTGGAACTGTGGGAGCCAAGATGCGAGAGGAGGAGGAGGAGAAAGGATTCGCGGCTGCCGGTTAGCGGGCAAAGGATGAAGGCGCATCAGCACAATCTGGCACAGCAGCGGAAGAGGTTGCTGCCCAAGCGACTCTTCCATGAAAAGGTCCTCCTGGATAGCCGGGCGTGGTTCGCACGGCTAGCTCCGGAGCAGGAAGGCTGCAACCATTTCCCATTCGCCTGGTGGCCACTTTCTTCCCATGGGCAGCTTTACTTACACTAGCAAGCTATTGCCATTGCTAGCTCTCGCAAACTGGACTCTTTTACAGCCACTGCTTGTAACCAAGGCCGGCTTGTTTGCATCTTGTTTACATAACCAAAATTAGCTACTTCCCGTCCTGACTCACAACCCTTGACATGGCATTTCAATAGCTGACATGGTTGCTGGGGAAATCAATTTACTGCCAGGTGCTGTGAGGATGGCAGAGGGATCCCTGAGAAGGGAGGCAGGTGATGTCCGTGTCCCTGCAAATGGAGCAGCCCTGGTGCTTCGATCCTGTAAGCCTTGGCGCCACTGCACCACAGCAGACAGGAGGCAGCCCACCCCTCCCGTTAAATGCTGGTCTTACGCTGATCCTTCACGGAAGCAGGGGTGGTGGACGAGCTTCTGGCGCACGAGGAGCAGACGGGTGGAGTTGCCCCTGCTGCTTCCCTCCCCAGTGATCTTCCAGCTCACTTGTGGTATGAGAGCTGGCCAAGGGGAAGGTGACACCGAGGGCCAGAGGAGGGGAGGAAAGTCAAGGGTTTGGTATCCCCATTTGGAAAACACACCGTGCTCTTAAAATTGACTGCCCTTCTTGTTTGTTAGATGGGTTTAGGGCAGACCCATGTTTATAAAGACAGGGCTGCCACTGTCACAACTGTTGCGTGCCTTACCTGCATGTGCAGAATAGAGAGTAAAAGTCTCTAGGTGAACCCTCAGAGTTATTACGTAGCAATTCTGCACCTTTTGACACATTCCCTAAACGCTCTCAAAGGAGGTTTTTGGACAGCACTCGGTTTTCAGTCACAATGCCCGGGCAGCCAGCAAAGCCTTACCTCATAGAGATGGAAGTTTCTCCCTATCAGTGTAATCTTCCGCTGCACATTGACTGGCAACAGAGAGGGCCCCTGGATGCCTCTCACACAGGGGCAGGCGCCCGGGCCGACACTAAACTCCTCATTCTGAAAGCACACGAAACATGCAGGAGACAATAAGAGGGTTTGCACACAGCTTGTGCTCCTCCCAGACCTTTGATGTTGTTATTCCTGTGGCCAGATCTAAATCTGCTGGCTGGCTGCAAAGTCGCGTCCAACCCATTGCAACCCCATGGACAACATTCCTCCAGGCCCTCCTGTGCTCCACCCCCACCCCCCTGGAGTCCACTTAAGCTCACGCCGACTGCTTCAGTGACTCCATTTATCCACCTCATCCTCTGCCGTCCCCTTCTTCTCTTGCCATCTATTGCTCCCAGCATTAGGCTCATCTCCAGGGAGTCCTTCCTTCTCATTAGGTGGCCAAAGTATTTGAGTTTCATCTTCAGTATCTGGCCTTCTAAAGAGCACTCAGGGTTGATCTCCTATAGGATTGACCGGTTTGATCGCCTTGCGGTCCAAGGGACTCGCAGGAGTCTCCTCCAGCACCACAATTCAAAGGCCTCAATCCTTCAGCACTCAGCCTTCCTTATGGTCCAACTTTACACAGTGCAAATATTGTAGGGCAATGACAAGAATTCTTGTGCAAAACTTCTTTCCCCAGCAGCAATTGAATAAGGGATTTAAAATAGGCAAGAACCTGGTGCAAATCACCAGGAGTTCAGATTGCACAACTCAGCTTTCCTATTCTATGACTGTTTTAAAGTGCAGAGAACAAACAGAACTGGGTGTTCTTTACCCGCACCCATCCCAGGCCTGTATGCGCCTCAGCCTTGTTACCCTACTCTCAGGCAATGGAGTGGGGGAGGTGATTTCAGTGGCCACATTAAATCTGGGGCAACTCTGCCAGGTGTACCAATATTTATTTATTACAACATTCTTGAATGCCCCTCACCCTCATGGACTCTGGAGCAGTGTGCTTATATCATAAAAATGATGATGATGCTGGTGATATAAAAATACACTGTTGTAAAACAAAGAAGAAGGCAAAATAACAGAACAGCCAAAAATTTACTCGTACTTGAATGCCTGTGCCAACAATATAGTTTTGAGCAGGCACAGAAACAATTGTTCCTTGGCGATTGTACACTGCTCTGCAGGGAATGTATTCTATTATGTTGTTGTTGTTGTTAAATTGGATTGATATCCCACCTTTTTCATCTTTGAGGAACCCAAACTAGCTTATATGACTCCATTTTTATCCCTGTGAGGTAGGTTGAGCTGAGAGGGAGCAACTAGCCCAAAGTCACCTAGCAGGCTTCATGGCTGAGTGGGGACCAGAGCCCGGATCCTCCAGGTCTCCAGCCCAACTGTCTAACCACCACACCACACTGGCTCTTCATTATTATGTTGTAACCAGGATGCCTAAGGTAGCCCTTGCCTTTGTAATAGTATAACCTTCCTGAGGTACCAGGAGAAGAGCCGGCCCTAATCTTAAGTCACAGGCCAGCTGGCAAAGAGCAGGGGCACAGAACCTCAGGCCCATGGCCTGGCACCAAATCTTGCCCTTCAGCCTCCCTCTTCTTCTGGAACCATCCCCTTCCCCCACCTGCTGATGGTCTGGTGTGCCTTTTCTCCCCATTCTAATAACTTGAAATGCCTCTTCTAACTATTATTTACTGGCAGCAAAAGTGTTAAGCTACAAAATGTTGGCATTTTCAGATTTCTTCGCATTTTGCTCTGCCCCATTTCCCCTTCAATTCTATCCACTGCTATGGAGCCACAAAGAGCTTTTCTGAAATTGAATTCTGCCCCCAGGCTGAAAGAGCTCTGACACCCCTGGAACAGGGAGAGCTGCTCTTGCCTAATAGCTCCTTTTCTCTTCCCAAAGTCCCAGTGTGGGGTGGTATTTGGCCCTGGGGGTGGGGTGGGCACAAAGGGAGGCTTAATCTTTCCTGTCTCAGCCACTTTTCTCTAGAAGATCCTCCCTAGTCAGTCGCTTCTCCTCCACATCTCCCTGCTTGCCTAGCATCTGCAATCAGGCATGTGTAGGGGAAGGGCAAAGTGGTGGAGGCGGCATCTGGGTGGAAAGGCAGAGAAGGGTTACCACCTTCCTTCCTCTCTGCTCCTTCTTGGCTGCAAAGCACCCCTCTCCTAGGGAGCTCTGCAAAGGAGAAAGGCAATCCCTGCAAGGAGCGGCGGCAGTGTACTCTTTCACCCTCAGGAGAAGCACAAGACTCACCAAATCCAGAAATCCTGGTGCATCATACTGATAGTCCAGCCCTGGGTGCATGATTCTGGGGAAATCAGAGATGTCACTCTCAGAGGAGTCTCCGTCGCCTGAGAGAAGGATGGAGGCAGAGAAGGAGGACGTGTCATTCTCAGGTGGCAGTGAACCCAGCCATTCCTCGCTGTCCTTGGATTCTGTGCTGTCCCCGGGAGGAAGCCGGTCTGGAAGGCCCGCCGTGGGGGGCACCTCAGAAAAAGGCAGCTCTGTCTCCAGCTCTTCGGATGACAGGTCGGCAGGAGAGGTGGAGGCATTCCCTGTCAGGTTGGAGGGGAGGGTAGTTGGGGCGGGAGTCAAGGGGGCCTCTGGGACCGATGGCGAAACCGGGGCTGTGGCATTTCCGGTGTCTGCGGGAGCGGTTGGTGCCTCCACAGTAGGCTGCAGGGTGCTGGGAGGGGCAGCAGAGGGAGGGTCAGTGCCCCAGTCTCTGGGACCAAGGACGGGTTCTGAGGTAGGGTGTGCCACAGAAGTGGGTGTCTCTGGCTGGCTGCCAGAGGTGGGCTCAGAGGTAGGACCGGCAGTGGCAGGCACTTCCGTTGGGGGCAGCGTCAGAGAGTCCACCGTCGTCTCCAGCGAGGTGAGTGCATCTGAGGTTGTTGGCGATGGCGCGTGGGTGGGACGGGGGGTCCCTGGCTGTGGGGTTGCGGTGGCAGATGTTGCTGGCGGGGTGGTGGGGAGAGCAGCTGTGGTGGCGGCACTGGGGGCGGAGGTGGCCCCTGGTGTGACTGTGAGAACGGTGGGCTCGGGAGCCAGAGTTGGAGAAGATGAGGGTGACACGGCTGCGACTGGGATGGCTGAAGATGGCAATGGACTAAAGGGTGTAATCTGAGCCTGGGGGAGTGAAAAGAGGCAGAGAAGAGACAGCCAATCAGAGTCGGAAGGCGGCGGCGGCAGCAGCAACAGCAGGAGGCGAAACCCCACTGATTGCTGTCATGAGAGATTCTTGCCCAAAATTCTGACTCGGGCAGGAATGAAAATGAACACCTCCCTCCTTTAGAAAGGAGTGCTGCGGGGCTGTGCCTAGGCAACCCCATCCCTTCCAAATTCACTGGTCCTCCAGATTCCATGCCTGTAGGAAGCTGCCTTATAATAACTCAGACAATCTGCCCACCTACTGAATCATCTGACTGCACAGCAATCCCCCTACGGTGTGCGCCTCTTCTCGTTTTTTTGACAGGGAAGAGGCAACTATTATAAGTCTGTTTCCGGCCAAAGGCTCCCAAAGTAGTGAAGAGCACATTAATAACCTCAGGATTTAACAAAAATTCAATAAAACACAGATTCCCAAAGCGCTTTAAAGACTTAACAAAGTTATTCTGAGCTACTCTTTTATAGGCTGGAATGCATCTACTCCACACAAGTATGTATCATAAAAAATATTGAGCCCTACTAGTATTAAGGATGGGCAACCCTGTCAAGCCAAGCTTGGAATTTTCAAAGCTAAACTGAGTCCATCTCAATTCAGGACTGGATTGTGGATTTCATTTTATTCTTTCAGTTGGTATGAACATTGTGTAAGCTGACTAGAGATCTATTCTCTAGCACCTATTCCTAATCAATCAGGAATTCAACAGATGGATGAACAGATCAGAGGTATGAAAGACATACCCTCTCATTGTAGATAATGGCTCCTTCTTCACAGGTAGCTTTATGAGTGCAGAGGTGTTGATGAACACACCAATTACAACCCCAGTGGCTGCTCACGCATCCCTGGCATCTGAAACAAGGAAGCAAGAGGAGGCTCAACAGAGCAAAGAAGGCATGAAGTCAGTGTAATGATGGAGAATGAATAGGAGGGAGGGAGGGAGGGAGGGAGGGAGGGAGGAGAATTCTTGTGGTCTTACGGTGCTGATTTCCTCAGAAGAGCCACTGCCGAGCAATCGTAGAAGGAGAAAGCGGTTGAAGCAACGAAGACATCACGGAAGCGCACCACCAGCTGAATGGTTGTGTGGTCTGAAAACGGGAAAAAGGGCTTTCCTCAAACGCTGTTCCACAGCTACGAGGGTCCCGTTCAGACACTGAGGGTGAAGCACTAAAGAGGCGGCATGCAACTGATCCTCGCCATTCCGTTTACCTTACTGTCATTGTGCTGCAATTTGATCTGGGTGGGGACCACTACTCTCAGGTACGGGAGGTTTAAACTTTTAAGAATGCAGAGGTGTTGATGGACACATTAATTACACCCCACCTCCCAAATTCATTGTTACCCCTCCATGCAGATGAGGACGCCGAAGAGGAGAGGAGAGGAGAGGAGAGGAGAGGAGAGGAGAGGAGAGGAGAGGAGCAAAGGGTTGGATTCTGTGGGAAAAAACTGGCTGGAAGATGTAAACCTACCTGTGGGCAGTGACCTACATCCGGATCAAGGCCCCATGCACCTACACTAAGATAAATAAAATGAGGAGGATCAGCAGGACACTACGTATTTAATTTAACTGGCATTTCATCTCTGAAATAAGAGACAGTGATAGGTATGTGCAGGACACAGGACACAGTCAAGAGACAGTCAAAACTGAGAGCGAATGTGGCACCGTGGTTCGTTAGACTGGGACTGGGGAGATCTGGGCTCTGGTCCCCGCTCAGCCCTGGTGCTCACTGGGTGACTTTGGGTATGAATGTGAAAGCCAAATTCTGTGAATTCACTGCTAGCCAAACATAGTTTACAGAGTTTACTTGAATATATCCTATCCAATCAAACTCCTTGCATTATTTAAATAAAAGTACATGATTTATTGGACTGTGGAACTGAATGCCATTCACCAACACCTGATGAAACAGGAGATCTATGCCAGAGCAAGCTAACAGTAAAAGGGAGGCGTGAGTCATACAGGATTTGGGCAGGATTTCATGGGATCTGCGCAAGGGATTACTGAGTAGGATCAATGGAGACGTCTCTTTCCAGGCATGGATCAAAGGCAAGGAGCAGGGCAAGAACAGGGGATCAACAAGTAACAGGGGCGTCTCACAGATGGCCTTCCCTGTGCAGCTGCAGCAGTGTCGGTGCAGGAGACCGTGTGCAGCAGGAAGCAGGCCACCCGGCGCCCTCCAGACGCTTTGGACTCCAGCTTCAAAACATCCAGCCAGCATGGCCAGTGATCAGGAATGTGGGGAGCTAGCACCCGAAACAGCTGCAGGACCCCCAGTTGGAGAAGCAGCCCACATTCTGTGGCTCAGTTTCTGTTCCTGCCAGTCACCTGTTCCTGCTTGCAAGCCTGGGGTTTGGCTGGGATCCGGCGAGGGGCACACGAGGCCTGAACCCGTCAGCGCTGCTGGGCTCGCGTACTCTTCAAAGGAGCACGAATAGGACTCTCCATCCCGCAGGGCTGGCAAACCCAAAACAGTCAGGAATATCTGTCAACCAGAGAGCAGATCAATCAGTGCCTTGTCCTCTTAAGAAAGACTCTCTTCTTATTAGCACTGTTTCACTTTGCGAAACTGGAAGAAAATGGAGGGAAATGGGGAAGAGGGGAGGCGATGGGAAAAAGCAGCAGTACAAACAAGTAAACGGGCAGAATGCTCAAGTCTAGGTGCTTGAAAGCTCACAGTTCCTTTCTCTTTTCCAACACCAACTTGTTAACATTATTCATATACTCCTTCTTTGCCAAGAAGGCTGGTAACTTGACTTATTTTGTTGCATATAAGGGCAGAGATGGACCAAGTCAGTGTAAGACAACGTCCAGTCCTCTGCATCCCACTTCTGTGCACCTCTCCCCCCTTGACACACACCACACTTGTGTCGCTCCACTCTTTCCCATTTCCAAGGTTATTTATTCGGCTGGGGGCGGCTTCACATTACATGGACAGCAGTCAATGAAGGACTCCTGAGTTCTCCCTTCACAAAGGAAGCACGAAAAGAGGATGGGCAAATCGCTCACGCATCTGCTGTCCACGAAATGAGAAACTGCTGCTTGCAACACAGTTCCACAGCCTTCAAAAGGGCAACTCGATGTCTCGTAGCTCACATTTTTCCGTTCTTCCCGGCTGATGCTGGCTGGGCTCAGGGACTGGATGGACAGACACTGCTGGCTGGAATTAAAGCCCCAGAGCCACTGCTCGCTCACTTGGAACCTGGAGCATTCCGATCGGCGGCTGCATCTGGGGCAAGACGGGACACACAAACAGATGAAGACAGGAGCGCGGGGAAATGCTCTGACTACATAGAGAGGAGAGGAGTGTCTTTTTGGCTTAGTCAGTTCCACACTGTACATCCACAAATCTATTGACCAAGCAAAAGAGGAGGAAGAGTCCCATCCTCCTGTACTCCTCAGTCCCACTGAAGACACCACGCAACCCATTTCTAAAGAATGCTTTGATCCCAGCCTGGCAGCACTTCCTGATTCTCCTCCTCATCCTACAGGAGGGTGGAACTCCAAAGGAACTGGAGTAACTAGGTGGAACCAGTGCTCCAAAGCATGAGTGACAACAGAGCAGGAAGAATTTTTAGGGCAGTTGCTGTAGTGGCTACCTGGCTGCCCGAAGGGCCTTTCACTCAGGTTGTACTGAGCAGGAAGGGCCTACTCGTGGCCGAGGCTCCGTAGGGACAAGGAATGCCCAGGCCTGACCAGCATTTAACACTCAGTCTTCTCCCAGACAAGGAATGGACAACTTGTTGCCCTCTAGAAGTTTTGGCCTACAACTCCCATAATCCCTGACATTGGCCATGCCATCCAGGGCTGTTAGGAGTTGTAGCCCAAACATCCCAAGAGCCCCAGGTTGCCCACTTCTGCCCCAGACCTTTGCTAGGTTAAGGGCTCACACTAAGCTACTTTGCTCCAGGCAATATCCTGAGCAGACTGTCACTGAATCATCTGACCCCTGAAGTGCTCTGAGCCTCTTCCAGGCAAGGCTCTTTCCACATGGAAAATGCCATGATTCCAGTAGCATCGCCCACACCTGGCAGAATCCAGCACACACCGGATCAGCCAAGAGCCACTGAAAGAGCCTGGCCAGCCAGACCGACTGCAGAGCAGGGCTCGCCTTCCTTAATGAGGCTTCAGTTCTCCAATGAGGCAACACTCTCTTTGCTTACTTCGAATACACAAACAAGAATGCAATATAGAAAAGAAGAAAGCATCTGCCAAGTGTGCAGACCATTATATTTGTCCGGATTATAGCTAAAATCGTACAGAATGTTCCTCCCACTTTCAGTTTTTCCTATTGTCCACGCACAGTTTCCATTCTTGGCTAATGGTAGCGTTAGGAGTGGGCTGATTTACGCCAGGGAACTGGGATGAAGGCAAAGGGTTGGGTTAACGCCCCCAACCTGGGAATGATGGGACTCGTGGCCCAACACATCTGGAGGGCACCCGGCTGAGGGAGCCTGCATGACCCAGGCTGGAAGGCAGACTTGAATGGTTGCCTCTCCATATGTATTGCTGCCTTCTCAGGCGGAGGATTTGGAATGGTCATTTTGGTCTGCTCTTTGCATGGGGCAGAAGTCTAAGTGGAGAACAGCACGTTTAAGGGGCTACTGAATAACTTTTTCTTTTTTCCTTTTAATCACTTTTGTTTTGTCACCATTCCAAGTAGTAACAGTGGCAGTCAGTTCTCCTTATTGGGGGTATGATGGCTGGAGCTATGTCATGATGCAGAATTGTTCCAGTGGCACTGCTGATAAAAATGTCCTTGCCCATCTTAGGCAGAAATGGTAGAGAAGAGTGCTGCCACTTAACATAAAAACAAAGTTGTTTTAAAGCTGCAATTGCTGCCACCCTTGGTGAACCCCATCTTTCAAAAGCCATTTAGAATCCGCCTTCCCCACTCACAATTCAGAGCAAGTTTGCTAAAAAACAGAAAAAGGATCGTGGCTACTTGTTTGGCCCTCTGAGTATCCTTGCAGCCATCAAGAGTTGCCATGTGAAGCCACATAATTCAAAATGAGAGCTCACCTTCCCTGGAGGACACACCAGCCACAATACGGGTCCCTCTGGGCCAAACACGACTCACAATCTGAGAACTGGGAGCACTCAAATATGGGAATCTTGGCCACCTGCAAGACAGAGATGCAAAATCAGGGATGGACGAACCTGTCAGCTTCACACCCTTCCCTATTCTAATTTTTCCAGTCTAAATTTCAATTTAGCCTTGTGAATTCTTTTTTAAATATTCATATGAAAGTTCATGTGCATTTTCATCCACATTTCTCCTAACACATTTTTGGGTGCAAGTTTGCTTACTATACTGTAGGATTTTGTTGCAGATACAATTTGCCCTCTTTCTCTTTCACATATAAGCATGGGGAAATGCCATTTCCAAGCAGTGCCTCTCTTCTACATTTTTAAGTAAGTGCTCATATTAAATTATTAGGGCTTTCACTTTTTGAACCAGGGACAGCTTTTTAGTTCAGTGGCGGGTAAAATTAGGAGGACCTGGGGCCACATTGCTCCCTGTGAGAGCCCTTCAGGGACTGCATCAGTGAGTAGAGGTGCGGTAGAGTGAGATGGCGGAAGGTCATTTGTAGTGTCTCTCTCCGTCTTGCACACGTGCGTGTGCACACACACTCACACACGCACTCACTCACTCTTTCCCCCTGAAATATTCTTCCAACGATTTTAATGCTGATTGCTTGCGGGGGGGGGGGGGCATTTGGAACTCGCCTGCTTGATTTCATTCAAGATTCCTGTATCCTCACTGCTATTTGCAGCAAGGATCCCTTCCCTGACACTCAGCTGAATGGCAGTTACTCCGGCCACGGGGAAAGGGAGGTGGGGCAGGGCTCTGTGGGCTGCAAAGAGAGTGGCCAGGAGCTGGCTATAGCCCGGGACTCACAGGATGCCCACATGTGTTTTCGAGGAGCCAACTGCTTTGGTTTATCAAAACAATTTAATAGCTTAACACCACAGTCCTGACTTACAGGGTCCAGAATATACCCCAAGCCTCTGTAACAAATCAGTCCCTGCTTGCCTCTAATGGAAACATTACCAGTGTGGTGAAAGAGGAAAGCACCGAAAGGGAAGATCTGGGCTTGCCGAGGAGGAGCCAGCTGGGAGGGGTGGGGGGGAGCCTCTGGCAACGAACAGGAACAGCCGAGGAGCCACCGGAGGTTTGAAATTCCCGAATGGCTGGGGCAGAGCACTGTCACGTGGGGGAAAGCCTGGTGGACGGCTCATAAAGAGCGGACAGTGATAAATGACATCAGGCTGGGGGAGAGGATGGGGTAGCTGGGGACGCAGCAGCACGCAGGGCTGGGCTCTTTGTCTTAATGGACAATTCCCATCTGCCGGGCTTCCCCACCACCCCCTGCCCACCCCAACCCCTCTGGTTTGTCTGCTTTTTGTCAGGCAGTCCTTGTTAATTGCCTGAACCATTTGTATGATTAAAAGCTATCTAGTAAGTTCACACACACACATAAACACACACGTGCTAAGGCAACAGAAGCCTGCACAGATTTTGCATACATGCCAGTAGCAGGACCTTTCAAGGGCTTGCAGACATGCATGTAAATGTACCACAGTATATTCAACGTTTCCTGTGTTAATGCTGCTGCTGCTGCTTCTGCCCATCGGGTCAGTAGCAATACCTAAAGCTGACGGGGTACAGGCTCTGTAGCTTTGGCCTGACCCAGTTTAAGAATTGTTACTGAGCCTGGGTCTTTGGGAAACGACAGGTTAGGGATCAAGCAAGATCAATCAAAATGAAATTAAAGTCTGCTCTGGAAACAAGTCCATTTCCCAACTCTCACAATCAACTTTACAACTGAAGTGATTCTTCTCATTCCTTCAAACTTAATAGCCCAGGATTCCTGCTGCAGGGAAAGAAACCCCTCAGGCAATTCTCAAGCAATTGTTGCAAAGTCATGCATAACACCTAATCAAAAATCTTCAAAGCAACCATCTAAACAGCAGTGGCCTGAGAAAATTTGGGCTAATAAGATTACATACAAGTTTGTGCAGCAAGCAAGGCATCCTTTTTTTTAAAGGGTATTATGGCACCACCATTTCCCTTTATTGCTTATATAGAAATCCTTCAAATGCCTGATCAAATTCCAGTAGGCAGTATAATCCTATACATGTTTCCTTGGAATTAAGCTCTACAATAGTCAACAAGGCTTGCTCCCAGGTATGTGTCCAGTACAGAATTACAGCTAAAAGTGTTTTGATGATAATAATGCCTTCAGGGGTGTCACTTGTAACTTCAGGGGTGTCACTTGTAAATTTTGTTAAAGCAGCACAGAAAAACAGAACTCTCTCTAAGCAATGTGGCCTATTCACTGACTTTCTAAAGGAAGGAAATTTGACCATTAGCACTAATGGTCAGAAGGTACCGTGCAGCTATTCCATCTTTTTCTCCTTAATGGATTTATGAGATAAGTAAAAAGATGGGAGGAATGATGGAAAAACCTGGAGGGGTTATAAGAGGAAGTCAAAGTCTGGCTCCCCCAGATAATTCTGTGAATGCAAAAACTCATTTGGAAACCCTCTATAATAGGATTCCTTGCACTGCTCACCAAAATGTCTTTAAGCCAGATACACAGACCTGGTTCATATGTACCAAAAAAAAATAAAGCTTAGGTGAATTTACCCAATGGGCTTCTTGCTGTAGGGACCACTATTTTGAATGTTCAAACCATTCAAGGGTGCATGCTGTGGTTGCTTCTTACATGCAAATCCAGCAAGGGTGGCTTGTTGGGATGGCTGACAAGCCACTCAGAATCCATGGAGTGTTTTCGGAAAGCCTGTCAACACTCCAACAACCCACCCTTCTCAGGTTTGCACATAACAAGGAGCGAGGGCATCCTGGGCCTCGCATCTCGCATCCGATTCTTCGAAATAGCACCGCCTGCTGCAACAAGGACAACAAAAAGCCTACTTAAGGTGGCCTCTTATTCCATGCAGGTTGGGCCAAAGCTGTTCAGTTTTAGCGTGACTTGAAAATATTAGAGAGTGCTGTGACTAGAGAGCAGGGGCTCCCGTTGCTCTCACCATAGCCTGTGTCATGGCATACAGGTGCTTCCTGGGCTGGTCAAAGAAGAGGTCTCCACTCACAGGGCTGCCGGGCTGGATCACTAGAGAAGCATAGAGGTCAGTGGCTCCTGTTGCTCCCAAGAAGACCTGCAATGAAATGAGACTCAAGGGGAGGGGAAGCTGCACAGCCCTTGTCAGCCTGAAGTCCTCATACCTTCCAGGAATAAAGAAATTCTACACTTCAAATTCTGTCACTTGATTCCCCTCAAATAATGTAATGCGTTCAGAATAAACTTTGCAAAGGACATACCTTTGCTTTCTCTTCCATAAGCAGGCAGTTTTTAAACAGCCTGACTGCAACAGGGAAGGGGTGATTTTCAAGGTTGTGGACCACACTGTTATCATCCTCGCATGGCAATGCATTGCATGTATACCGCACCTTTCTTGATCTTGCAAGTAACCCAAGGTGGCTTACAGGGTTCTCCTCCTCTCCATTTTATTCTTGCAACAACAACCCTGTGAGGTAGGTTAGGCTTAGAGTCTATGACTGTCCCAAAGTCACTCAGGAACACCATGGCTGAGTTAAGGACTAGAACCCAGATCTCCCAGGTCCCCAGTCTGATACTCTACCCACGCACCATGCCGCAACCCCACTTAGCCAAAAAACTGCCCTTGCGATGCTACTGGGCTTTCAAAAAGCTTCCTTGCACCAATGGAGGCTTCAAAAACAAAATCTTGATATATAGTATGAGTAGAGGAGGGAAACTGCCTTATCTCCAGTTAGTGATCCAAGAAAAGGCAGGGAAGCTGGCAGGCTGATGGAAAACCACAGGCCAGAGGTTCCCCACCCTTGTCTTATAGTCTTTCCACATCATTAATCAGAGCAAGTCCAGATTAAATCTCGCTTTTATGCAACACTCATACAAGAACCTGTATAGTACTACCTTCTCTGGCACTCATCAGGGTAGTGCCTTCATGGAGAGAGGCTTGCTGTCTGGGGCTGGATGTTCTCCCCCACCCCCACTAGTTCCTGGTGTCTAAAAAGCTGGTTAGTTTGGTACTCCAGTGCAGAAAGAAGAGTGCACACAGCTTCCCAAGAATTTTAGCAAAGAAATAAAAGTGAGCTAAATTGGTTTGCCAACCAGCAGGGCGCTAGACTAGAGAGAGGGATAGCTTTGTTGCATTTGCCACATTAAGCTAATGTGGCTGGACGAGCACTCCCACTGTGCAACCAGGGAAATCTCAGACTCCGAAGTAGTACAAAAATGCTAATAAAGAACCAGAAAGCTGCCAGATCTACTCAGAAATAACATGCACAAGAGGGCAGAGAAGCAAGGAACAACTTGTCTCTCAGCATTTCTGTTCAATGGTACAGATAGTTAATTTTAGGCCCTGGTCATAATGGTCTTTAGACATCCTTTAGACAACTATGCACATCACTCCAGTTGGGGAGATACGCACAATTAACATTTCCCTTCTCTTCCTCCCAGCAGTCTTCCCATGCTTTACAGCTCAGAGGGGGCAGGGGAGTTTGCCAACGTTGAGTTAAAGTAAAGTTTCTGAACATGCACAGTTTTCTGTTTCAAACTCGCACAGCCCTCTTATTATGCATATCTACTCAGACATAAGAATTGCTGAGTTGAGTGGGTTTTACTCCCAGGTAAGTGTGCATGGCATTGCAGCCTGAGCTCAGCAGGACACCATCATAATGTCATGGAGAAAACATCAAGGGAGGTATTATCTCCACTCTCTCATAATAGTTGAGTCTGGAGTCATTCCACCAAACCAATTGCTAGGAGATTTAAGACATAAAAAGAAGAACTTCATGAAGCACACAGTTATGAAACTGACTTCCCAAAGATGCAGTCATGGCCACCAATTTTAATGGATTTAAAAGGGGACTGCACAAATTTCTGGAGAAGGCTATCTGTGGCTACCAGTCCAGATGATTATAGGCTGCCTCCAGTATCAGAGAGGAACTTGGGTGGGAAGCTGCCTTTGCACTCATGTCTTGCTGTGGGTGTCCCATGAGCAGCTGGTTGGCCCCAGTGTGAACAAAAAGGCGGGCTAGATGGACCCTTGGCCCAATCCAAAACGGTGCTCCTTATATTGTCATGTCCATCATGACTACAGGAGTAACATCTTATTTTCTTCTGCTGACCTCAATGTAAAACATTTCCATTGTGAATTGACACCCTTTTTACGGCCGAAAAGAGTCACATATCTTTAAAGTAAAAATAATCAAATGAGCATCTGTAGCCACGCATGTGCCCCACCTTCGGCGGCAACTGCAGGATGCTGTAGTGCCGAAGTTGCCTGCCGCTGCCCCCATCGTCTAACATGTGCCCCCGCCCCACAAGCTGTGGGGCCCAGGACTTCAGTCCCAAGGTCCAGTCCTAGCTGCACCACTGTATCTGTTCACACACTGGAAGGAACACTGCAGGAAAGTCTGCATCCCTTGGGGTGCAAATGTGGTGACTATCACAAAAATCGGAGAAGGAGCGGAATCATGAATTAACTCAGACTGCAACAAGTACTTTGCATTTGCTCTGGTATATCATGAGGACAGCTGCTGCCTGGGTTCACTGTGGAAGAAAGACGCTAGGGGGCAGCAAGGCCCAATGGTCAAAGAAAGGGTTGCTTCTTTCTAGCGTGGGATCGATCGATGTCTGAAAGCAAAGCAACAAACAGGGCACCTCCGAAAAGCCCTTTTGCTTAACAAGACAGGCAGGGGAGTGAAAGCAGCTCATGTTAAGAAATACTAATGCCAACGTGAATGATGAGGAGAGAGCACTCTAATGGCTGAAGAGCTGAATTAAGACTTAAGCTACCGATTCCCTGGGAAGGCTCGGGCAAAGCATGATGTCTGCAGACTTTTCTTATGTGCCAAGCAAGATTTATAGTGCATCTCCCTCTTATGCAGAACCTCCCCAAAACACAATCTTTCTGGAATGCAAAATGTTGGTCTTAAAAAAGCAAAGAAGTATGTTTCAGTACAAAACCCTCGAGATAAGAAAATGTTGTTCATCTACCCTACTGTGAGTTTTGGCAAACAAGGTGGTGCTAAATGCTGTTGTCAGTCATTCAACCACACATCCAACCAGCATCAATGTCTCAGATAAATGTAGATGAAGAAAAGTGAGGTTAAGTAAGAACCAAAGTTATTTTTCCAAACACAAAAATCTGCATCAAATTTGCCTGTCAAAAAATGTGTGAGTGTATATTACAAGGTGTCCTACTGGCTACAAGTATCAACTTCCTGATTTGCATTAATGACGGAACAGAAACAGATTCTCATCTTCTAGGCTGTGTACTTCTTATTGCTTTAAAAATTATCAGAAATTTGTATTGGTCCTGAAAGAAAAGAAATCTCAGTTTATAGTACTTTTTCTTTCAAAAACAAGTTCCTAGACCTCTGTGTTGCAAAGATAGGCTTCGAAGTATATAGGCCTAGTAAAATCTTAAAAGCTATGAAGATCAATGTATGCATAGAGACAGCCTCCCTCCTTCCTGATAGGACCAGTAGATTACATGATGTATGAATAAATAAATGACAGTCAAACATATGCATATTTATTTATTTTCCATAATTTGTAAATGTTTGTGATTTACTTTTTTATTTCTGGCTCTGAATTTTAATTTATTTTAATGTATGCACGCACGCGCGCACACACACACACACAGAGTCCTGCACACATTATGTAATAAACCCTTTCCCTGAAGCACATGTTAAGCCCTGCTGGGAAAAGCAATATGTGAAGCTACCCTCACTTGCTCTTGAAAAAGCACAGAAAGGCACTGCAACTATGATCTCTACAGGCATGTTCCTTTCTTCTCTGCCAGACCCAACTAACACATACCTTGTGCAGTTGTCCTTTGCTGTCCCCTAGGAATATGACCGTGCGTCCATCTTCGATGCTGACAGCTACAGCAGTGAGACGGGCATCTGGCTTTTCCAGGATTGGAGCTGCTTCGAGTGGCAGCCGGCTGGCCATGGGACTTGGGGTGTGGTCTGAACCACAGGGGTAGGCATCCAAAGTGTCCTGCAGGGGTGGAGAGGAAAGGAAAAAGAAGCAGGTTTTCCATCTGGGCCAGTCTTTGGGGGACTGGCTCTGTTGCTCAACCGCTGCACAGCCTCCTAGTAGCAGAATTCAGGAATGCTCCTTACAGCAGGAGCAGGCAGAGGGTTACCCACTGTTTTCTGGGCTCAGCTCAAGGTGCTGGGCTGAACTGTTGCAGCCCTCAGTGGCTCAGGGCCCAGCTGCCTATGGGATCCCCTTTCCTGGTACGAAATTCAGATCAGCAGGAGAGGAGGCTCGAAGGACAGCCTCGCTTGTGGGACACATGGGAAGGACTCCCTCTGGCATGGCTCCAACACTCTGCAACACCACCGGGACTGGAACTCCAGCCACCCCACTCTCCTTTTTCAGGAAAGGGCTCTAGGCATAACTTTTTAAATGCTGTTACATTTCTTAAGGTTTACAGTGTTTTTATTCCGTTATGGTGGGGTTTTTTCTCTGAACTTTTTATAAAAGTTGACTTCATATATATCTGCGTACTGATAAACAAGCAAACAAATTAAAGCAGGCTAGAAATACAAGCAAGCAATAAATGAACAGGATAGATCAGGATATACTGCTAGATTCCTTGATGATTTGTACCAGATCAGCAAACATTTCAAACTCCTGATGATTTGTTTTAACAAGAGCAGTAGCAAAAAGGACCAAACCCTGCCCCCCACAAAGTCACACTCCAAATTAAGCTATCATAATCCTCGAGCAGTAGTTAGCCAGGTTTATGTTAGCACTGCAAACCATCTCACTAGATACACATTGTACATGCAAACCACCTCACTAGATACACATACAGCTTGCAGGATGCAAACGGTGACCGGCTTAAGTCTCTGTTTTTGTACTGAACTCTGGTTGGCAGACATTGGGTTCTAGCAAAAATAATAAACGACACTGATTTTGCAAGCAGTGCCCACTCCAGGTCTTAGAAAATAGACCCTCCATGAGCCCCCTTGTCCCTCCTTCCCTTTTCCCGTCATTGCTGCCACTTGCTGGAGGGGCACAGAGCCAGGGGGCAGATAGGCAGTGACATCCAATGCTCCTTCTGCTCACCACTGACATGGTTTCGGCCAGCGCAAGATCTAGGTGGAAAGCCGCATGCAGCGGTGAAGAAGAGATTCAATGTCGGGGCTGGCGATCAGCAGGCCCCCCGTCGGGGCCCTACCCAACCGTGCCCACCCCGGAGGCCAGCCCTGCCCACAAGACTCAAGCGCCAGCCCATGCCTACATTACAGGATATTCTGCCAGGGAGTTAGGAAAGATAAACAAGCCTGACTCAGAAACTGAAAATACAGGAACCAATCTGCACAGAAACATATTCCTTCCTTTCATTAAAGCTCTCCCCACCCTTGTCCCACTTGGAAGTTGTCAGTCCCATGCTGGTTCCTAAATTCTGGGCCTTGCAAGAGCTAACAGGCAGGGATTCCACTTGCAAGGAAACAAATGCCAAGTGCTTTAGTGCCCATGGGGCTAGAACAGATGTGGTCAGACCACATCAGGTTTGCCATCTGATCTGCGGAACAATGTGACTCGGCTTACCGCTGCTTTGGTCTTGCTCCTGCAACCTGGCAGAAGCTGGTTCTGACAAGGCTCCCATTTGTGGAGAAATGAAAACGATAACAGAGAGTCAGAAGTGTGGTCTGGTACTTAGCACAAAGTCTTCCAAGGATAGGCAATCCACTCCCATGGCCTCGAGCACAGAATTCATAGAAGCCTGCTTTATGTCAGACCAGACCAGATGATGCGCAGCAATTCCCCAGGTCTCAGGCAGAGGTTTTTCCCACCTAGTCTCTTCTTAACTGTGGAGACCAGGGATCAAACCTGGGATCTTCTGCGTGCACAATAGGAAGCTCTGCCACTCAGCTGTGGACTGCTCCAAATAGAACTTACATCTCTTTTTTTTTTATATTCTGCCTTTTTCCTACAAAGGGCTCAAGGCAGCTTACATCATTCTCCTCCTCCATCTTATCCCCACAACAACAACCCTGTGAGGCAGGTTGGGCTGAGAGTCTGTGACTGGCCCAAGTCACCCAGTTGGCTCCATGACTGAGCAGGGACTAGAACCCAGGTCGTCTGAGTCCCAGTCCCAGGCTCTTAACCACTACACCACACTGGCTCTTACCAATGCAGATGTTTGCAAATCCTTCCATTAGGTTTTGTTTTGGGTTTGTTTGTTTGTTTGTTTGTTTCATAATGAGGCTCTACCTAGTTCAAAAAAGGAAGGCCAAATACTAGATGAGCTGACTCTATAAAGGAAGGTCTTGAGTTTACAAAAGCTGAGCAGGGCTGTGAAGGACAGAGCGTTTTGGAAGGCAAAGGTTGGATCACCATAAATTGGAGATGACTTGAAAGAACATTACAAGAACAACAATAATACCCAGTTCGCACTTTCAGTGCTGAATACAAATCTGAACACAGTCTGCAGGCCTTGTCCATAGATTTCCAAGTTTGCAACAAGATCTGTGAGAGCATACATAAATTTGAAAAATGCACACAAGCATACTTTAATCAACAGGAGAAGAATAAGATTCAAAAACGCACACAAAAATATGCATGAATTTTCATGTGGAAAGATAAAAAACCAAGGATCACAGATTAATCCTGTCACAAGGCGAATAAGCTGTGAAGTGTAATTTGGAGAGCTTGGACAAATGTGCTGATTGCTTGTATGCACATCCCTTCTTTATTCTTCTAAGACTCTTCCACTTTAATCATCATTTCTACATTTGCTAGTCATTTGCACTTAAAAGACACAACATTTCATGCTCTGTTTTCAAGCTTTTCTTTTGCTATTGCTTCAAGCACCCTTCTCTGCTCTGGTCCCCTCCAGATGTCATGGACCATAACACCCATCCCTTGATCATGGGTCATGCTGACTGGAGCTGATGGGCATTGTGGTCCAAAACATCTTGAAGCAAGTCATGCTGGGGCTTAATCTGATAGAGTCCAACTTCACATACCTTAAGTACGCAGTGGTTTTTTTTTAAGGTAGGGGAAACAATCTAGATGGGGACATGCCATGTGCAGGAGTAAGATTTAACCCCGTCCTGCCCCTGCTGTGATTCTGACCACCACTACTCAAAACAGCAAATAGCAATAGTTTTAAAAAATCCCATCAGCACCAATGGGAGTTAATTTTTTTACTGTCACTATTTGCCATACAGGTAGCAAGATTGTTTCCCGGGCTGCCCTCCATACAGTGGCCCCAGCCTTGATCTGATCTGCGCTTCATTTACTTTGGTTTGGACACTCATCTGAATGGGCTGGTGTGACATGGCATCCTGCACGAGCAAGGGCTTGGACCTGATGGCTTTCTTGGCCCCTTCCAGCCCTATTATTCTATGAATCAACAGTACTGGTTTTTTTAACTGATTTTGTTTCAAGTGATCTATATAATGCAATATGCATTTTGATCCCTGGAAATACTTTCTTCACCTTTATACATGTCCTACTTCCTAACAAATCTATATATGCATGTATCTAGATAGATGGATGGATGTGAAGGGTACTTCAGGTTTATGAGCACCTTTAACAAGACTGAAAGTAAAGGCTGTGGCTCCTTCTCCCCTTAATGCAGCATGCAACTGAATCATCATGGAAATTGTTCTGCAGAGAGAACAGAACAAAGTTTTTGAAACATGATGCATCAGGGACAAAGAACAATGTAATAAGATGTAAAATGTTATGGAATTTCATAGACCTTGGGGCCATGCTGGATGAGGGATGTGGGAGCGATGGTCCAAAACATATGGAGAGCATTAGATTGCCTCAAGCAAGCTAAGAACACACCCTTGAGCTCTCTTGCTGTGTTGTGGGGGGGGGGGGGTAGTGGATGTAGTCCCAAAGTTTATCTGGTTTGATCAGAACTAGATACAGATAGATTTGTTTACCTGGTCAAGTGCCCCAAAATTCAATACTGTACCAGAAAAATTAGTGTGTCTATAGAGCAAGGGCTTTTAGCCCAAGGGTTGGATTCCACTTTGGAGGAGCTTTTTGTACTTGTATTACAGTGGTGGGCAGAATCAAAGGCCAAACTGTTGCAGCCAAGATGCCAACACACAACTTTGCATTAGACAAAGGCAAGGGCAGCCTGATGGTTGTCCAGAAATCCACATTCACATGCTGCACAAAATATTTCCTGTTACAGGACATGGAAAATTGGGTGGGGGGGGGAGGTTGCAGGCTTGCTCAGTGCTTCTCCTTAGCTATGCTTAGGAGAAGGAAAGCCCTTTTGGCTCTAGGGGTTCCTCTCCTACAAAGAAAGAGCACATCTGTTTGAAAAGGGAGTTCCCACATCGCTGTGACAGGTAGTGGGCTTGTTTGACGGAAGGCCCAGGCACCCAGTGGCACGGCCAACACTCAGCAGCTCCTCAGCACCCCTGCTTTGCTCTCCGAGTGCCAGGGTCATCACAGAGCCCAGGTGAATGCTCACTCCACATCATCTCTACACAGAGATCTACGAGTCCTTAGGCCTGAGTGTAGTTCTTACTTATTTAAGCATTTTATCCTTCTTTTCACCCAAACAGGCTCCCAGAGCTGTTTACAAATGATCAGAAAAAGAAGGCAGGCCCTGCTTCCCATCAAAAAAGCATGAGACACAAGAAGAGGAGGCGCGTTCACGAGGGCTGGTGGAACGGGTGCCTCTCTCTCAGCACCACCTCCTGCAATCTTCCAGCGTTGGATCATTCGGCATCCGATGCAAATTTCCACCGCATAAAGGTAGAGACTGGCAGAGCTTGAATTGCAGGAGAAGGGGCAACAAAGCCCCCACCCCACATGTCTTTTCTGCTACCCCTCCCTTTATCTACTGTTTCATACAATCACAAGGGAGGAGGTGTGATTTAGCTAAAACCTGGATGGCAGCATATGCTGCCTCCTGGATCAGAGCCTCCATGCCCGCTGCTGGGAGAAGGCCTCAGGATCATGCTCTGTTTGCAAGCTTCCTGCTGGCACCTGCTTGCCCACTTCAGGAACAGGATGCCACCTTTGGCTTGATCTGGGTCAGCACTTCTTATGAGCTTAAAACTGGGGGGAAGCCAGGAGTAAGGCTTTTGGCTTTCATAAAGAACTCCCCATTTCTCTATGCCCGTGAATCAAAGTCCTGTGTTGGAGGCTAGAAAATGGCACCTTCTCTGGACTCCCCTGCATGAAGGAAGTGCTTTCTGCTCAGGGCCGTCCTTCCAGCCTTCCTGATCCTCCAGTGGTTGCCCAACCTCAGTGGGATCTTCCTCACCTCTTCTCCCCACTCCTCATTTTCTAGGTGGTTCCTCCTGCCATCCCCCTGCACCACCCACAGGTCCTAAGGACAAACCTACCATGCGGATTTAAATAGGCTTGAAGGAAGCTTCATTTGCAAGCCACGGTGCGGGATTTTTTCACACACCAGGTTGCAGAGCCTCCCTAATTCTGTCACGAGGGTCAAATTACACCTTACGCTCAGCAGACTTGTTGAAAAAAGCATACTGAGTGCTGGCCACTTCCATTTCTCAGAAAAAGCTGTTGTGCGGGACCCTGATCTCAATGAGGCCAGTGCTGGTGGTGGTGCGATTGAACCCCGTCTCCTGGTGTCACTTTCCTGCCCATAACTGCTCTCAAGAGCTGCTAACTCACCCCACCAGGTGTGGCACACAGCAAGCAGCCCTTGAGGGAAGAGGCTGGGTCAGAGGCAGGCTGGAATAATGCATGCTCCTGCCTGGGGTCTCCAAGGCTGTATTTTCCAGTGGGGCAAAGCACTCTTCACCCCTCCCTCCTGATACTACTGTTCGGAGTAAACCATGCCTTTCTCAAGCCAATCTGTGGGGGGAGATCTTCAGCAGAACATCGACATTGCATAAAAATGTTATAATAAAGAAAGACTGGGAGGACAAGGTTAAGAAAATCACCTCCCTACCACATGCCATGTTCCTGATCTGGATCGGGGTTCCACATGGCTGCTTTTTCCTGGAAAATGGAAAACACCCTGCACTAAGTTTGCTCTTCAAAACCTTGCTTAATGTGGCATGTAGTTTAACCCAGGAAGACATGCATCGTTAAGGATCCCCTGTCACCCAAATCTTAATTAGAAACACACACATAAAACAATGTTTGCAGGACTCTTGGTGAGCCGAGCCAATGATTTTCCAGCGGAAACGACCAGGCTGAACTTTTGTCTAGTGTCTGGTGTTTCTGGCTGTCCCTTTATGTTGAGAATAGATATAAAAAGCTAGCCTGGGAATTCACAGGGGAACTGGTTTCCAGAGCAAACCTGTGCAGAAAGGCTAGCTTGCAAAGCCAAGAGAAAGAGCACAGAATTAGCACTGTGCTGAAAAAGAATGCAATGAGAGAATGACCAATACCAGAAACTAGCCAAATTGAAACCGCCTCTGGAGGTTTACACACACACACACACGAGAGCGAGAGAGAGAAGTCATTGCCATTGGAGAACTGAACAAAGCTAAGTGGCACAGGAACTATGCATGACCACAATCCGATCCAACAGCAAAGCCTTCCTTGGTCTGAATAGCCCAGGGTGAAGTTCACATGCCATTGGATAAACCAGTCATTAAAATGATGGTATCCCACACACTGGCTTTACATCTGAACTATGTAGTTGAAACTACACAGCACAGAGCCAGGAAACTCAAGGGATTCATGGTTCTTTCTCCCTTGGAACCCTTTTTTATCTTCCCTGATATTTATTTTGATATAAATTCCTTTAACAATGGCATCCAGCCCCACCTATTCTTAGTGTTCTCCTTATTCTCCCTTCCCTGGTCTTCTGCATCTTGCACATTTAAGTTGTTGGCTAAAGGGAAGATGTTGTTCTTCTACTAAGGAGGGTCCAAGGGTCAGCAGAAGTTGCTGACAATCGGGACGTTCAAACCTTCTAGCGATCTGTCATTTCTCAGTTTGAGAGGAGGGAAAATGGGGCCAATTCATGCAAGCAGATTGGGAGGTTTTTGCCTTTTTATTGGATTTACGAGCACTTTAAACAGAGCTGACCTGGGGGATTTTGCTGCTGCCAGTCCAGGCTGGTAATACGAAAAGCACGACCAAGTTGTGCGTATGTCAAATCTAGGCCAAGACGAACTGACGTTTAACAAAGGTGCCCCTGCCCTCTGAAATGAGCTTGAACTGTTGAACTGAAACAAACTTGAATTGTTTTAGTAAATGATATCACATGTTCTGCATTGTATCATCCATTTCATAACAGGTGAATGGGTGAAAATCACTCTGTTTTTTCACACAATGCACAGTTAACTTGTGGAACTTGCTGCCGCAAGATGCGATGAATGCCAATGGCTGCCCAGCTCATGGAGGGTAGGGCTATCAGCAGCCATGTTGGCTAAGGGGTAGCTTCCTGCTCAGAGGCAGATGCCATAGGTACATAAGCAGGGCCCTGCTGGGTCAGCCGAAGGCCTGTTAGTCCAGCACAAAGGTCTGTGGAAAGCCCTAAGTACCACATGAGTGCAAGAGCATCCTCCCACTCATGTTCCCTAGCAGCTGGTCAGCAGAGGCATACTAAAAACCAGTCTCCGGGTGGAAGAACAACGGGAGAGCACCGTTCCCTCTTGCCCTGCTTCTGGGCTTCCCAGAGGCATTTGACTGGCCACTGTGTGAAAAAGAACACTGGATTGGACAGACCTTCAGTCTGATCCAGCGGGTTTTCCTTATTTTTATTCTTTTCATACTTCCAGGCTAAGGGCTTGGATGGACTTGAAAAACAGCACCGGCTCTCAGCGGACTGCAAACATGACTCACTTATTTTGTCAGTTTCTATCCCACCTCTTCACTGAAGGTACTCTTGGCCTGCAACCCAAAGCAAGCAATGCGCGTACAGAATGTTTCTGCTGAAGGTACAGCTTCTGGTGTACCTAACACAATGTCCCAAATGTTCCCCATGTACAGCTCCGCTGCTGTGTTTCTAAATTAGTGGATTCTGGATGCACCACACAGGGAGCCTTTTCTGGACTTCAGGTCTGTTCCTGGCCAAGGCCTGGCATGGTCAGGCACCTGCGAAGGGACAGCCCCGGCTCAGGCTCTCTTGCTGGCCTAAGGTGGGTGAGCACAGACCATGCCCCTTTCCCCACTGCATCACAGCCCCAACCACTCTGGTGCCTCATCACACAAGACCACCTGTCACAGACCTCTCACCCTGCTTCATGGGAGGACCGGCCCTGCTGAGAGCCCAGCCCTTAGCTCGGGCCCCCTGAGAAGAGCCCCTTGGACGTGCACCTCCTCTTCACCACTGTAACCCGGCCATGGATCTAATTCTTGCTCTGACCCAGACCATGGATGTGAGGAGGAGGAGATCCCACTGCCCGCTGGCTCTCTGACTGGCAAACAAGCTAGCGGTAGCAGTAATGAGAGAAAGGAGCAGGAGTCGCTGGTGCTAATGGCAGTGAAAGGTGGGGGGCACCGAGAGTGACTTACTCAAAGTCTCTCAGAAATCTGGCATATAAGGTGTTCTTGCTTCCCCATTCAAAGGACCTGCAATTGTGGCCAAATGCAGGCTGGCACCCAACCCCCCCCCACAAAAAAAACCCTCCCAGGTTACTATGACAGCAGCAGCACTGATGACCCATCAAGTAAGCTGGGATTCCCGGTCCAATGACTTGGAAATGGTTTGTATCGAACTCATTCTAAGAATATGCATTTCGCAGTATCTCTGACTGACGATTACAATGAACTGGCCCAGTAGGATGGTTGTGAACAAGAAGAGTCTGACAGTGGAGAGTAAACATTTCTGCCCCTTTGACCACTCCCTCTAGGAGTTCTCAGATTTTGTTCTGCAGGGGAAAACATTAATACATACATTATATCTTAGTTCATAAAATTCCAAATAGCAATTTGCAATTAAAGCCCAAGTATGAAAGACAACAATGCATGCAGAGGTTTGCCTCCCTTCGATACTCATTATATAATGCCATTAAGTACTTACGTACTCACTGAAAAGGCTAGATCAACCCTGACTGCTCTTTAGAAGGCCAAATACTGAAGATGACACTCAAATACTTTGGCCACCTAATGAGAAGGAAGGACTCCTTGGAGAAGAGCCTAATGCTGGGAACGATTGACGGCAAAAGGAGAAAGGGACGGCAGAGGATGAGGTGGCTGGATGGAGCCACTGAAGCAGTCAGTGTGAGCTTAGGTGAACTCCAGGGGACAGGAAGGCCTGGAGGAATGTTGTCCATGGGGTCACGATGGGTCGGACGCAACCTTGCAACTAACAACAAAAGTCCTGCCTCTAGTATCACAAGCACTGTGCCTCTGTACTCCAGTTGTCAGGGAACCCAAGTGGATGTGCATTCCTATCCTTCGAGTGGGCTTCCCTGTTTAGCCACTGTGCATAGCCAAAATTGCTGGCCCAGAGGGGCCTTTTCTCTGATCTAGAATGGCCCCTATTCCTCTATGCTTGTGATGATATGCATTAGCGAATAGCCTCCTACTGCCTGTGGCTGAGAAATGAATCATGGATCTTTTCATTCATGACAACATGGTCTATGGAACTTAAAGATGAGCCCTCCCAGGTAGAGGAATTTCTGGTAAAACACAGTGCCTTACCCATTTAGGGTACTAGCCTATGCATGTATAGACAAAATCCTACTTGTTTTTTCTCTCTAAACAGAGGATTGCACTCTTAGTACCTCTTTCTCTAGGAATAACAAGGGAACATTAAAAACAGTAAAAATATCAACTGCCTGAACCAAGGTTGGACAAACTGGTGACCTAGACATGAGATAAATGGTGCAAGGGCTGTACAAGGCATCGCATGCAGCCACCCCACTGAAGTTCAGTGGGTCTGGATCTAATCGGTCCCTAATAGAAGACTACCTGGAAAGCCCATGGAATCTATCTTGAGTTTGACAATAGAAGAAAAGTGCAACATAAGTAAACCAAGTGGACAAGCAAGTTGGTCATCCCAGCATTTAGACTAACTGTCCAGATTTACCATGCATGCCATGAGCACCCACTTACTGCTGACAGCTGGACACAGATGGAGCTGACATCATATTCTATGTACGCCACCTCTGCACCATCCTCCGATCTCCCATCTTTTGTGTAGCAAAGGTCCCTGGTCTTGGTGGCAAGGCGGTCCACCTCATCCATTGTGTAAGTACAGAGAGCAGATTCCTCTCTCAGCTTCCCCGAGGAAGCCTGCCAGGCAGAGAAGGCAGCAAAAAGCACACCTCCTTGGCCTGGGCCAACATCTTCTTCTTCTCTGCTCAGCTGTGTAATGTAGGCAGCCTGCAGGAGGCTGTAAGTCTTCTCTTCACTCCTGCAGACCAGCGGTAGCTCCACGTAGGAGTAATAGTGTGAGTCATCCAGGCAGATCCTAGAAATGTAGGTCCTGTACTCCCGGGAGTGTGACTTGATATCACGCCGGTAGAATAAGAAGTAAACACTGGACCCATGAGTAAAGGATTTGATAAAATGGTGATTGTATTCCGAGAGTCGGCCCACAGCCAGCTTGGCTGTTTCCTCGTATGAGAAGATGGAAAGAAGATCCGATCCTGCTGCCTCTCCTGGGTGGGCCCGGAGATTGCGAGTTGTGATGGGAGGGATGCTGCCTCCTACTCCCCGGCTGGTGTATCCTCTGCCTACAAACAGAAAAGGCACATTGTCTTTGGAATAACCTATCAAACCCACCGTAGAAATATTTGGGTCATTCGCTGCCACATATTGAGTGTCTCCTGGTGTCCGGGGTTGGAAAAGGACGTGGTCAATGAAGTCAAGGCTCCTCTTCTCACAGATGCCCTGCCACACACTTCCACACACTATGAGCTCCTTCTCCAGCGAGTCGATCAGCAAGAGCTTGTTGTAGTTGTCTGTTTCCTGGGCCTGGGGACACTCCTGCTTGGTGACAGGAGGAAGGCAGTCCTTGCTGTCCAAGGAAGGCCCTGTGGAAACAGCCTCCTCCATCACCAGGTCTGACGTCAGCTGGAAAAGAAAGTTCGTTGCCCCAAGATAGAGTCTCCCAGAGTCAGGATCCATAATTAAATGAAGAAATTTGGTGGCATTGTGTGAAAAGGTGGCATACTGTAGTCCCTGTGGAATGACAGCCCCCAGGAGACACAGAGCAAAGAGAAGGAATGTCCCCAGAGGCATCATACTCATTCTGCAAAAGAGAACAGGGAGAGCATGGGGTTAATTTCCCTGTTGATTCAAAGACTAGCAATTGTAATTTCTTTCTTCTTCGGTACTTATAAACTAAGACATCTTAAGTCATATGAAGAGGTACTCATACCACTGAAAGGGTCTTGCACATAGCAATATTGAAATTATGGATTGTATTCTTATATACAAAGTAAAAGGAGATCACCTTCCTTGAGATGTTTCTGTATATTATCTGACATCTCCTTGTCTGTGATCTGCCTTGAGCTCCTTGGGCAGAAGGCAGAATATAAATGCAATGAATAAAATCTCTCCGATAGTTATGTTCAGTCAATTTTATGGCCATTCTGACAATACAGCATGCCTTAGAAAAGCATTCTTTCAATACTGAGGTGTGTACATTATGATCATCCTGTTTCTATTCAATTGCTATTTTTGCTGAAGTAATCAAGTTCTAAAACTGATCATAACATTCATAGCTGCACCATGTCCTTCAAATATCTGAGCAATATAACCAAGAAATTTAAGTGGGAGAAAGCAACGATCAAACCAATTACAGTAATAATTCTCTACTCCCACAAAAAAGTCATAATCAGTGAGCCATTCTCAATTCTCAAACCAAGTGTGTATCCAATAATAAGTCCAGCATGGAGTCATAAAACCCTGTATCAAGAGCTGCAGTAAATTCGCATGTCATTAACCTAGTTTGCATATCTTCTATTGAATTTACAGCTGGTGGATATATTTCACATTCTACAGAAGCTCCATCATGCTAAAGAAAATCCTTATTCTTCATGAAAGGAATTTATCTGTGGGGAGGGGAG